TCATGGCCCTATCATAAATGGGAACCCATGTGGGCCACCGTATGGAACACCTGGTGGTTTTATTACAAATGGGAATCCATGTGGGTCACCAGGTGGAACACATAGTGGTCCTATTATAAATGGGAACCCAAGTGGGCCACGGTATGGAACATCCAGTGGTCCTATTATAAATGGGAACCCACGTGGGCCATGGTATGGGACATCGGGTGGTCTTATTATAAATGGGAACCAACATGGGCCACCATATGGAACATCCAGTGGTCAAATGGGAACCCACGTTGGCCACCATATAGAACATTCAGTATTATAAATGGAGGTCAGTGTTGGCCACAATATGGAACACCCCATGATCAGCTTATAAATGAGGGACTAGGATCTTTTAATGAATACTTAAGCTTAACTGGGCAGTCATATGGAACACCCCATGATCAGATCTGAGCTCCAGAAGCCTAAAAGTGCTGTGACAGGGACATAGCCAAGATCTAATAAAAACAGGGCAGGCAAAGAATGAATGGCTATAGACACACTAAGATCATTTTTGGAAAAAGGCAGTGTCGTTAATATCCTTGATACCTATGATCAAATTGTAGTTTAATTATGCACAGGGTGGGCTAAAAGAAACAATACCCAATGTATTATATATCATTTTAAAGATAAATCATTTCCTAACACAATGACACCATCCAATTGAAAAACCTTTGTTTTCTGGTGGAGTTAAAGACTAAAATTGACACCAGGGGTGCAGTGAGCGACCAAAAATCAAAATTCCCAAAGGTCCATTTGCAGTATGGCAAGTGATTTTAGACGGTCATATGTTTCACCATGAGTACTTTCTGGCTATCAATACAGTGGTTTTTATTAAAACAATATGTTTTCTTTCAAGTGAAGTTCCCATGGTAGTAAAATATAAATCCAACTCTCTGAAAAATTATGGATTAGGACCCCACCCTGGCACTTTTTAAAAAATGTTAGGCTCATTTTCTAAAGAGGTTTTTCTCAATTTGAACATATCGAAAGTTTCTTCTCCAATATATTAACAATTTCTGAAAGCGGGATGTGTATTGATATGCGTTAAATTTAAAAACCACATATCCCATGTTATTTTCCCATAGGGAAAACTCGTACTATCCATTGTTTTCAGCATAATTTTGGTCATCGAAAATGGATATCTTCAAAACTAGACTTTCAATACCATTCTGCTTTTGAAGAAGTTTTAGACCCCTTGTTGAATAATCTTTTCATGCAATAAAAACCAGAGAAAGAAGATCCTCTTTATGGTAAATAGGTTCGACATTTTGAAATAAATGTTGATGTGGGTTCCCTATTAATAATTTTTCGAATTGTCCGATTGATCTTTTTATCATTATAGGCACTTCACTTGAAAGAAAACATATTGTTTTAATAAAAGCCACTGTATTTATGGTCAGAAGGTACTCATGGTTAAAGATATGACTATCTAAAATCACTTGCCATACTGCACATGGACTTTTCCCTCCATATTGGAGTCACAGCTGCACTCAATATGCTTTACTGAATCATCATAAAATTTAGGAGTCATACACAATTGATAATTAATTAGAAATATACAAGTATTATTGTTGAATTTTGCACAATAATGTACTTGTATAAATGTACCTCTTTCGAAGGTGCCAAAGTTCAAATTTCCCTCCATTTCCCACAATTTGGAAATTTGCAGTGAATAATTGTATGGTCGCTCATGACACCCCTGGTGTCAATTTTAGCCTCTAACTCCACAAAAACAAAAGTTTTTCATTTAGATGGTGTCATATTGTTAGGAAATGATTCGTCTTTAAAATGATATACAATACATGGCATGGCTTAATGTTATATTATATGATATTCATCCTTAAACTTGGGTATTGTTTTTTGGCCCACCCTGTAGGTTGGCCCACTGAATTACACTCGAGGTCGCTTAATTTTTTTTTGAAAAATGCAGTGTTGTTAATATTTTTGATACCTATGATCAAATTGTAGATAAATATGTACATTTTTAAAAAAATCAAGAAAAAACATTCAGCAGTATTGATATGTGTATTCTTTAAATTGAAGAGCTAATTAAATATTCTAAAAATTGGGGAGATTCCAAACACTCCAAGGCATCATAGATTTCAAATTTGACACATCATCGACAGCACTTAAATCACAAAGATTTTTTCATTTGTTATAATTTATTTCTATGGTTTTCATACATCTACACTAGAGTCTACCAACAACCCTCTACATTTTATTACAACTACTCTACAATTGCAACTAACATGAATCGACTCTCGTACATGTGTACTTTCAAGTTGAAAAGATCATTTTGAAAAAATGTTATAGCATTTCAAATATGTGTTACTTGTGTAATGCTTACATAACAATGCAATTGTAAATAACACTGTAATTGTATTCTTGTAAAATACCAATAATTGAGCACATTCAATTTTGTACAATGGTATTTTGTTGTTTTGCTTTGCTTCATTTATAATATAAAAAAATATTTTTATATGATGCTTCTTTCTTTGACCCCTCAGATTACAGGGTGTTCCAAAAGAAACAGGACTGCAGTTGGCATTTTGTTAATTCTGCACCAAGTGTCTTCACACTTCACGCAGAATTAACAAAATGCCAACACCAGTTCTGTGACTTTTGGAACAACCTGTATAATGTCATAAATAACATTCAACACAAAACTGCATAAATGTCCTTAAAGTTGAAAGGAATGCAATTTTGATATCAAATCATTATTGAACCCTTCTCCAACTGAGTGCAAGTTTTCAAGCTGTTTTGAAGTTACTGCCTGCTTGGCACGAAATTGAGGTGATCTCTTTGAAAGAAGCAATCTGTGTAAAAGATGATACATACCCAATTCAGTATTAACAGTTATGTTCATTTTGGAAGATTTAAGAGACACACATGAAATGGCACTTTATGAACTCTGTTGATAAACTATTCAAATAAAATGTTGATAATGTTATTCAATTTTTTTTCTTCGGTTTCAAGTCATTATAAATAGGGTTGTTGGACTGAACTTGTAAAAAGGTATACACACCAAATGAGCTGATTGCGAGACCACTGTTATTATATCTCAACAAAATACAAGTGTAAACAATCTTTTATATACATGTTCAGAAATGGATTGTTATACAATAGTATCCATCAGCAATAAATATTACCATTTAACCTTATATAATGTGAATAGTGCAGTCTCAGTAAAATAATACAAACCAACTAAAATTGAAAAGTATAATACAAGTACAACAAATCTGACACAGAGTCATGCTCAAAGGTATCACATTAAATTCATCATCAACATTTCACATAAAATGATTCACTGAAAGTGCACAATGGTACGAAAACATATCATCAACCATTCAATATCAGAATTTACAATAAATTGTCACCTTGGTTTCAGCAGTCAAGATTTCTCATATCTTTACAATTTTTGACAAAGGTAAGAAATAAATTGACAGGGATCATTACCATAAGATATTGTAAAGTTAAGAGTTCTAAGACTATTTTTCTCTTCTACGATGCTCTGATGATGTTATAACAAATGTAAAACCATAAAGCTACTGGAGTTGGCAGCCAATACACTTTTTGAAAGTATATACAGAATGTATGTGATCAATGTTCAATGCATTCTATAAATATTGACTGCTTCGGACCTTTTGTCTCCACATGAGCAACAATATCTAAATAAAGGTACTGAATTTGGCATATTTTATTCCATTGATTAAGAGATCATTTGAAAGCATGTAGTATTCATCCAAAGGGTATATGAAATCTTAATTGTTGAAACCAGGGTGCCTACTGCTTATCATGAACACATACACCGAAAGCACCTGTACAGATTATGCCTAGGTCACATTTGCTCCGATTCATCAGCCGGCGCCTGGCGGATTGGGTATTTTATTCAAAATTGAAGGTCAAATCTCAGATTTGAGGTCAGACTTGAAGAAAGTTGAAATCAATTTTGAACAAAATACTGCAATCGGCTGGGCACCGGCCGATGAATCGGCACAAGTGTGACCTAGGCATTTTATAGCATGTTTTTGTTCATTTACACAATATACGAGTATTTTGGTTTAAATTCAATTTATAAAATCAAATTGAAAATTCCAGGTATTTTTGTTCAAAATAATAAATTCAAAATTGCAATTCCAATTCTTCGATAATAATACAGATTGATCCTAGAAATGCTACCTGTGAATAAAAAAAATTATTCAAAAAGAGGGTTGCATTTTTGGACCACTCTGTATAAGAATTCAAGAAAACATGCATCAGAAGCTCGCATATATTAAATCAACATAAATGATCACAGGTCATATGTTGATGCTTGCTCTAGTCTCAGATATATTTTGTATTATCTACAGATGATGTGGTAAAATATTTTTACCCCATGTTTAGAATAAGGGGAGAATTTCTTGAAACATTCCCAAATTGAGTCTTTCGGTACATTTTATGACATCATAGTTTCCACATTGATGTAATGAATTTAAGAAATTCCTAAGAATGTTTCAAGAAATAAACTCCTGTATTGTAATTAATTAGTCTTGAGGTTATGATGTTATTTTTATACAGTCTGATGCATAGCCCAAGGAATTCCTTCATTTATTTACATGGGCAAATTACCCAAATGGGTCACTTTTGGAGCTATGCACTAAACTGTACTTATAAAGTGGATTGTGGATATAGGAAGCATCAGTACAAAAGCATGACATTCTAATGACTTGCATAAATATACCATTCTATAAAGGTTGAATGTTGTTTTACACATCCAAAGAAACCAATGGTCATTTCAATAAATATATGCGAACACAAAAATTTGCACATCTATATTAGTCGATCTCAATTTTCTGATTTAATGTTGATTGAGTGGTCCTTTGGTGTATGTAGTTTATTTGAAATGTGCTGCTATCTTTGGTGGTATCCATTTAATATATTCCAGAATAAGCATTTTATTTGAACTTGTGTTTAGTATCTAATAAGCTATATATCTTTTTATGTTCAGTTTTCTATCAAATCATGTCATGGACTCTGGTCCAGTCATGTTGTGGGTGTGTTGTTATGATATGATGCTTTGTGGTATCTGGGTATTGTACAAGTCTACTTCAGATGTGGCGATGCAAAGAAGTAAGATGGTTTCTTATTTGACTGCTTACTCTTGCTCCCAAATCTGAAAAATGAAATATATTGATTTAAATAAAGACTCCAAATAACTGACTGTATATTTCAATAAGGCATTAACATGCAAAATGTCACCACCTGCCATTTACAGATACCGAACGTCAGACGCCGACCGCCGTCACAAAAATGGAGACCAAAACAATGTCACCACTTGGTGGCATCATAAAAATTGAATGTGAGAGATTTTATATATTATTTTGAAAGAATTTAAACAATATCCGTATATTACTAGATTTTAAATATTTTAATGAAATGATTTTTATTATTTGGTATATAGTATTGTACAAAGCTTTACATTTACTAGAAAAAGAAATTTTAATTTAAAAATTGTAGATGACAAGCTAAGCATCAGCACATTAAGCTAGTCTTTACATGTAATACATTTACCACTGACTTACATAACTAGAAAACGGCAACTCCACGGAGTAGCAAATCCCAACAAACCCTATATTCAAGAATCTGTAATATTAACAATCTACTCTTCCCTTGCTCTAGGCAGCCATTTTGAGGGCTTCACTATATCCCTACCGAACTTTGTTCGTTGGGATAATTAGGGTTGAAGATGTACTATCTAGTATCTATCAATTTTACTGGCAATCAATCTACCCCTTGATATGTTTGCACTGGGAAGTTTGAATCATGTTCATTTCTTTACTTACCAACTGCCAGGTGCAGTCTCTTATGTTTATTGTTAATATATGGATTGAACAATTTGTGAAATTCTTGTTTTGGTTGATCATTTAGATTGGTATGAGTACACCCCCTACCTTGGTGTAGTACGAGTGAAGTAGCCACCTTCACGTTTATTAGTACTGCGCAAATATTGACTGGTGAATTCAGCTGACGATGGGGTACCTACAGGGCCTAACATGCTGTGCAACACTGCAATAAAGCCCCATCACCTAACTGTTAGCACCAAAGCATTAAATACAATCCTGTCGTGTTGTGTGTTTGGAGGGAAGGAGCTGGTGTAAAAGTGAATACTGCCTTAGTACTATGTTGTACTGTACTGTACAGTACCATGCAGATTCCCTTACATTTACATGGTGACTTGAGTTAATTTGAGATAGGGAGAGTTACAGAGTTAGGGCCAGGTAAGTCCCAATACAAACTAGGACAGTATTCACTAAGGATAGTATTGTTTTACACCCAGTCAAATATCAATGTGTCATTTTCATGAAACTAATTACATCAGGAAGGGGAGGAGGGGAAAAAGTTTTCGTATTGAAAAAATAATAAAAACATAGTGTGGATGACTATCTAACTTCAATGTTTGATGGGATTTAACCAACGTGGGATGGGATTGAAGCATTTATCTAATTAAATTCACAAAAAGACACATTGACCAGTTCCCTTGATCATGCAGGGTATTGGGAGAGTAGAATGTAGAATAGTGCATGCATACAGTCTATTCTGAATCATGAATGCAATCACCTGCTGCTATGAAATGCCATATATTCAGAATAAACATATAGTGAAAATAATCTACCTCTAACCTCTGTGTTAAAACTTTTTGAATTGTATGCCTGAGAATTAGCTTTTGTTTGAGGAAATGTCAAATGAATTACTCAGATGCGAGTAGGTAGTTAACAGTTTCGCCACCAGGTGGCTGATTCGGGGAAATAACATAGCAGGGTATTACAAAATTCCCTTAAACTTGAATATTCATCAGTTTTAGTGGTTCACTTTTCATATTACACTTATGTATGTGATAGTTATACAAATTAAAATATGTCCAGTAAAAGAAAATATTATCTGCCCCACACAAGAAAAGATATTTCACTTTTTGTGGTTTTACAACATAGGGTCTATGGGGAATCCCCCCGACCTAGAAGTCACATTTTCAAAGAAAAATAAATTTTCAAAGTTGATAAACTCTTTTCAAAACCACATTTCTAGATGTAATTTTACATGTAGATTCCAAATATGATACCAGTTTGACTGAATTATGAATTTTTAATGACGTAAAGCAAGATTATTTCTACTCGCATCTAAGATATTGACCAGCTCTTATTGCTTGGTGTTTTAACACACAGTAAGAGGTACATATATATAAGAGAATGGAGGTCAGGGTGTACCATATTCTCCAGAGAAACAAAGCACTGTGCATGTGCATATACAAGTAAAATACTTGGTCATATCAAATTGATAATTCTCATTACATTTTCTCATGAAATTCATATATTATTCAGATTGTGAATTTTTCAGCTCGAATAGTACTGGGAATCATTTACAAGCTGAGACGACCAAGTACTGTACATGTGTATTATTTGTCCATGTAATGTGTTATAACCTTGGTGTAGTTTTGCCTGTTTTGGCACTGCCCACAGGGCCTAGCATACTGCGGTAGGAGGGGCCTAGAATAGAACACATGCACCGACAAGTTTAATATTAAATACAATACAAAATTAATGGTTTATCCATTTCATAATAAAAAAATATTGAAAATTCAATTCAGGTATTTTTCACAAATTCAAGTTTAGGCCTAGTGACACATTAGGCACATACAATTTATCACTGGAACCCTTTCTCAGTTTTAGGTTAAACTTACAAGACGACATGTGTATGATGTGAATCAAACAATAGTATGCCATATATTGAAATTGTCCCTTTTGTCAAAGATACTTATGGGCGCCTACCTTGTCTTGGCTCTGGTGTCTGAGGGGTATCTCTGCCATCACCTATGTACATGGGCTCTTCTTCTACATTGATAAAGTTGCTCCAGTAGTCACTAGAGATTGACAGTAGACCCTCCATAACCTGCAAAAATTGTAAATAAGTAATACTTAGGTGGAGATCAGGTTGATTTTTTCAACCATTGTTTAATAAATAACCACCACTTCAGAACTGCTCAAAGTTGGAAGTATGGACGTATGGTCCCATTCTCATGTTATTTTCATATATACATGCTGAAAAACTCAAATGGCCAAGACAGAAAATGACTAGTCTAATGCCTTTACATAGGGCACTTTATAGCACCAAACATTTTAATATATAAGATCTTACAGTGGCTTGTTTCTTTGTCTCATTGATCATCTGCATTGGTTCAGGTTCTGGTGTTGAGTAGCCTATCATAGTGGGACCAAACACCTTGGCCAGATTAGCTGCTGGCATCTTAGCTTCTGCACTCTCAGCAATCCTGGAAACATGAATTGAATTAATTTCAACAAAGTGAATGAACAGAGCTCTTTCACATAACATGTGAAATTTGAATTTTGTGTTGATGGCATTTCTCTTCTTTTGCCTATTTTTCAGACTTAAAATATCTTCTGTCAAAACTGTAAAATTTCCTGACCACTTTAGCCATTTAGGGGAAATTCCTGGACTGTCCAGACTTTTCCACAACCATCCAAAACCCCGAGTAAACAAAGTTATTTTCTGAATAATTACTTACTTCTGTAGATGTAGGATCATGAATGCTAAGGTGTCTCTATTAGGAGGGGGTAATTCACTTATTGCTTGGTAAAGCCCACTTAAGCACTCATCCTGGTCATTGCGCTCTGAAAGTGCAAGAAGAACACATAACATGACATGTTCAGTTCTTAATCTGTAGATCTATATCAAATAGCACAAATATCACTCAGGCAATTGGAAGGTAACTTTAAAAAAATTAAAGCAAAATATGAAGTATTTTGATTGAACATATTCATTCATACATTACAGACTTGAGCTGAGAAGCATTTGCGAAAATACATGTAACTTAACTAAATCAAGCGATAATATACATTAGCAAACGATAAACATTTGTATACTGGAGATCAACTCAAGTGAGAACTAAAAAATGATAAAACAAAGATCAACCATCAAATTTAAAGTAAAAAAGCATATGATGTTCTCTACCTGCTGCACTGACAAAGTCTCTCCACAGACTGTATGTAACCAATGGCTCCTTCAGACTTCTTAGGAAATCTTTCAAGCACCCACATACCACATGAATGTCATCTATTGCAGTCTGCAAAAAACAATGCACAACACTGAATACAATAGACACATAATAATAAGGTGAGAGAGCAAATGAAAACTTATGCAACAACTTGAAAAACAATATAATTAAATTTGTATTATTAAGATGAATAAAATAAACAAACCACCTGTAGAAAACAGACCATGGTGTAAATTAACATATTTGATTTACGAAAAACGCTCTTATCAAAAGATTTTGTGTGAATTTTATTATAAAAAATGTTTAGTTGGATTATTTGAGGTTTTATATAAAATGTAATTTTTTTACCAAATTAGGCATTCCTTTTCCTCTGAGAAACTTTTCTTTGAGGTCTTTGACCTGCCTCTCTGCCCCAGGCACTCTGTATATTCCCACTTCTTGAATGCCCCGGGACTCTACCTCATTAACGCAGTGAACGACTAGGCCTGGGATCATAGGGGGGTCTGTAGGGGTGTAGTCAGATATCACACCCTGGAATAAAACGTAAGTTTAATTGCATGTTTCACAGTCTGAAATACAACTAAATCAAAATGTTGAAAGTTATAACATCAGATACATATTGGAATTTTTTAAACATTAACTATACCAACAGTAGCTACATCTCACCCCTGTTAATTTGCCAGCAGTTCCTGGAGTTGCACTGCTAGGAACACATGGTAGCGCCACCTGGTCTCTGCAGTCAGGGTGACAAGTTGCCTTGCAGTCTCTGCACTTCATAGCAGGTTTGCCAAACTTTATTCTTTTACCACACTATAAATGCACAATTGTTGACACATTTTAGCTATATAAATTGATCAAAATCAACATGGGTTCCTTAGATATATGGATTTTTAGATCTCTAGTAAAGAGATATTTAAAAAACATTTATTTTTTGGGGAAATTAGGTTTCCTGGAAGTAAAATAACTAAAATCTGTTTAATCTGTGAACGACTGGACTGGCAAAAAGTTGTTTTGATTATCAAGCATTCACATTTCAAGGATTTTAAACATGGAAGAAAATCTGAGATTATAATATTAGGTCTGAGAAAAAGTGATCACATCAAGATGTTCAGGTCAGAGAGGTGTTGGGATATACAGGTTTTACAGTACTCTGTTACAACTATTACTTACTGGATTGCATGTCTCAGGCCTTATGACTGTTTTGGAGACAAAGATATGCGCCCTGTTGTTTAATTTTCCTGCAGAGCTGTAGTGTCGAATCAATGGAGAGCGCTGAGACTCTGGTGAATTTAAATTCCTATTGCGTAGAACCTGGTCATCCACAGCATGATTGTTATTGATGTTATTTTTAATACCCCAGAATGAATCAGTGGAATCTGCACTGCCTCTGTGTTGTTGGAGGAGTTTGATTTCTCCAGCTGATTTTGAACGTTTTCTGTTTTTTCGTGATTTTTTCTCAGTAGGGTTTGCTGAGACCTCATGTGTGGCTTCAATAGGACCTCCATCCTGGGGCACCTTAACTGTGGTAGTGGTGGTGATGGCAGAGTTCTGAAAGTTTTGAGACAAGGTAAATTCCCGCTAAAATGTGATTAAAGCCAAAAGAAAGACAAAGTTGATAACATCCTCAGGCTTGCTAAATCAAAATTCAAGCATAATGCATTAATACTTGTATATCCTTATACCAAAGAAATATTCAAGTAAAAGAGGCAAATAACTTTTTCTCATTTCAGGTTTCTTTTCAGTTTGTGATTCAATTTTCAGCTTTTCAATTCTAAACTTTTCACAGATATGGACGTGACCAGGTAAGGTGAGCATCTTAATATTAATATACATCTATAAATATAGTAAAAACTTCTAGCAAATTTAAAATGCCAATTACCTCCTTGTCTGCTCCACTTTTTCTGCGTTTTGTATTTGGTGGACTGGCCTCCATTTCCATCTCTTCATCAGGAAAAGGTGGCGCTGATGGTCGCTTCCATCTTTTACCACTGCGCAAAAATGAAATTTCGAGATTACCATCATCTGTTTTGTCATAGATCTCACTGATGTCTGATGGAGAGAGAATCGATGCAGATGTTTCACAAATTGTATCCAGTCTAAAAAAGAAAAATAATCTATTGTAAGTGCATTACATGTGATTTATGAATTTTTGATCAACTATGATGAGTAACCTGCAAAGCATTTCTTCAAATCAAATGAAATATACATGGGGGAGGGCATCTCTGATATATAATTCAAAAATAGAAGTAATTTCATCATGGTTGATCCTACCCAACCTTCAATAAGATGAATTTTTGGTTTACCTTTCACTTGAATCATTCAAAAAATAACATTTTCACTGATGAAATAAACATTTACCCGAAGAGCCTAATGAAATCAAGGCATTTTACAACTTTCGATATTTGGGCAGCACCACTAATATTTAATAATACTATAGGGTGGTCTAAAAAAATGGAAACCCTTACACCATTTTTCTCATATATTTGTCATTTTAAGAACTAACTCCCTGATATTTTGTACATCATTCAATTTCCTACCAGCTTATATTATTTCATGACTATCAGATTGATAGTCACAATGTTACAGCACTTTACAGAACATGCCCTAGTGGGCACTATTGCGCTGTCGGGCCACCTGCACTCGCCGTCCAAAATGTCCCTACTTGTAGTGATATGGCAAGGAAAAAGTGTATGAGAATGACCTCAGGACAATCACAAACCTCAAAAGTGAGATCATCCGTATCATTCAGGCCATACCAGCTGAGGAATGCATTCGGCCCATTGACAACTATGCATGTTTGCCTAATAACGCGATGATAGCCAAACTTGAAGCATGTTATTCAAAGTGCTGTCAGTCTGATGGTCTTGAAATTTGGTAGGGTGGTAGGAGATTGAATGATGTACAAATGTGTGAAATATAAGGCAGAAATTCCTTAAAACAACAAAGATATTAGGAAAATGCAGGGTTTCCATTTTTTGACCACCCTGAATCAAATAATTCTTTGTATTACTTACCCTGCCCTACGGGGAGAATGGTGAGAGTTGTGGTGTTGTGTTGTACTGAAACTACTGAGAAAGTGTAGACGTTCTCTGTCCTTCTCATCCAATTTACTATTATTTCCATTGTTACCTAAGAGTTCCTGGATCAATGCAATTTGTCTCTCCTGAAAAAGTAAAAAAGTAAAAAAAAAGTAAGTAACAAACATACAATGTCAAACATTAGGCGGGAAACAAATAGTAAATTCTTATACTGGCGGCCAGCCCCAAATATTTGCTTATTGAAGGAATAAAACCGAAATATTAGAAGCCTTTTTGAGAAATTGACTATTAACAATCTCTATTCCTTCTATTTCATGAAAAAACAAGACTTTTTGAATAATGGTTTTATTCTGGAAACATACCAGGGCATCTCTATCTTGTTCTGCTCTATTACGTCTTTTCAACTCATGGTCAATTTGACTTCGAGCATGGCGCAGCTTTGTCTCATATGCCTGGTATCCACCCTCTAATTCCTTTAGCTTTAACTTGAGCTTGTGATTTTCTTCTTCAGCAGCAAGCCACTTTTTACGACACTCCTCTTGATTCAAAACAAATGTGTAGAATTCATGTTCAATGCCCTTTGTCAAGACTTTCGTATTTCGTGTCAGGTCGTCAAAAGCTGCGACGAGTGATAATTTAGGTGTACTCATTTTGGAGTCTGCAAAACAAGATACAAAATAATTAAGTACATGTAGTATCTTTCTCACCTTTCAAATTAATCTAACTAAAATTAGGGTAGCTAATTAGCTAAAGTAAGCAATTATGATGAGAGCAGATCACTGAAAACCTCTCTTGTGATACCTACTTAGTATGAAACCCCTGAACCTGACTTATAAAGTGATGATTAGTTTCAAAATATCAGGTACTTATAAAAATAAAAGGGAGCATTACGATTATAGAGTTAACAGTACAAGAACACAGTGACTTCCATGAGCAAGGAAGGATTATTCATGAATATGTTGTACAGGAACTATTCAGAATACACATAGTTTTCAGCTGGCCTAAACTATGCGCATAATTTGGGATTGTGTTGTATTCTTACCAAACCAGTCTGACCCATTAATCTACTTCCTGATTCTGAAATGTTTTAGATGTACGACATCAGTAATAGATTACTGGACCAAAAAGGTTTGGCTAGTTGCTCTGTAGCTATTACATTGGTATAATATGCACAGGTGTGTTCTAAATAAACCAAACCAAAAGAGCAAACCTGACACAGATTGCCCCAAGGCTAATGAGGCTGTACTTTATATTTAATTGATGTGATTTTGAAATATTTATGAAAATATGCTCTACATGGTGTGGTAGCTGAAGGTAGGTATCCATCTAATTTGGGAGGGCCAGATCATACAAACCAAAAGAATCTTAAGGTAAGTCTGCATGTTCAGAATTTTGCCACATTCCTCAACTGAGTCACATTATTTTTCAAATTGGAATCACTCCTTCCTCACATTGTGTACAACTTTCAGTTTTGCATAGAGAGTGCACCAATGAACCGAGAAAAGACTGGTGAGAAGCATTGTTTTGTTAAATCATCTCTTCAGTCTTTTCTAGGAACATAAGTGTACTCTTTGTGCAAACTGAAAGATGTAGACAATGTGGAGGAGTGATTCCTATTTGAAAAATAACAAGTGACTCAATTGATTGCAGCAAAATTCCGAATATGCAGTCTTACCTTTATGAAAAACTCCCAATCAGAAAGAAGATATAGAGTGAAAAGGATAAAAACTAGACGCCATTTTGTTTCAATTTAGGGTAACTTCTACGCATAAGGTAATTCGATACTTTGTTGTTTGATAGCTCTAATTTCCAATCATATGGAGAAGATTTCTTTTTATTTCTCCCATGGATCGAGATCTAACAAATTCTTTAATTTTTTAAGTCAGACATGGCGAAAAACCTTTACATTCTGCTGCGTCTAAGTTACCCCATTTCTTATGTCGACATTACCCCACACATCAACATATATTTAAATCTTTGAATATATGCCACCCATATTTTGCTCTTCTCTGATACTAGGCTAAGTTTGGGCCTAAAATAAATTCAAACTGAAACTTTTTTGAAAAAAAAAGAAAAAAAAGATTTTTTTGTCTATGTCTATGTCTATGTCAATAATCTGCAAAAGGCTAATAAGCCCATATATAGCAGATATATAATTTAACAGTGATAGAATTTGAATAGAATATAATTTAAAACCTTAACATTTAAAAATAGATCTATGGTTTACAACTCATTTTACCTGGGGAGACTGTCAGGCTACCGCGTTGACATCACCCCCTTTTACCAGTAGTGCAGGCTTGTTGCTGTGCACTGGGGACCCTTTACATTAAAACATAGATCTATATTAAAAACACACCTATTTAATTGCAGTTATTGACATAGGCATAGTATGATGATTTAAAACTACTTAGACTGTCACAGTCTAAGATGTCACCAGGTAGAGTGTTCCATTTAGCTATTGTCCTAGGGAAATAGCTAAATTTGTATGCATCCGTTCTAGCTGATGGTTGTATGAACTTAGAAGGATGATACAACCTAGTGTTGGTATTGATCTGTTGGCGGAAGTATGGAGGCACGTCGATGGCTGCTAGGTTCTGCTTTCCTTTGTAGAAAAGGAAAACTCTAGCAGCCTCTCGACGCTCCTTCAGTGGCTCCCACTGTAGGTCTTGAAGAGCTTTGGTGACGCAGCCTGGTTCCCTTGAGTGACATTTGGTTACAAACCTGGCTGCTCTTCTCTGTACCTGTTCCAACATATCAATATCTTTTTGTCGGTATGGATCCCATGCCGAGCTGGCATACTCTAAATTAGGCCGGACTAGTGACTTATACGCCTGAGCCTTCACTTTTTCAGGGCATTGATGGAGGTTGCGCCTGAGAAATCCAAGCACCTTATTGGCTTTGGATACAATAGTTTGAATATGTGTAGTCCAGCGTAAGTTATTTGTGATGTCAATTCCTAGGTATGGGATGTGTGTTACCGACTTAAGGTTTTCCCCTAGCATGGTGTAATTGTGCATGATAGGGGATTTACCTTTGTGAATATTTAGCACATAGCATTTTGATGGATGGAATTTCATTTGCCATGTTGATGCCCAGGAGACCAGTTTATCAAGATTCTCCTGTAGTGTTAATGCATCTTGCTTGCTTTCGACTGTCATGAATAAAAGGCTGTCGTCGGCAAAAAGCTTAAGACTGGCTGAGGATGATAGGTTATTGCCCATATCATTGATATAAACAAGGAAACAGAGTGGTCCAAGAACTGTTCCTTGAGGAACTCCTGATTTTACTGGAGTTTTTGAACTTGATTCACCATCGAGCACTACCTGTTGTGATCTTCCCACAAGCCAGGATCTGAACCAGTTCAAGTTATTATTGCGAATTCCATAATAGTCGAGTTTGAGCAAGAGGCGTTCGTGAGCCACCGTGTCAAACGCTTTGGAAAAGTCTAATACCAACATGTCTGTTTGTTTATTGTTGTCGAGGGCCCGAGCTATATTCTCTATTGTATTGACAAGTTGTGTTTCACATGAGTGCTTTGACCTGAATCCATGTTGGAATTTTACTAGAATTTCATAGAGGTCAAAGTGGGCCATAACATGATGGAATATAATATGTTCCATTATTTTACATGGAACTGACGTCAGAGATACAGGCCTGTAATTCACAGCCTCATCTCTTCGTCCCTTTTTGTAGATAGCAGTAACATTGGCATGTTTCCAGTCCAAAGGCACTAAGCCTTCATCGATAGACTGTTGAAAAATTATTTGAAGGAATGGTGATATGCTGTCACTGCATTCCTTCAGGACCCTAGTCGGAATAAGATCGGGTCCAGTGGCTTTTGATGGATTTAGGCCAGTTAGCAATTTGTGAATTCCTTTTGTCGAAATTTTGATATTTGGCATTTCAGGAATTTGACTAGGTACCATTGTCGGTAGAGTGGCATCCTCATCTGTGAATACAGAATTGTATTGGTCATTGAGGATGTTTGCTTTCTGGGCGGCGTCTGTTATTTCGTCGCCATCTTTGTTACGCAGCACGCTGATACCTGATGCATCTTTGCGTTTAGACTTTATGTAGCTCCAGAAGCGTTTGGTAATGCCTTTGTGCTGAACATTCTCATTTATGATTTCGCTTTCATCAATGTCAAGCAGATCGTTGATGTAGCGCTGATGTTCTTTACGAATTTCACTATGGATTAATTTCCGTAGTGATTTGTATTTATGCCAATGATGAGGTTCATTTGAACGTTTGGCAACATTATATCGTCTTTGTTTCTGTCGGATCATTCTCAGTATCCTGGTGGTAATCCAGGGTACTTTGAATTTCCCACTTAGAGTTTTACTTGGAATATGCTCATTGATTGACGATATTAATGTAGATTTGAAGGAGGACCAGTTGTCTTCAACTGATCTACTTTCACAGTTCTCTTTGAATTCGCTGAACTTAGATCGTAGAGTCTCTTTAAGTCCAGTCCATTCTGCCCGCTTGTATATGTGGACCTTACGAGGCTTCTTTTTCTGAATTTTCATTTTTAGGTTTATATCACATAGGACTGCCTCGTGATCACTCATGCCCGGAACCACCGAGATTCTTTCTGCGAGGTTTGGGCATGTAGTGAATACTAAGTCAAGGATGTTATTTTGTCTAGTTGGTTCCTTGACTAGTTGGGTTAGGCCATGATCATCAGTTATTGTAATCATCTTCTCATTAAGATCATTAGAATATTGAGAATTAGGCCTTATAGTTCCATTCTCCCAATCGATGTCTGGTAAGTTGAAGTCACCACATAGGAAGATATTTTTCATATGTGTATTACCATTAGCATAAAGTTTATCGAGGGATGTTTGGAGCGAGTCCAAAGCACCAGTATCGTTGTTTGGTTGACGATAGAAGGATCCAAACAGTATGTCCCCATTTGATAGAGATGCTTTGGACCATATGATTTCGCAATCAGCTGTCGCTTCATATTCGACTGATATGAAGTCACTTTTGACTGCGATTAGGACACCGCCAGCACCTTTCTTTCGGTCTTTCCTGTATGGAGGTGGGCTAAGGTAGTCTTGACCGAATATCCATTTGCTGTCGATGGTGTTGTCCAGGTGAGTCTCACAGCCTATGATGACATCTGGCTTGTGAGTTTCAATTAGTTGTTGAAGGTGTAGTTGCTTCTCATGACTAATTAGACTGCGGAAGTTGATAGACATGAGGCGAACCTGGTTTCGCCTCTTTCGTGCAGTCGGCCTCGGTGGTTCTGATTCGGTAGAATCAGATGATGATGACGAATTGTCAAGATCAGAGAGAGCGCTGAAGGAGTTTGTTACCGAGGAATGAGAAAGAGTGGAGTCATTGAAGAAGCTGTTGGAAAAATTAGGTAGGGCACATCCAGGACAGATCCAAGTGAAACTGCCCGCTTCAAGAAAAACATTGTACTCAGCAGGGGAAACATTGCCACATTTGATGTGTACCCATGTACCGCATTCATCGCATTCAAGGGCGCGATGATTCTTGGCAACTGCTTTGTGGCACATACCGCAGGGAAATTTAACAGGACCTGGGTTTGGGTGGATGTCACCACTAAGAATAAGACATAGGAAGAGCAGTGGTGTGGAAGATTTCTTGTGAAGGATTCCACGAGAGCCAACAATCTTATGGAAACGTCGCAGTTGCATCAACTGTGTGTATGACTCTGTTGAAGGTAAGTGGTTTCCATGATCACAGAAAAATGACTGGACTGCGAAAACAAAGCAGAGAAGGAGCAATCCATATCCTTGGAAACCCATGACGAAGAGGTAGGTAAAACCCGTTAGCTGAAAATAAGAAAATTCGCGCAAAAATATGAAAAATACCGCGAAAACCGAAGTTTGAAAAATACGAAAATTAAAACTGATTTATCCCCAAAAGGGGGGTCCTGCTATAATTTAAATGTCGTTGATTATTAGAAGTAAGTATGTAAGTTATTAAAATCTGGAGGTTTTATCGAGAATAAATTAGAATTGCGCAGGTAATCGATGTAATTATGATTTAATTTTCGTAAGAGAGAAGAAAACATCCGCCATTAATGACGCATGCGCATGTGTAGAAAATGATGTTCTTTTGAAAATTTAGACTGTATGGTACACAAAAATACTTACCACAATCTATCCCTGGAATAAAAACCGCTGTGAGAAATTGCCTAAAACCCCATTAAGTCTCTATATTCACTAAAATCGATGTAAAATTGAGTATTTGTGTGCTGTTTTCTTGTTTTGTTCTTCGCGGCCATTCATTCAAAATTTTCATCTGACCAATGAAATACGAGAAAACTTGTCACGTGCTTGTGTCCCTCTTGTGAGTACTTTTAAAACTAATTATCACAACTAAGTATCACATAAACTTACAAATATTATCATACCAAGAGAGAAGAAATTTTAGGTATCGCAATATATAACTGGTGTAAATTTTCAGAAGACAATAACAGTTGGAAACTATTTAACATTCGAACAACTTTCATAAGAAATTCACAATATTATTCCTGCTTATTTAAACTCATAAAAAAGGAGTACAATTTGTCTGTATGGATTGAAGACATCATCAAGAACTTTTGAAAAAAAACATTTATCTTTATCAATATTTTTGTAAAACAATTTTTGTGAATCCTGCTTATACACAATTTATTGTCTTGTTATTGTATATGTATTATATTTGAGAGTAAAAAAAAAAAAAAGAGTGAAGAAAACATAAGCTAATGAGACTCATGTACGAGTTCGACCATATTCAGAAAAAGTGAGTAGCTGCCATAATTCTTTCATATTTTATCGTATTCAGGGATTCCCCAGTTAATGATGTCCAATCAAATTGCTGAATTCAGGTTTTCTCAGAAATAATCTTGTGAACTGAAATTAATCATACATTCTTTGAGAAAAAAGAATAGAGCTCAATCATTGGCCTTATTTAAAAACACTGTAATCCAGAAAGATGTCCTTATTTATTGCTTGATTGTTTATTGAACAATTATAAAGACGATCTTGATTTGAACAATTATTTTATCCTGAATAAACTTAAAACTATTGAATTTCTGAACTTGATCAGATATAGCATAATATAATACCCCATTGCAACATACTAATCACCACACCACCACACTCATATATTTTGTCATATTGTACATCACGGTCACGGTTAGGCATGTCATGGGCATTCAATAGAATATGCAACTATGTGTTATTACATGAGAACTTCAAAGTGAGCAGTGCCATGCTTCCCTTTTGGTAATATTTCAAAAAGATTTAGTTTTAGATTAAAGTATATGTTTATAGCATTATCTTTAAGAAAAATCAATTTTGAATATGATCAAAACATGAAACATGATTAATCTCATTTTATAGTAAACAAAAAAGACCAATGAGGAAAACAGGTATGAAAATGTTCTCTTCGAGTGTTGCATCGTGGGTAATTATTCAATAACACATTCCAATAAAAATATAATTTGTGGGGGAATGTTCAGTTTCATTATTGCCATATATAATAATTATGATGAATTCCATAATCATGTTTTTATTTTTGGGTTATTTCTTAAAATCATACATGAAACGCATAAAACAAGATTTTCCCTGGACTGTGTACAGGAAGCATTTCTTCTCCAGTTTTGAAAACCCAAGACAATGCTTATGTATGGAATATGGGAAGTTGCCTACCCTTCTAAGTTCTATTGAAAGCCGTGCAAGTCTTGTCTTTTCTCTGCAACCTTTTAAATTACAATATGATATTTCTTTGATTTGATCAGTTGTAATACATACATATTGCAATTGATCGGTGAAAATTTCTTGATTCCTTTAAAAAATAAGACCGTTTGTATCAGTTAATATTGAACTATCCTCGTAGAGAGCAGCTTGTGCATATTTGACCAATTTGAAAATAATGTGATATGTCTTCATCAAATTTGGACATGTGACTTCAACTAACCAATCAATTTACAGAACAGCCATATTGCCTAAAAGTTACTTCCTGTTAAAAACTCCTCCAAAATAATTTACAAATGTGCTAAAAGAATACTCCAATCATGATCTTGTTAGAAATAAATAACCGTATTATAGAAGAAACATTGACTTTAAAGTTTACAAATGCATTAGCAGGGTAGGTACACTTACACTTTGTTAGAAACTGCAACACGAATTTGACCGGCCTAAAATTTATTTTCCCGTTTCGGCGTTTTTTCAATTTCTCATTTCCTGGTTTTGATTCTCTAATTTTCTTTACAGAAACAAGCCAGATGTCGTTGATGTGACAGTTGCTGGTAAGTACTTGTTCTTAAATTCACAACTTGTCATTGTTTGTTCAATATGCAATTATTGTTTTACACATATCCAAGTTCTCCACCAAGCACCAGTTCTATAGGTTACACTAGGCTACAAGTGTGGAAAGAATTTTGAAAGAAAAATAGAGTAAATTTATTCACTTCGAGAGACATGTTAGATTTTTAAAACTTATGGTTCTCCAACGGAGAATTGGACAGCTGAATAATAGTGACCTTTGAAACACAAAGTAAGTTGATCCGCGGCTTACTTTTGTTCTCTAAAGTATGCCATACATCATCATCATCCTTCCGTGCAAGTATTGGAGTGCGCCGTGGGAAAGCTATTATATCGCAGGAAGTAAGGGTAAATTAAAAAATCATTTTTGACTTCGTTTTGTTTACATGATTCTCCTGGCACCCAAACATGGACATACTGTAACACTTCAAGGAAAAATATAATTTTCTTTCTCACCTCAAACTGGCTTTGAATTTATTGCCAGTTGTAATGTCAGTGAATAACAACAACTCAGGGCGAAGCCAGTTCTTTTCTGATTCAAGATGCCAAACCTGGAGTATTCAGTATATATATATGGAGAACTTCCCATTATCCATGACTCGCTGTTAGCATGAAAAAAGGCAAGCAGTTTAGTTAGAAATATAAGAGTTATCTCATGAATGGGACCCTTTCATGGGTCCTAGAAAGAAGACACTCATAAATATAACACTGTAAGCTTAATTTCATCCACATAGACCATGAGCACAATATCAAAGACATGTAAAATTGAAAGTTATGATACGTTATGGTATTACTACGGTAATTAATTTTAAAATATTGAAAAAAATCACAAAATTCAAGTTCTGGGGTATATATCGCCATTTTCCCTTATATATAAACTTCATCTTCTTTTGAGACAAGTGCCATTTTCGTAAAGATGGTTGAAAAGTGCTTCCCAGTTGAGGTTAATAGGTTTTATACTTACATTAATGTATGGAGCACTTAAAATGTACTTAGAATCATATAAATAGCTCTATTCTGTGAGATTCATTTTTGTTTTTATTTTTACATTTTTTTCATCTTATATTTGAAGGGCTATGCTGTTGATCAACATTCAGTTACGCATATTTCCTTGCGACTTCGCCAGTTATGATTGGTTTATGTTATATTTATTTAGTTTGTATCTAAATCTAGCTACTTAATTACAAAACATGCATTCATGTTATGCTTAACAGCAGAGATCGCGATTGCTTGGTGAAACCAATTATTTTGCACAAGTCATATCCTGATTGCATCATAGTTATTTTGCACTAGTCACATCCTGATGGCATCAGCCCATTCACATGATTTACGCCTGGTTTCAATATGCATGTTATACTACTTTTGGATAGGTTAGTGTTTATGATACTTAAAAAATGAAGCCATGCCAAATCCAATGGTGTGTATGTGTGTGTAGTAAGTTTAAGTGTATGTGCAGTGGCCATATGAGGTATTTATGTAAAGTTCAGGGCAAGTAATTGCTAAATGTACCATAATTAGAAAAAAATAGCAAGAGTCTCGTAATCTGGAAAAACCAAGCATTACTTATGGATGGCTCTCTGTTCATCTTGATGTGATTTGTGTGTACGTGTAACTGAGGAAATAAAAACAAAACCTTTTAAAAAATCATCAAGCTAAGTGATTATATTGAAAAGAACAATATCAATTGACCCACTGACATAGTTGATGGAGATTTTGCATCAATGTCACCAGAAGTGACATTTTGGATCAAAATATATGGTTTACATATTTGAAAAAATTATTAATTTTTAGGCTTTTTTGGCGCGTTCTGAGAGATTGTGGCACATTCTGATGGATTCTAGGATCAAAATATATGATTAATTTAATAAATTGAATTTTTGGGCTTATTTGACGTGTTCTGAGCGATTAAAAGATCAAAATATATGATCAAATTCAATTTACACTTTTGGTCTGGTCTCGACTCTTAATAGTATGCGACTGCATATTCTGCGTTTATTTAGTTATGCCAATCTTGTAGTTTGACCTATTTTAGTTAATACAGACTAGACTAGTCAATTTGAAATTTTTAGAAAAAGAAATTGCCTGATGTTCATGCTCTTTCTAAATTATACATTGACAATTGACCCTTTTCCATATAAATGGAAAATAGATGGCATCATGGGTATTGGTAGGGCTATGGTAGGGCTAGAATACATGTAAATGTATCGCCAGAGTCACTTCATTTTTTCTTGATTTAAGAAGTAATTCCGTTTGGATCAACTTAAAACATCATTGGAATTTAACTACAGTATATGATCTTATTGAAATGTGGATTGTGATTTCACATTAAAATTGTGATCCTTGTAAGAGTAAATGAACTTTTAAAGGTTTTTCACCATTGTGTAAATGGGGATTTAGCCTGACCTTTTTTAGACAACCAGAAAATCATTAGAATTTGAATGAAAGTAAATAACGTTGCAAATCAAAGTTATTTTGATAGATAATTACACACAGAATTGAAAAATGCCATCAAAAGAAGAAAAAAAGTTAGTCTGTAATGGTTAAAAATGCATATCTCCTAAAATCTTATGAAAACGAGACTTTATTAAATGAAACTTCAAAGCTGTATGGAAAAAGGACCATTACATATACACTGTATAGTATGAAAATTGCTGTACCTCCATATACATGGTAGAACATTGATACTGATTTTATACGGTATATTAGACTGAAAAGAGAAATCTTATTTTCATTCAAGGTATGCAAATGTACATTTTTCTGAAATAGGAATTACTGTTTTTGCTATCATTTGAGTCATTAACTTTTGTTATTATTTACAATATACATGTAGTATATTATTGTGCTTATGTATTTGCATTTATTCCCAGTACTGTACATGTATTATTGATCTTGTATTCTTGATTTAACTCATTATATATTTTTTTTATTTTCTAGATTTTGATGGTGTTCTTTACCACGTGTCACAAGTAAATGATGACAGATCTAAAATAAGAGTAAGTTAGAACTTGCAGCTTTGTAATGATATGATATTACATGATGTAACAAGAGAAAAGTTCTCAAGAGTTGACCTCTAAAGAAGGGACAATACGCCAATACTACAAATATAAAAAAGATTTACATGTGATTTTTTTTATTCAACACAGCCATAAGTATATACATGTAATCCCTACTTTCTACAGCTTGACCAAAACTACTTAAATATGAGAGTCTTATCTTGATAAAACATGTATGATTATGATCATATAATACCTTTATGTACATTTTACATGCATAAAGTATATCCAAGCTATGGTCTTATACACCTGAGTCCTTATGCATTATATATGTGTCTTTTAGGTGAGCATATCACTAAAATTCTACAAAGATCTTCAGGAACATGGTGCAGATGAGGTAAGATTTATTTAAAGTATAACTCATACCTTTGCAAAGCTTACCTATAAGGTAACTTGATACAAACTGATTGAGTGTAGGCCATGATCAGTCAGGTGTGAAAAACTATAAATACTGAAATGTGTAATTTTTGAACCATAATATCTGAATTCATTATATAGGCTACATCCCCTGCTACATCTTGGGATTCTTTAAACACTGGATCACCTATTTTCTTTTTTCATATTTTGCCTTCATACCCAAAATGAGTAAAATACACTTCTAGCCCGCTGAATGGGCTTTAATCGCTTTATGATATCTTTATGCTTGTAGCCAGGGGATGTAGCCAGTTATTACGCAAATAATCCGCATTAATAGTACATAAATTTAAAAAACAAGCCACCCCCTAGCTACGGGTCTGTCTTATCAGGAGAACGTGTTCTTTGACAAGACATATTTGAACATTGCAGTTGTGTTTTTCAGCTCATACAGAGAGAATATGGACCTGTACTAACAGACACAGAGGATGGTAAGTTCTGTACCTTTTACTTGATCAGCCATATTGTATTGAGGGCTTGTTGAGTTGATCATCATCTTTGTTTTAAGCTTTTTATTTTCTTTTATACTAATATGCTGCTCAATAAATGAATTGAATTAAATGATCACTAAATGATTTCCTAAAATCAAGTCATCAGCAAGAATTTATGCATATTCCTCATGTAACTAGTGAATAATTATCGTTCCAGGCTACAACGTGTCACTGCTGTTTGACCTTGAAAATGTTCCACCAAACTGGGAAGAATGGGTGAAGAAAGCTGGCCTTTTAAAAAGAAATTGTTTCGCTTCAGTTTTTGAAAAATATTTTGAGTTCCAAAGGCAGGGTTCTCTCGGCCACAAGAAAGCTGTAATTCACTATAGGGATGATGAAACTATGTAAGGAATTTGTTTTTAGTGAATTAAATTATTAATATGGGTAAAATCTGAATTTTATCCTATAATACACCAAAATTCAAATTCAGCAGAATTATCTGTTGCCAGTTTCATCAATAGCATTTAAAAATGATGCAAACCGTATCAAAGTTGTTCATCTAGTGAGTTAGCTGGACTCAAGTAGAATCTGATTTTTGATCTTCTTAAATTCTATTTACATGTACATGTAGTTATTAACCATTCATATCTGCCTTTTATTCTTGAAAATATAGCATATTTAAATAAGCCTTTCATTTGAATTGAAGAGAGCAAATTTCATTTAAGTTGCAAAGTCTGTCCCTTCTTTTCTACAAATTTACCCCTTTATGTGTGATTTAACCATAAACTACATGTCTACATAACCAGTGAAAGGGTCATACCAGTACATGTATATGAAACATTATCTATAACACCTACTTACACTGCTGAATTTGTCAACCTTGTAGGTATGTTGATGCCCAGAAAGACCGTGTTACTGTTGTATTTAGTACTGTTTTCAAAGATGACGATGATATCATCATAGGAAAAGTATTCCTTCAGGTATGTATCATTAGTATTAAGAGTGGTGGTCTGTTGACAGTTGTGTAAAGCAAGGTTAATTGTTGCATTATGGTCATGGTAATTTCCCCTTTGTCTTTACTCTATACAAAAGTTTAAATTGTTGATCCCCATGCCCAAAAAGGAATATTGATGTCAAAAAAATTTCATTTACCCCTTCCCCTTGGTAAATGAACTTTGTTTTTTCCACAACTGTTCACACTTTGAGAGCATTCGTTGCTAGTCTAGGCTTATGTTATAACATCTCAAGCTCTTTGACAACTTGACAAATGGTCACCATCTCTAGCTATTCTTGGGTATGTACAGTAATCATGATCTGCTTAGCTTTGAACCAATGTGCTGTCGCACACATTTATTGAAAATTAACACACTGGTAATTGAACTCAGTTTAGATCAAATTGAGACTTTGGATATTTTGTTTATAGCTTACTAAATATTCTGGAAAGAACCTTGTTACATTCCAGCGAATGAGACATTTGATCTTATACATGATAAAAGAATGCAAGTGTCAGTTGTTGCTTCGTGTATAATTGAAATTTATAAATATTGTGCTGTGCATTGATTTTGTAAATGCATATGTAATACAATAATCCATCATGTTAAATATTACCTAATCTGATTCTGTTATGAATGTAGGAATTCAAGGAAGGTAGGAGGAAGTTTCAGCAAGCCCCACAGGTGCTTTTCTCCCACAAAGAGCCACCCAGTGAACTTAAAGGCACAGATGCTGCTGTCGGGGACAATATTGGATACATTACTTTTGGTAAATATTTTGGGGAAAAATCACAAAACGTGTTTTTTTTTTGTAGTCAACACATTTTTATTAGTCTGGGGATTCAATTAGTTGTCTTGTTGTTATTTGCTCAAAATGTCAAAAAGAAGGCTTCCCTTGAAGGTCATTGTGGAATCTTTGAAGAGAAAGAAATACTAATTTTGCAAAGGTGTTCTATTTCAACTTGGTGTGTGTGGGGGGGGGGTGGTCCTGAATGTGTTTGTGAAATGTGTGAAGATGAATTGGTGAGGGGACACCCTAGCCCAATGTTTTCGTCTTCAAATGTGACTAAATGAGGAATATTTATTTATAAAACAATTATTTAAAGGTACTGTATTTGGAATTAATCTAGTTGTCAAGTCAGTTCATAAAACATCTGAACAAGTAAAGATAAAGATTAAGACTTAACAACTTATTGTAGCAAATGTACAAGGTTTTCCTCATATTGTAGTGCTATTTCCACGACACATCACCGACGAGTCAAAAGACAACACAATTAACCTGATCCACACTCTTAGAGATTACCTGCATTATCATATAAAATGTTCCAAGGTAAGAAACTGTATAATCAACTTATATTTGTTCAAAGTGAACACTGCTGGGATGATTTAGAAGTGTTCACATTTAATGATCTTGACAACATGGAGAAAAATCTGCTCTGGGTGGTTTAGGGAGAAAACAAGGATAAAAGCTTCATACAAAATTTGATACACTGTTTTTAATGTACAGTGTATACAGAATATCGTACATGTAAAATGAGACATAAGTACTGTTCTCAATATGAGGTCTGAATTCTGGCTATGATATACTATAGAATGAGATCACAAGGCAACACCAATAAATAAACATACATGTATGTCTTTAGTCTTGATATGTTACATGTGCTTTTAGTTCCCAAAAATTATTATTATTTTTAGTGCAAATGTTCTTCTATTTTCAGGCTTATATTCACAGTAGAATGAGAGCGAAAACTGTAGATTTCCTTAAAGTGCTCAACCGAGCTCGACCAGAGCAAAAAACTACAGAGAAGAAAACCATTTCGTAAGTTTTTTTTTCGATTGGTGTTTCGATTAGGAATCAGATCTTCCTAAATTTTTAATCATTTTTGATCATTCAAGACTATTTTGCTCACCAAAACTGTACTCAAAAGCAAACATTTTATTTTTTAGTTTTAAACAACTATGGCAACATCTATACAATACAGAATACACATTATTTGAGATGCAATTTAATATGTTATTATGCATTAAATGTTAACATTTTTTTTATTTTTCAGAGGAAAGACATTTGTGCGAAAAGATTGAAGTGTTCCAATAATTATGAACTTAACAATAACATTGTAAATAATGGAGGAGGTTCGAGAACTGGAAGTATGATAAATCACAAGCTTATATTACTACTATAAAACCCATAGAGCCGAAGGAAGTTCTTCTCAAATCTGACACTGACCTATGTCATACTGGTACATTGAATATTTGAGACATGATGATCTTTTAGAGGGAAATATGAAATGTTTCCTGGCCAGATACTAAATATTCTAAAAATGTTAAAACACATAGTAATTTTATTCAGAAATATGTTGCGGAAATTATTACTTCAACAAGGCAACCCTAACTCCACTGGGCCATGTGTTGAATCCTATGTTGTGGTCATAAATTGCTGACTTCTTGTAATTCAGGAAAAAATATCCAATTCAAACATTAACATGCATTAACAAACTACAATGGGTCAGGGGGAGAGTGCACATCAGTTAAATTTAAAAATTAAATTAGGTAAGCATTTTACAATTGTGAGACACCGAGACATTCAGTGTCAGTTTATCCAGCATACATATTTGATGATATTTGTTAATTAATGATCACATACACCTTATCCACAGGGCACGCCTTAAGCCAAATTTCCCTGCTGGTCATCATGACCAGCAGTATTAAAATTCGAGGTGGTCAACTATAAAATCAGCTGGTCACAATGACCAGCAGCACTCCAAAACCTGCTGGTCATTGAGAGATTTAGCTGGTCAATGAAAATAACTCTTAAAGTAAAAAAAAGCACCTTATTCTATTTATCAAGCTCATTTATTACAGTATACTAAAATAAATCAGAAAAAACAAAAACATCACATCGTAGTAAAAATTATTTGATTGTAGTAAAACTCATTCATAGTCATTATGGCGCATGGATATATATAATGAGTGATAAAACTCATAAGCACTCATTACGAAACTTTTTCGACCGCCATTTTTAAAAATTGAACTGGAAATTATCATTTTGCGGCAATTTATGGCTTAAAAGGGACATAAATTATAGTTCTAGATGATCCAGGATTACTGAGTAATCTTTCTAGCTATTCTACTTACCTTCAGAACCCCGCTTGGCGCCAGGTTTGGCCGCAAATTTTACAAATGGATGCATCGAACTTGACCGGATATAGAAATAGTTCCTGAATTAGGGTAAAATTAGCATTCGCTACTTTCCGTTACCTATATTTGGATATATTCGTATATTCACGTGATACTGATTAATTATGTATGCAGTGACGTAAGGGCTGATCTATTAATGACACTGACCCCTGTGGATCATCGTCGAACAGTTAACAAACGTAGGCTCCATTAATTAATATTGAATTAAATATAAGGGGCGTGTAAAGATGAATGAACAGCCACACTCCCAGCTAAGTTTAGGGGTCGTGTCAAGGTATCGGACAAAATATCCAGGCCGTATTTCCAGTTGACTAGTATGTATCGGTCAGTATGTCCGACAGTTTTTAATTTTTAACCGGTCCCATCAATATTCTACCGGACAAGTCCGACAGTCCGACGCTTAAGGCGTGCCCTGCTTATCCAATGTTAACCTGTACGTCAACTTGTATTGGCATATACTAAGATACACTTAATAAATTTGTAAAATATAATTATACTTGTATTTTAAGTGTTATTGTGCTTTCTGGACAAAGCATTTACTAATTTCATTGTATCTTAACAAAGATACACTACTGTCATTAGCTTGCCAGTGGTCTTCCGGAAAACCACATTAATTTTTTTTGGGCATGCTGGGTAAATTCTTAGGAACCCATTTTGGATTTCTTTTACAAAATGTTGCATTAAATTTCTTTATGCAATCCAAGGCAAACCTATCGATAGATTAATTTGAAATTTTCAAGGCTGCCTTTTGGTATGAAATTCTTAGCCTAATGTTTTTGGGCATGTTTAATGGGCATTTTGGATTTTTAACATCATCAACTTTTCCTTCACCTCGCTAGGTTTTGCCCCCAATCTGCTAAATTGTTGAACTATATCATAAGAATTATCTTATACTATATATCAAGCCTATGTTATTTCATGTAAATGTAAAATGTTCAATTTATGAAAGAAATATACAGAGAAGCACTTGTACTCTGACTTAGAACTAACATAACAGTAGAAGCCTAAGTTGAATTCTTGGAAAAAACAACAAAGTACTCATTTTCTCAAAACAAAGCAATGATTAGATGGTATATTTGTTTTGGATGCAACATCTGGTAGTTTAGATAGGCCCTGTAGTTGGATATAGTGAAGTTGTAAATAATGTGATCAGGGAGGAAATGTGTGAAATCCATCAACTCCTGGTGAGGTTTATGAAAAATAGGGCCAAGATGGTTAAAGATAAAAACTATGGACAAAGAAGAATTATATTCACTTTCTATTTATTTCATGATTGCATTAAACTGTCAAGTAGCATTTAACTATTTAAAGATGACGGTGAATTCAGGTAATAATTTACAAAGTCACCTGTGGATGGTATTTTGCCAAGTAGTATATCAGATCACCAGTGGTAACATAATAAGTCAGTTGTGGTTATCAAGTCACTTGTGGTATAATATCAAGTTAACTGTGGTAGCATACCAAATCTCCAGTGGTACATTCAAAGTCATCAGTGGTAGTTTACCAAATCACATGTGGTTACATACTAATTCACATCGATCTTATAAGATACCAATCAATTTGTGAAATACCTTGAGCAAATTGGCAATTTAATAAGTCACATTTCCTAAAATAACAATAGGATTTTATAAATGTGTTCTATACTATTCTAAGCAGGTAAGTGACTATCAAAAATATACAACACAATTTATGGCATAGATTCATATTGCACTAATCTACACAAAATTACATATATCTGTAAAGCTCGTACTATAAGTTATTGAATGATTTAAGGTGCAATACAGGATATATTCTGCTCGAGAAATTCTGTATTGGAACGAGACATAGTTGAGTGCCAATACAGAATATCGAGAGCAGAATATATAATGTATATTGCACTTCAAATCATTCTATAACGTTTTTATCGTGTGATCCTCTGTATTGCAACTGAGAATGTCCCCTCTTTACCAGTATTTTCTGTATTTCGGAGATGATCAATGGGGACAATCTCAGTAGCAATACAGATTGGTACCGTACAAGAACTAACCAATCAGAAGGCTTCATTTTACAGATCATACGATAAAGTAAATTATATTTCTATAAAAGCAAAATATGGTGTTTTGCATCATAAAATAGTTACAGATCTAAAAGGTTTATTCAAAAACACACATAAATAATCCTCTTATTGCTTTATACATGATAGCTTACAAGATACATGCCCACAAAATATGTCAATAGGGTCAATAGAATTCATTGTTCAGTAAACATAATCAATCCAATTTTGACATCAATTTTGGATCGACCCTCAGATTTTTTTGCATTAACACAGTTAAGCACTTATATATTTTGTAATATTTTGAAAGCACTGAATTTGAACTCTGTATTGTTAAATACAGGGTGTTCAAAAAAAAACGCAACCCAAAGAAATCGCTATATCTTGGAAAATACTAGTCCAATTGTGTTCATTTTTTCAGGAAAGAAAGAAGAGACTGTGTATGTATAGCTCATGTTGTTAGTTAGTTGCAAAACATGATGCCTTGGACAAATGCTCAAAAGACATTAGTATTGGAAAGATACGAAAAACGCAGTCAGAGACTACTGCCGCAGCAATAAAACCAAATAACTTTCTAACCATAGTGTTTTTGCTATTCAAATTTGGCACAAATCATCTTCATTCAATGTATGATAAATCTGTAGAGTGAAATCAAAATCACTCCAGGGACTTTACAGTTTTGGTCGAAATGCTTTCAAAACTCAGTCAAACACCCTGGTTCAGCCAGACTTAAGAAGGCATTCTGACCATGACTGTAAAGTCCCTGGAGTGATTTTAATGAAACTCCCCCAATTCACTACACATTATATGAAGATAATTTGTGGTGAATCTGAAGTGCCAAAACACCATGGTTAGAAAGTTATTAGGGTTTATTGCTCTGGCAGTCACCTCTGGTTGCGTTTTTCGTATCTTTCCAATACTAATGTCTTTTGAGAAGGTGTCCAAAACATCATGTTTTACAACTAACTAACAGCAGGAGCTATACACACATAGTCTCTTCTTTCTTTCCTGAAAAAATGAACACAATTGGATAAGTATTTTCCAAGATATAGCGATTTCTTTGGGTTGCGTTTTTTTTTGAACACCCTGTATTTAAAGTGCTTAGGCATCATCTCAATGCCCATAAGCTTTTACAAAAACAGAGGGGCCTTGTTCCCAGTTAAATTCCATGATAAAATAGACATTACCCGACCTTGGAAAAGCCTTCCTTGTTAGGTTTATTTAGTATATTTATTTACTCATTACATGGGTCACCAGACCAACATGATAATTAAATAACACAATGTATTGCACATTTCATCTTACATGTATTTTCAAAAAATAATGTCCCAGCGTTTACAGTCCAACATTGAAAGCAACACCTCTTGGTCCTCTGTTTCTTCTTGGCTGGTTTGTAGCTCCAGCTGAAGTTCCAAGATTAACTTCAAAACTCATTCCTTGGTCTGTAACCCTTGGCATGTTATTACTGTTGGAGTTAGATGGTCCTTCATCACGAACAAATGTCCCACTCCTGACCATTGTAGGAGCTGAAGTTGATGAACCACTGTTCTGGTTTCGCACAGGTAAAGTCTGGTTTTCTATATCATTATGCGTTGGCGGAGGTGCGGAATTAGAGGACTGGTTTGTGGAACTTTGAGAAGTGTTCTCTGACCTTGTACCAAGTCTGTATCCTGGACTGTTCCCAAATGTATTTGTTGCATTGGAACTGTTGTTAATAGTATTTCTATTATTTGTCACATTGGTGGTTGTATTAGCAAGGGCATTTCTATTATCTGCAATGGAAGGTACTCCTTCATTCCTATTACTGTTTGTTGTTGAGGAGGCATTACTAGCTGGGTTTCTGTTTTGAATATTTGGATTTAATGAAGCATGTTGATTCCTGGTTCTATTAACAGCTTCATTACGGGTTGTATTGTTTTGCACTTGTTGGTTCTCTGATCTTCTTTGTGCTGCCTGGGCTGCTGCAATTCTTCTCTGTGTTGCAACATTTGTTCTTGGACTGATGTCGCTCTGTCTTGGATTGGGTAAATGGGTCTGTCGTGTATTATTGGATGATTGATTAGTATGTCTCGGTGTTGGCGTGGTAGCTCCAGCTCCTGCATTCCAAGAGCTTATGTACCCAGAGTCTTGGTTATTCTGATTGTTTCGTCGACTACCAGTCCCTCCTAAAGGAGAATCCCATGACGTGGTAATTCGATTGTGAGTTTCATTACCAAATGGATTATCTAAACTTGGAGCAAATGGGTCATAGCCACCAAATATGCTGCTTTGATTCTGATGGATGAAGTTGTCCCGGTAACGGTCATCTCGCCTGCGAGGACCATTACCGCCACCTATAGTTTGATTTGCTCTACTTGGAGGATGTGATTGCCGTGGAGCTGGTAAAGTGCCACCTATTCCCCGAGAGTCAAATTCAGATGCATTAAACATGTAATCAAGTCTTCGTGTGGGTGGAATAGTATTTCTTGACCTTGCATTATTTGGTACAAGAGATTCCTCAGATCGAAAAATATTATTCATGTTATTCCCAAATGTGTTTGATTCAACAGTGTCTAAAGGGAGAATGCGTTGGACTTGATCATTAGATCTTGTATTACTTGAGGGTGTAACCCAGGTCACTTCCCCAAAGTTTGAAATGCAGGATTGCAGGGGTGAATCATTTGCTTTGAAATGGACAGGCTTTGGTTGAGGAGCTGAGTTTTGATCAAGCTTTTTAATTTGTTCCATGGACTCATTACACTGGTTTTTAAATGCTATAAGAGCAGAGTCTTGGATGGTATTGTTAGATGTGTTAAGCTTTGTCTCAATAGAGTCACAAGAGCTTGAAATACTTGCTAACTGAACCTCTAATGACTCCTGATGTAACCGCAGTGATCTTTGCTCACCAGTCAAAAATGTATCAAGTTCACTCTGAAGTAACTTTTGTCTTTGTTTTAAATCACGGATGTGTCTTTCAACAGAGTTATTTATTTCACTTTTGACACCTTCACACATTTGTTTCAATTGTTCTTGTTTGTTTTCAACAGTGCTTATTGATTCACTCACTTTTGGTAATCCATTTCTTATTTGATTCACAAGTCGTCCTATTTCAAGTCTCATTTCACTCACATGGGATTCTTTACATGAGGAGCAGACCATTTTATCACAATGTACACATTTAGATAAGTCAGCTTCATTTTCACATACACGACATTGGTTCTGGCTAAGATTACGATTCTCCTCAGGTGGTTCCCTTGACTGTGCAGGCAAGTCAAGAAAGCGTGATATTGTCAGATTATTTGGAAATCCACTAATACCAGCATATGGTAATTTGTGCTCCTTGCGACATTCTGGACATTTAAGGCTTCTTGATGATTGATTAACAAGTCCCTCTAAGCATGGAGAAACACAGAAGGTATGCTGGCATGGTAGGATCTTGGGATTGTTAAATCTGTCTAGGCACACGGGACACTGCAGGAGCTGGCCTACCTGCTCTGCAGAATAAGTTGCTTCAGCCATTCCCTCTGAAAAGTTTTCAACACTAAATAAAATCACGTTTTAAAGAAAGTTACAAAATCTCATACTTAATAAAACTCATACTCATACTTAACAAAATCAGGAGCTGCGCTCCCTCGGTCAATATCATATTACCCTTTGATCAATATCATATTGTTCCTCGGAATAGAACCCATATTCAATGATATTCAATCCCGACCAGAAATAACCTATTTATTCCATAATACATCTGTCTAAAATGTTACATTTGGATAATGCAAAACATTATATTAATAAATGCACATTGTTTGAAGTTAAATTAAATTTAAAGTTAAAAATGGCCGGGAAACATAAAATAGGTTAATACGCTCAAATACTATTTTTCCCGGGAACAATACGATTTTTTCATTTAATATGCTCCAATATGATTTTTTCCCGGGGACAATATGATTTATTCATGTAATGCACGATTCAAAACGATTTTTATTCCTTCATATTTCCCTGGGAAAACAGTAGTGGGGGAGATTTGCTAAAGTCAAATGTCAAAACTAAGAAAAAACGCAAATCAACTCCACATTTACATGTATAGTTGGGAACAAAAATAAATTACACTTGGGTTTTCTATGACCATTTCCTAACCATGGTCGTCTGAAAGCCCACAATTTCCAATATTGTTTCGATACATATCCCTTAAAATTTGTATATTTTACATTTTGTATAATCCCATCCACTGATGTAAGGCTTCTTGTTTGACATGGGAAATCGTCACTTCAGCAAATCCACCTGTCATTTATTTATGTTCCAAACTGTATTTAGGTGATCAATAAAAGTGGATGACATTTATACAGTGTACACTACAATTTCAAAAAGTCACTAACCTTATTTTCACTAGGCTACTGATTAACGCGTAATCTCTTCAGTTTTACCAACAGCACGAGTATGTGTTTTTTCACCATGGTCATGACTCAAAATGTCACTCTGATATATATTAATAATCCAATGATGATCATGATGTTTACATTTTTGTAAACAAAACAAAATATTACCCGGAAGTGCCCAGGAACACAGCAAGTGTCAAATCGCTATCCGCGTAGAATATAATTTGGAAGTTATATTTCTTTTTCTGCACACCTATTTGTTATTTATGTCTTTGAAAACATTTATCATTGAGGTTTTAATAAAATACTATCATGTGAGTACATCATATAACATCATACATCATTATGATGCATTCCCCGGCATTTCACTCCCGTCTTTGCGGATGAATAAAAATAGTCCAATATGCATCGATTATGCGAACGTTTAAAATGCCCTAGTGGTAACTGTTTATCTCTGTTTTGTACATTTTAGCACCATATTTGCGCTATTATTATCGATGTGCAGTGAATTGCGATTGAAGAATGCTGAATAAGTTAAAGTGTGTGCTGATTGTTACAATGGCTAGGAGTGGTGGTGTTTCATGAACTCAAAATCGAAATTATCAATGACCATTCATCGGTCATGATTTTGCAGAAAAGTTAGATTTTTACGATTTTTCCACTCTGATCTCGGTAAGTACTCTCTAGTAGAACTTCCTGTTAGGTTGTTGGTATCTCAAAATGTTTTAAAATCATCATAGTAGTAGGAAGACTATTTTCTGCAATAAAATCTTGTTATTAACACATTTACCAATGAAGAAAATAGTCTTGGTCCAAGCAAATATCCAGTTGAGCGACAAATGGTGATATGAAAATGAAAGTAGCCTTGTAAGCTTAACTTGCTATGAGATCTTTACAAATAACAGTGTCATCAAGAGGAGGGAATGCCCCAGAGCTTTAGTGATGGCTGACATGTTACCTCTATTGCGTACCACCTTAGAGTCCATTTCACTGCTTCATTTCGTCAGTAGAACGGCAAAAATAAGAAATTGGGAGACCATTGTGCAATAATATATGGAAAAGTATATTCATAATGTACATGAATGACATTTGTATATTTCAGATTTTTTAGTTATTTGTGCAATAAGCCTGTGCCGTCTTGTAATTTGAAGAATTTCAGCCATGTTAATCTTATTGAAAATAACATGGCAGAGAAACATCCTAATATAAGAGGCCACACACTTTATAAGCCAAACTAGAAGCAATCCAAGATATACAAATGTCATTCATGTACGGAATGTACTAAAAACCCTTCGACCTACGACCCTTCGACCCTACGACTTACTGGGTGTCAAGAATTTTTGGAATATATTTTATTGAAAATCCCTTCGACCTCTGATTTCCCAGTCCAGTTTACTAAATGATTACGTATAGTTCCAACTTGAGCTCCCTGTGCACGCAAATACGCATTTACCTGGTAATTGTCAAGCAAAAATGTTTCAGTAGAAAAATTTCTAAAAAAGTTCGTCTACACAGCAAAAATATGAACGCCGAAAAAAAACGTACGCATTTCGTTCGGACTTTTCACGCGAATTACGTATATGTCACGCATTGCGTTCGAAATCTTTCCTCCCTACACCAACACCAACACCAACCCCACACACATTACAAATATGATGGTTATTAGACTTAGCAGAAATCTTGAGAACTCTAGAATCTCTGGTCATAAAAGGAAATGTAACTATGACGATTTGAATATTTATGAATTAGGAAGGTTTGTACATGTCAAAACATTGTCACTTCAAAGAATTCATAATCTACTGCTAGCCTATCAATCAAAGGTATGAATAGTGCAGCTGAATTGCGGAAGGAATATAAGAATCGCGCTGAAAAACAATCTTTTCAAATTACGATATCTCTAGAAATATAAGACCAATCACTAAGTTTTATACACCATTAAAAAGCTTAATTCACCGATAATTTAAGAAATAATTTTCATGATTAATGGAGAAGTACTTTTCTCTATATTTGACCAGAAAGAACATAAATAACTGAAAATGAATGATTATCGTCTATGCCCGGCAGGCGGGAAATGAACAAACACACTAATTTAGACTAGGCAATGAGAATAAGCTTATTTGTTTTGCATCCCTTTGCTTGCAAGATTTTAAGCAAATCAGAAAACACAATCACTTCCAAATGGCAACACAAGGGTCTGAAGGTACCATCGCATTTCGTTCAATCAGAATTGGAAATAGCGGACAATTTGATGTGCGTCAAAATTCTAAGTTGCTGTAACTGGGAAGAGTAATAGGCTATGGAGCGATTTTTGCATATATAATTTGTGAAAACTCATAAGCATGGGACACTATCTTATGACACTTTGGCAAGTAGGCAGCCATTTTGAAAAATGGCTTCTAACTTAGTGTGTGTTATTTTGCATATTACCACTCAAAAGTGGACCTATTTTTTCACATTTGATATGTTGATACTCATAAGCATGGCACATTGGCCAGGTGGCCATTTTGAAAAGTGGCCTCTATTTTAAAGTCTAATTTTACTTTTTTTCTAAAACTTGAAAAGTAGTTGAACGATTTTGAGATCAAAAGTTCGATGGGATTTGCTCCACCTCGCATTGCTGTTATCTAGTTCTGAAATGTTTCATATCTATGTCTAATAAATATAGTTGTATAGATGTGTTTGTAATAATCTTTATGCCCTTAAAATGTATATATTCAGGGGGGGGGACATTCGTGGGTTCAAGTGGACCACTCCATTGGCCAAATATTCTCTCAAAACCAGTACAATTTTTCACGATTCTGAGCATTTTCAAGATTTCTGGGCCCGTGAAAATTGTCAAATGTTCACCCCTTGATCCTTTTGAAAAACTTAAATTGGCAAAAGCTGGTTATACGAACCTGATATGACCTAGCTTGCAAACTTTTTCTTGAGTTTGTGTTTATTTTCCTTGTACCCTTGCATGCTACAATGTGATGGGAAAAGCACAAATATTTTTACTGAGGAGGTAAGAAACGTTCACATTCGAATGTGCTTGAATACATTAAACCTGTACATCGCTCCAAAACGCAATATGTTGACACACATTGTTTTTACATTTTCAAGCTCTAATATAAAGTTTATGTAAATAAAAAAAAATTATCTGCGTAATGTCAAAGAACAATCATTTAGTTAAAAAAATAAAAAGGCGAATGCGGGATTCGAACCCGGGCCTCCCGCGTGCTAAGCGAGCATTTTACCGCTGGACCACCATAATATTATGAATGATGGAGGTAATTAAAAGCTACTTATTTTGAATGCTATGATTCGGAAGTGACGTCACGTTCTTCATTTAGAAACCTTTCCAAAATCATATCGCCTTACCTTCTTCTAAGGCCACTGTATCGTATATTAGTATTGGCTAGAGACTCGAGTAAATATCGCCGGCTCCGATCGAAGTCCAGCTTTAAATATCTTTAACTCTCTTGGGACAGATTCTTAAGTTCTATACACAAAGTAATATTTCCAGCAACTTCATATGGACTGAGAAATATCTAGAAGGTCGAAGGGTTTTTATAAAAATATATTTCAAAAATTCTTGACACCCTGTAAGTCGTAGGTCGTAGGGTCGAAGGGTCGAAGGGTTTTTAGTACATTCCTTCATGTACAGTATGAATATATTTTTCCATATATTATTGCACAATGGTCTCCCAATTTCTTATTTTTGCCGTTCTACTGACGAAATGAAGCAGTGAAATGGACTTTAGTTTGCGCAAATTCTCACCAGTTAGTTTTTGAATATAACGCGTATCGTCATGATGTTTTATCGATGTTAGCATACTCCTTACATCTTTCTTTATCTTGATGTGAAATAAGAAGCTATTATATTGGTTAACACGCCAGGAATTAACATAATATATAGGGGTGCACTCGGGATGCGCGCTCCCCCTATATTACTCGAGTCCCTAGCCAATACTTGGCTAGAGGGGATTTCATCTGGAATACTGTGAACTCCATTTGAAAAAAGCTGGCCGCCGAGTCATAAATTTATTGAATATTTTAAAAATCGCCAGATAAATAAATCATTAATCAAAACGGACCCCGCTCGGCTCCTAGTCATATAAATCTGACCCTCGTATGATGTTATTTGTTGTTATTTTTTTCTGATTTGGATATTTATTTTTCTTATTTTCTTGCATACGAGGGTCATAAACACTAGCGCTTGTATATTGCGGGAATTGCTTTCCTGGCATGTCTACCCAACCAAATTCACACAAATGATAAATTAATTTCTTTGCTTCAACTATAAAGTATTTAATCTTACCTTAGGCACGTAAAACGCTTGGTAATTGAAGAAATATAAGCACGCTGCTAAATTTTAAAATTTTCTCATTTTGCCTACCAAGGTCACTTCCGGGTTAATCTGATAGTCTAGATGTAAAACTATATCAAACGAAATCATAAGTTATTGTTACACAAATATTCAGTTGAAAGGGAAGCAGTGTCGTTGAGAAGGGAAGTTATTTGGAAAAGTTATTGTTTCAAAATGAGAAAAGTAATAAGTGGCAGAGAACGGCTTTGGAATCGATCTCTGTGTAATAAATAATTATGATTCCGTTTCGATACATGTTATACATTTAGACTACCGGAAACAACATTCAGCAACATGGCGGGCGATAATGAAAATATAATTCAATTGATTATATTTCGTCAATTATCAAGCGTTTTACATGTCTAAGGTAAGATTTAACACTTTGATGTTGGAGCTAAATAATTACGTGATAATTTGTGTGACTTTGGTTAGTATGGTAACTATATTTACCAAGACAGGCCAGAAAAGCGTTTACCGCAATTTGTTCCATATAATATCTACGACCGTGTATGCAAAGAAAATGATAAAAAATAAATATCCAAATAAGAACAAGGAATATCGAAGAACAGCATACAACGGTCGGATTTATATGACTACTCGGCTCCTTGATGAGATATGACATGATTTCATCAGGATTTTGTCTAAAATTAAAACAAAATGGCTCCAAGAAAAATGGCGATGTTCGAAAACTGGACGAAATGTCGTTAACGTTTGACATTAGTAACTGGCTGTAAATTCTAAGTTAGCGATCCAGAAGATGTGAACTAATACACTGATCACTTCATGTGTGTTTTGGAATTTTTGGTGAGGTAATAAGACCAAAACTCGCAATTCAAATTGTGATGTGGAAAAATGATTTCAAATTTTATGATTACAACATGACCAGTTGTTCATGCAGGAATATATCTTTACTGGAAGGCCAGGATACAGTGGCCTTAGAAGAAGGTAACCCCTATAGTCCTATAGTATATTAGTCCTGATGATACGACATCAGATCACGACGTAACATTGTAAGGCCATAAGAAGTAGATTCTTTGTTTTGCGTCCCCTTGCTTGCACGATTTTGAGTAAATCAGAAAAAACAAACACATTCAAATAGCAATCACAAGGATCTGAATCAGACGTCAATCAGAATCAGACGAAATGGCAGATAATTTGTTGTGCATCAAAATTGACAGTGGTATTAATAAGTTTGGCATACATAGTGTATTTTCTTATTTTTTACCCTTGAATAATAGCTATGTTTAAATATATTATATAAATGTATAGATATGTGTTTGTTATCACTACAAATTGGTATGTCATCCCTTTTTATGCCCATAAAATGTATACAATTCTCAGCAAACAAGTTTGTGTTTTTTCTTGAGTTTGTGTTTGTTTTCCTTGTACCCTTGTATGACTTTGATTTTGCCAGGACGCAAAACAAAGAATCTACTTCTTATGGCCTAATTGTTCAATTTACAAACAAAATTTCAATTTTTACTTAAAAATATGAGTACAGGTTTTGTTCATGTGCAATATGAATATATTTTTCTATATATTATAGCACAATAGTCTTTAGATTTCTTCTTTTTCAGCTTCAACTGCTTGCCTTTGAAGCATTGAAACAGACTTTAAGTGACTAAGTGACATCTATCTCAAACTATATGTTATTGTTAATAGTTATTAAGCTACAATGAACTTTATGAGAGTTGTAAGCTACAATAATCATGATGACAGTTAAAAGTTACAATGATCATGACTACAGTTATAAGCAACAATGATCATGGTGACAGTTAAAAGTTACAATGATCATGAGGACAGTTATAAGCTACAATTATCATGATGATGGTTATAAGCTTCAATGATCTTGGTGACAGTTACAAGTTACAATGATAATGATGACAGTTAGAAGCTACAATGATCATGAGGACAGTTATACGAAAGCTACAATTATCATGATGATGGTTATAAGCTTCAATGATCTTGGTGACAGTTATAAGCTATAATGATCATGATGACAGTTACAAGTTACAATGATTTTGATGACAGTTACAAGTTACAATGATAATGATGACAGTTAGAAGCTACAATGATCATGATGGCAGTTATAAGCTATAATGATCATGATGACAGTTACAAGTTACAATGATTTTGATGACAGTTACATGTTACAATGATCATGATGACACTGTTTAGACTGACTTCAATTTTTTTCTAAAGTCATAGATAAAAGTTTTCAGAAGTTCAAATCTGACTTTATATTTAAGATTTGACCTTCAATGACCTTTTCAAGGTCAAAAAAGGTAACAAAAGTTAAAAAGGTCTATTTTCAACCAAATTTCTATTTAAATCATCTACAAGTTATCAGAAATTCAAATCTGACTTTAGATTTGAGATTTGACCTTCAATGACCTGCTCAAGGTCTAAAAAGATCAAAAGGTATTTTTTCAACCTGCTTCAAATAGACCATTTTTTCAAAATCATCTACAATTTCTCAAAAATTCAAATCTGACTGTAGATTTGATCTTCAATGACATTCTCAAGGTAAAAAAAGATTGACATTCAATGACCTTCTCCAGGTCAAAAAAGTCTCAAATTGACCATTTTTTCAAAATGATCTACAAGCTCTCAAACGTTCAAATCTGACTATAGATTTGACCTTCATTCTCAAGGTAAAAAAATTAACCAATCATTACAAATTCTCGGAAGTTCAAATCTGACTTAAGATTGAATGTGAGCAACCAGGTGGTGACATTTTGTCATGTTAATGCCTTGTTATAAATATTGCTTTTTGGTATTACAGTTCAAGCTTCACTATTGTCAAGAAAAACTGAAACCATCCCTGTCATGTGTCAACTCCATTCATATTCTGGTAAGTTTATAATCAACCTATTGTTAATTTATTGTTTGTTTATGTAATATATGGATAATAATGTTAAAGTGTGATGCATTCAGGCCCAATGGAATGTTTGAAAAGGTCCTATGGCAGTATGATTTTGGTCATCGAAAATTGATATCTTTAAAACTAGACTTTCAATACCATTCTACTTTTGAAGATGTTTAGACCCCGGTTTAGACCCTTGTTGAATAATGTTTTCACGCAATAAAAATCAGAAAAAGAAGATCCTCTTTTGAGCAAATAAGTTCAACATTTTGAGAAAATTATTGATGTGGAGTCCCTATTTATAATTTTTCGAATTGTTTGATTGATATTTTTATCACCATGGGGACTTCACTTTAAAGAAAACATATTGTCTTAATAAAAACCACTGTATTTATGCCCAGAAAGTACTCATGGTAAAAGATATGACCATCTAAAATCGCTTGCCATACTGCACATGGATCTTTTTCATGACTTTAGTTATAAGAGAGTCATTTTTAGATATTTTTGAAAAAAAGATTTGGGGGGAAAAAGTTGTCAACTTTTCGTTTTTCAAATATTCAAATTTCCCACAATTTTTAAAAAAGTTAACAAAGTTAAAACATTTTAATCATCAAAAATCCCACTATACAGTGCAAAAATATTATCTTTTTATCACCAATGCAAAGATAAATGACATACTATTTCAATAATGAAATGTCAAAATAAATGTGCCACTAGTGACTAAATGTTTTAGTACATTAATAAAATGTTACATCCTTAGTGATATGATGCACATATTGCACAGATATAATGTAGAAATAAGGGAGTGGAAGGGATTAATCATTTTTTCTAATTCGGCTAGAACAACGAAAATAAGCATTTTTTTGCAAAAAAATATGACGCACAACTGTCGTCTTTCAAAGCGACGCTAAAGTGGATTACCGCTGACTGTTGAAGCATGTATATGTAAATAAGACCAACTTAGTTATACTGAAAAAACACATGAATATATATTTGATTGACATTTTCTTATTTTAATTCTCTACATTCACAAAGGTCCATGAAATAATCTCCTTGTCCTATCATAGACTGCAAGTCCATGGTCCTATTTAGAAATTGAATTACTCCTTCCCCATAGCATTTGTATCCTCCTTGAAATAATACAGTACTTCTGGATTCCTTGAAAGGATGAGTTGATTCAGTTTTTTAGATTATTTCTCCAATTTTTCAAATAGATCTGACATATCTGTCAAAATGATTGAAATATCTTTCAAAAAGATGAGGGGAAGTATGTGCATGCTAACGTTTCCTTTTTTAACCTAGCCTTAAATAGTTGGTACTTTTAATCAGTGTTTGCCATGACCAGGAATTACAATAACTGGTATTTTGGTGTGGTGAAGTACATAGTCACTGACACTACCTAGGATAGTTCTCCTTACAGCACCTGAAAAATTAACCAAACTCGGATGTACTCGGGACATAGATATGTAAAAAAGTTTGATGTTTATCAAGATCAAGAGAATTTTTTATGAAGGACTTTGTATTAGAAATGACGGTGAAATTTACATATCAAGAATATTTTCAGGTGGATATAATATACTCATATGTATAAAAAGAAATCAAAATTATAAAATTTCTTAAATGCCCCATCTTAAGGTTGAAAATATGTTTTTATCATTCATCTATTACTATTTTTCATGACTTTAGATTTTTGAAACAAAAAAGTTTAGGGAAAAAACATCGTTAAACAAAATAAATAGAGTGATCTGATGATTGCTGTTTCAGCTTACATTGAATCTCCATTTGCATCAAAATGATACCTTACATGTAGATCTCTTAGATTCTGTCACAATATTGGAGAGTTTAAGCTAGTATGAGATATAAAATCAAATCGACAGTGTATATAGTACGTATAAATCGCCCATATATAAATACATTTAGCTTCCTCACTTAAATAGCCATCGAGTACATCATCATCTTCAGAAAGAATTCTACTCTGTATGGAAATCAAAATTACCAGCATAGTATGGCAATAGACACCAAGTATAATGATTCCCATTGACACCAACGTGAAATTTGGATTTATTCGTATTCTAAACACAAAACCGAATCTGAACGGTAATCTGAAGTAGACTCATTAGCACTTGTTATGCACGCTTATTTTACATTGAAAAACATTGAAAGCTTAAACTCTCCAATGTCAGACATGTCAAGTTGAGTTTACGTAGTCCCATAGATCCTATCACAATGATGTTAGACCTTATATTGGAGCTTTGACCCTATATTGTATTGTATTTTGTTTACCACCAATGAAGGTTAGCAATACCTCTTGGGTATGTCCCGTATATGTACGGTCGTAATTTAAGTAATTAACATGGAAGACCCAGAAACCCCTCCTTGAAGGAGCCCTGTGTTCTTTTATGTGCACTTATACATAGACATACAAGTACACACCACAGCCTTTTGTACGAGTTGCGGACCACTCAGTCAAACACCCTGAAGTACTTCACGCAAACAAGCAAATTTAGTCTTGCCTGAACCGGGGATCGAATCCGGGACCTATTGCGTAAGAGGTACCTGCGCTACCGCTGAGCTACACGGGTGGACTTAGAGCTTACCCTTTCTCAAGAGATCCTATCATAAAGATCCTGTAGCTTACTTAGTCCCCTAGGTCCTATCACAATGATGTTAGACCCCGAAACATATCTCGTCCCAAAGATTATATTACAATGATGTTAAATTTTAAAGCTTACTTGTTTTCCCAGATCTTTTAAAGATAATGTAAATCCTAAATTTACCAAGTTCTCTAGATCCTTAAACAATGCCCTAGATCATATTACAATAATACCAGACCTTAGAGCTTACCTAATCCTCTAGATCCTATGACAATTATGTCAGCTTTTATATTTTCATCCTCAGAGAACTCCACAATTACATCCCCTGTGTTCATGCTAATCTTATAATGAGCATCACCCTCTATCTGAAATAGTGTCTTTATCATCAATGTACATCAAGAGTAAATGTCAATAATAATATACAGGTATCAATAAGAATGATAACGCACCTACATGATGAACATTTTTCATTAAAAAGAAATCTAAAAGAACAACATAGTGAAAAACTATCCGTGTAACTGTATATCTTTCTACTTGATATTTTTATCGCACCCTAAGGTGCTATATTGTAATCAGTTTGCCAGCCGGTTAGGCGGTCATCCCGAATAATCTTGTCTACAGGTTTCCAGCCAAATCCCTCAAACGGTTTGGCTGGTAACCTGTTGACAAGCATTGACAGACAAGATTTTAGGTCGGAAAATCCAAAATAGCCGCCTTAACATTTATCCAGAATGCCGAAAAACTAATCAGTTCTAAATGTTCATGGATAAAAACATCCCTGAGAATTTCAAATGAATCCCTCAAATGGTTTGGCTGGAAACCTGTAGACAAGATTATTCGGGACGCACGCCCGCCCAACCGCCCAGCAAACTGATTATTACAATATAGCACCTTAGGGTGCGATAAAAAAGAATTTTCCATTGAGAGCAATGTTAAATGAAAACATTTTTTAGAACTAACTAAATGGTCAATCTTTCCAATTTTCACATATTTTGTAATACATCAGTATATCTTTTACCAGGATTATTTTCAGGAAAATCTGAATGGTAGAAAAAAAGCTGATACACTCTGAAGTAATACCTTAAGACGTGTCTCTTGAGGGTTGTTTACAGGTTTCAAGGATTCATCCTAAAATTTTAGAGATGTTTCTATGGAAAGTTTAGAACTGATTAGTTTTTAGGCAGTCTGGGTAAATGTTAAGGTGGCCATTTTGAATTTTCCATCCCGAAAAGTGTATTCTGTTCAAGGGTGCGATTCTGTTCACCCTGTGGCTTGTTTTACCTTGTGTTGTTTCAGTTTTGCTTTGTAGTCTGAGAGTAAAGTCATAACTTTTTTCTTTTCCTGTTCAAGTCTGTCATGAACTTCACCTGCGAATGGTACAATTTTGATCAGCTAAACACAATCAGTTTTGATCAGCTACACATATAAGGCTAATCAGTAGAATTTTGATCAGTTAAACACAATCAGTTTTTATCAGCTACACGTATAAGCATAATCAGTAGAATTTTGATCAGTTAAACACAATCATTTTTGATCAGCTACACGTATAAGCCTAATTAGTAGAATTTTGATCAGTTTAACACAATCAGTTTTGATTAGCTAGACATATAATCCTAATCAGTAGAATTTTGATTGCTCTAATGCAAAGTGTTAACCAGCTATCAATGCAATCAGTAGAATTTTAATTTATTACAAACATAATCTAAATTAGTTTGGAAGAAGAAATAAACACACAAATATATTGATAATCCTTTTTAATATTGATTCAGTTACATAGTTCATTAATAAAATCAAGGTAACACATCCTCATGTGAACTATACTTACCTGTGAACTTCCATCCCTGGTATCCAGTGAGTACAGGCTGGTGGACATGTAGTAGGTGGACTTTGTCTCCTGGTCTGTGAATCTCAGACACATACCCTAGTGGAGAAATAATGTTTTTTAACCTTGTAAAATTGTGGAACTTTAGCAATGATTTATGAAAATGGCAGTGCCCATTATTAGCAAATGAGGAATTGTATGCACTGTTAGATAGCTGGCATTCATTTTCTATTCAAACTCTAGTACAAGTGCAAGTAAAAAAAATCTGGGGGAAACTCAGAAATAGTGTGCACTTGTGCAGTATTTAAATTCATAAGCAATTAGTATAGCAGTGCCTTATTTATGAAAAATGAGCAAAATAATCATGATCTATTGCACTGCAGGTGCTTTCAATTTTATTTGATGATATTGGTTTATTATCAATTGTTGAACTACTATGACCTTCAAGAACTGGCATCTGGTCATCTGTTTGATAATTATTTGTTAAACAAGGTTCAAGTTGAGGCTATAACTTGTTTATGTATTTCAGAGAACAATGGATTCTTCATGTTTGTCTGCATACCTGCCAACCTAAGACCAAAATTTTGCGGTAGATTTTTTTTAAATTGCTGTATTTTTGCGGTAGATTTTTTCAAAATGCGGTAGATTTTACGGTATTTTTCAACAAAAATGCGGTAGTTTTTGCGGTAGATTTTTAAAAAAAACGGTAGTTTTTGCGGTAGATTTTAAAAAACGGTAGTTTTTGCGGAAAATTTCTTAAAAAACGGTAGTTTTTGCGGTAGATTTTTTAAAAATACTGTAGTTTCAGAGGTTTGGGGTAGATTTTTGAAAAAAGTGTAATTTTGTGGTAGAAATTTTAAAAGAGCGGTAGTTTTTCGGAAGATTTAGAAAAAATGCGGTAGTTTTACGGTATATTTTTAAAAATACGGTAGTTTTTTACGCTAGTTTTTTGAAAAATCGGTAGTTTTGCGGAAGATTCTGAAAAAATGCGGTAGTTTTACGGTAGATTTTGAAAAAATGCGGTAGTTTTTACGGTAGTTTTTTGAAAAACCGGTAGTTTTGTGGAAGATTTTGAAAAAATGCTGTAGTTTTACGGTAGATTTCGAAAAATGCGGTAGTTTTTACGGTAATATTTTGAAAAAATGCGGTAGTTTTTACGGTAGTTTTTTGAAAAACGGGTAGTTTTGTGGAAGATTTTGAAAAAATGCTGTAGTTTTACGGTAGATTTCGAAAAATGCGGTAGTTTTTACGGTAATATTTTGAAAAACCGGTACTTTTGCAGAAGATATGCAAAAGATGCGTTACTTTTACGGTAGATTTTGAAAAAATGCGGTAGTTTTTGCGGTATATTTAAAAAAACTAGTTTGCGAAAAAATTTGAAAAAATGCAGTAGTTTTGCGGTCGATTTTGAAAAAATGCGGTAGTTTTTGCAGTAGATTTCTAAAAAACTAATGAATAAAACAGTATGTTAACCCTGTTATCACACCAAACTAGTTCTCACTACGTTCTCGAAAACGGGCTTAAACTGTGCACGAACGGATTTGACGTACTAAGAAACCATTAAGAACCGTTTTGGATCAGTTACAAACTTCATGAAACTACTTGAACGAGTAGGTCCTCCAGAACTTAGAGCATGCTCAAAATTTTCTGGTGATCGTCACATTCTGCAATCAGCACGAGTGATAATGTAACTGAATGAACGTAGCTACAACGTTCTTCGGTCTGTTTACGAACTTCATGGACTTTCCCGGACGGGGAATGTGATTTAGAATTTTGAATCGATTCAATATCCTGCCGATACCTTATATTCGGTTTGGTAAAGGTTATTACAGGGACAGTACAGAAAGACTTCAATTTTAAGCATTTCCAAACAAAAACGGGAGATTTTACGGTAGTTTGAACAAAAATACTGTTGATTTTAGCAGAAATACAGTAGATTTCCAAACATTTACGGTAGATTTTCAAAAATTTACGGTAGATTTTACGGCCGTTCTCATGGAAAAAACAAGTTTTTAAAAAAAAAATTTACGGTAGATTTAGGAAAAAATACGGTAGATTTTTTTACGGGCATTTTTACGGGAAAAAAATGGCTTTTTCTTACGGTAGTTTGTCATTTTTTACGGAAAAAACGAAAAATTTACGGTAGGTTGGCAGGTATGGTCTGTATGATTACTTCACTATCCCAATGAATGAAGTTCTGTAGGTATATAGCGAAGCCCTCTGTCCATCAGTCTATCCAGTCAGGAAGTACCCTGCGTGCAGTCTTGTTATAAACTACCCTCTGCCTAGTATAGACTATATTACAGTTTAGCAGTAATGTAATGACCCTTGATAGCAAGTTGCTATTATGGCCAAGCTGGGTTCAAATCCCTATCGGGGCATCGAATTTAGCACACTTTCTCTCAATTTATTTGTCTGGCTGGTTTGACCTATGCTCGCGGTCGTTAGTTAGTTATTCCCCAAGGGCGCCCTCGGGTCATTACATATTACAATCCACCCATATGCCTTTATTTATTGATGTGTCATCCGGCTAGTCAAGCAAAAAAGCCGGAATTGTAGAAATGTTAAAAATAAGAGCTATTTTGAGATTTAAAAATCTTTAAATTTGAACCCTTCAATGACTGTATCATGTCCCACGTAGGTGGGTATGAGGTAGGAGGTTTTTTTATCGTACCTAACAAAAGGTACGATATTGTAGTCAGCTTGACGGGCGGCGGGCAGGCGGGCGGGCGGCGGGCAGCGTCTCACTTTTCAGCTTGTCTACAGGTTTCCAGCCAAACCATTAGAGGGATTCATCTGAAATTTTCAGGGATGTTTCTACATATCAACGTCAAGAACTGATTAGTTTTTGGGCATTCTGGGTCAATCTTAAGGTGGCCATTTTGGATTTTCCGTCCTAAAATCTTCACTTTCAAGACTTGTCTACAGGTTTCCAGCCAAACCGTTCAAATTTTTACATATATGTTACACAGTGATAAGTTCTAGAGCTGATTAACTTTTCTGCGGCCATCTTGCTTTCTTGGTCAACAAGACCACAATGCTGTGTTTTAGGTACGATATTGTTCACGTCTGTGCCTTGTATACAAAGCCACCCTGTGGTGTGTATTTAGAGGTTATGTCACTATGACGTGAAATATGCCTGAGTTCTCCCAATATAGGCCGACCTTGGGAGGCTCTATATTTGGGCAAGAACGAAGGCATATTTCACGTCATAGTGACATAACTGATGTATTACATGCCTTTGTTCCCATGGTTACTTTGTATCAATGACGTGACGTCATGATATTATCATGGTTATTAAAGAAATCTAATATCAAAACGAGGTAAGCGGGCTATATCGGGGTAATCGGGCAATATCGGTGGATATAGCTCGCTAACTTTCCCATTGACTTCCATACAAATGCTTCGCTAGGTATGTAATACTCAACGATATTACCTCTGCTCTTCAGTCTATATTTCTTAATTAGATCTCAAATATTGTATTGTTGTCTTTATGACTTGTACCTTTGAAACTCCTAAATGGCCACCCAAATGCTTGAATTGGTGAAAATTTTGATATCCAATGTGCGTTGGGATTTGTTTCTCCAATAGAGTTGCTGATTTCGAGTTGTGACATCATTACAATGAACAGTCAAATACTTACAGTCAAATGCCTTGGATGCATTATCACTGGAATCGACTGGAATTACTACACATTTTGAATTCTCAGTTTTTGACGCCATTTCTTTTTCTGATATTAGTGTACTCTCCAAAATGATATACAGTTATGTAAATCTGAAAATTAAGATGTTTAGAATGTAATATAATGTGTCCCATGTAAAGCACAATTCCCTCTTTGAAGAAGGAGGGGTGCACAAATCCCATTCCTTGGTACGTTATTTAGATGACTTTGTTCAGCACAGTATAAACATTTATCAATGTATATATGATGATTGCTTTGCTATTGATCACATTTACTATACACCGTGTATAGAGGAACAAACTCTCTATCCCCCCCTCCCTCCTTCCTACATCTATTATTTGTCAATCCCCAGTCACAAAAATGCATTTTGATACAGCTAGAACAGATGAATTTTCTAAACATCGTTTGCAGTGAATAAAACTAATAGATTTAGATTTCAGACATATTTATTGTAAAAGTGACTTACCAGTTCTGTCTGACTGTATGGTACAGTATAGTAAACATGTAAAACAATATCTACATGTGTTATTCAAACCTCTGTTTATCTAGAGTGAAGTTCTGAACTTTGCCCAGCAATTCTTTATGCATGGGATATGTGTGTGTTGGCCCTCTGTGAGTATGTGTACTGAAATGACATTGTCAATGAAAAATATTATTTACAGAATATGTCAAAGTTACTTTACTTTTCATGCAATTTTCCTTCTTGGCTGTTTATTGCTATGCATATAGGTGAGGACATATTATATTATCTTTAGGTCAGACTGCACTTTCTACCATTTTGATGGCTATGTGCTTTTTTCAGATGAATGTAACTCATTCCAATTAAACACTTAACTTATATTGAGTGTTAATTTTTCTTTAGAATGAATGAATAACTACATAAATTAGCGGTCTTCTTTTCAAAATTGCAAAAAATTCTCATCATGCAGATCTGTCTAATGGCCCATGTAAAGTTCAAACTTTTGGTGATATTTTATACTGTACTCACAGTAATAAGTGCCCAGGGTGCTATTGAAATTGAAATTCCCATTGTAACCCATTACGAAGAGCGCCCATATATGAGAGAAGTCAAAAATCCTCGCGAATTTCATGTATGGGAATTTTTCTTGCCAAAAATGCCTTATTTGCAACGAAAGTAACGAAAAAATGTATATTTATAATGTTATTTTAATGTTTGTTACTCTTATACCCTTGTTGTGTCATTTAAAGAACAATTCATTTTTTTTTTATATTTCATTTATAAGTTAAGGTTATAAAACGGCATATTTGCGTCCTTTGATCTATCTTTGCTGATAACGGTATTCTGTTTGTGAATTCTACATACAAAAGTAGCCCAAGCAGCCAATTGAGAATCAAGTTATAGAATTTAGAATTTATTAAGGCACGTACGGCCACTGTGTTATCAGGGCATGGCCAGACTACAATTATACGAACTACATTTACAGATACAGTTACATTTATACAGTCACCTTAATCTACAAAGATATTGTGTTGTAATGGTTGAATGTTATAGGTTTCTTTTCTTAAAGCACATGTCAATGAAATGCAGGACTTCCTCCATATTTGATTTGTATGACATAATGTATAAGAACTTGTTTTCCTCAGTATCTCTGCATATTCTACATGTATATGGTGGCCCAGACAGCCACTTGAGAATCAAGTTATATCTCTGCATATTCTACTTGTATATGGTGGCCCAGACAGCCAATTGAGAATCAAGTTATATCTCTGCATATTCTACATGTATATGGTGGCCCAGACAGCCAATTGAGAATCAAGTTATATCTCTGCATATTCTACATGTATATAGTGGCCCAGACAGCCAATTGAGAATCAAGTTATATCTCTGCATATTCTACATGTATATAGTGGCCCAGACAGCCACTTGAGAATAAGGTATATCTCTGCATATTCTACATGTATATGGTGGCCCAGACAGCCACTTCAGAATCAAGTTATATCTCTGCATATTCTACATGTATATGGTAGCCCAGACAGCCACTTGAAAATCAAGTTATATCTCAAGATATTCTACATGTATATGGTGGCCCAGACAGCCACTTGAGAATCAAGTTATATCTCTGCATATTCTACATGTATATGGTGGCCCAGACAGCCAATTGAGAATCAAGTTATATCTCTGCATATTCTACATGTATATGGTGGCCCAGACAGCCAATTGAGAATCAAGTTATATCTCTGCATATTCTACATGTATATGGTGGCCCAGACAGCTGTAAAAAGTGAGTTATAACAATGTGGAAATAATGGGACGATATGTTAGGCTAATGCATTCACTCCAGGAAAAGTACTCAAAGAGTTGATAAAATAATTTGAGACTTTAAGACATGAAGGTGCAAACACCCAAACCAACAGATTTTTTCCGAACCTTTCAAAAGAAAAAATGATTTTATTTGGGATTAAAGAGAGAATCAGAGATAGCGAGTAGGCTAAACAAAAAATTGTTTCAATTTTAGAATATTTTTGGCTCATGTCATTCCTTGTCATGTCTATTTTCTAAAAATCACAAAAGTGCATACTTTATTCAAGGAAAACGAAAGATTTTTACAATAATGTATTATTTTTCTATAAGAATGGTTACCATTCTTATTATTTGGGAGAATTGAAATCATTTTTGCACTTTGAATCATTAATAACTTTACCAATTTAAAACATATTGTGAATTTTTTGGGAGATATTGTATTAGATATTGTAAGCAATTGATTGGTAGGTCAATTATGCACATTGCTTGTAATTTTGTCACCCCCTATAGATCTGATTCTGCCTTTAAGTGGAAAAATATTTTCCTTGTTCCCATGTTGAGGGAAAACTCATGCAATCCATTGTTTTCAGGTTAACTTTGGTCACCAAATTACTGATACCTTTAAAACCCCTGCATGAAACCTATTTTCCTTTGAGGAGGTTAACCGTTTCTCAAAACGCAACATACTGATGCATCAAACATTGAAAAAAGGGGTGGAAAGGGCTGAATTTCAGGACAACATTTTAGAAAAAACATGTTGGTTGGGTGTTTGCATATTCTCTGTCTCAAGTCCAAAATATTTTATCTTCTCCATGAGTACTTTTCCAGGAGTTTATGCATTGACCTAACATATGCACCTGTTCAAATCATCAGAAAATAGCCAAAATTCAACAAATGAATGTTTGAAATCTATTGTGATACCTTCCATTGTCTTCCATAAGGGACACACATTTTGGAGGGGAATGACTTTAGTATTTTATAAAAGTTTATTAAAAAAGCATATTGATATAATGCCTATATATACTTTTTTTTTAAAAACTCAATTTATTTTGATGAAATTAGGTAAAATATGATACCATATACAGTTTTATATATGTAATGAAGATATGATCTTACATATAAATTAGTTTTTAGAATTAAGACGGTAGTGTTCATTTAGTGTGGTAAAATGTAAAAGTATCAAAAATGACAGATGACCAGTGTAATTAATTGGTGATACTTATGACGATATCACATGCAAAGTTAAAAGTGATATTTTATAGTCTTGTACACATATGATATCTTATATGGTATTACTATATCTAGTATGTAAATGATATATATTTTATTTTTTAACTGAAGACAGTAGTAAAAACCTTATAAAATGATATCTTATACATTTTTCAACTTAAGATAGTAGTGTTAATTTTGTGTGGTAAATAGAACTGAGTATTAAGAATAAATAACTGAAAGAAAGTAAGTGTAATTGATGATACAATGTGTGGCATGATATCAGGTTGGAAAAAGTTAAAAATGATATCTTGTATAGTCTGAAATCTACGAGGGTTGATCCAAAAGTTATGTTTTTCCCAGAGTGCCAATTTTTGTATTTTATATCGCAATTAAACATAATTGTCTGAACGAAATGATGGTAAGTTTCATGAAATGAAGTTAATATATACACCTGTCAGCACCTGCCAATTGTGTAGTTGTTCTATCTCAATACAAGTTTGTTCTAAGTCAACTCTTCAAGACAAAAGTGACTGAAATTGTTCTCCACTTCCCATATTTACTTAAACTACCGTATTATCTCTATTAACGCACACACTCCAATAAACGCACACCCGACTTTTCCAAGAAAGACTGGCAACTTGAAAAACAAAAATCAAGAAAAAAATATAATTTTTCGAGCGGGCGATAATAGGGTAATATTGAATTATTCACTTACCGCTATCGATAGAGCCGTTTGTGAGTATAATGCTGTTACAGACGTGTCTAAGGAACCTTATGAGCTATAACTACGTTCATGATAACCTTATAGTGATGAGTTAAAAGCTACAATGAACGTTAAATCGGGCCCGTCGCCATTACTTAAACTCGCAGTGCATCATGGGAGTTCCGATTTATAAACAAACTATAAATATTCTTCTGCCCTTTCACAAACAAATATTCAATCCTTTATAAATGTTAAGTAGCATTATATGGAAATAAAACATATTTTCACCAACTATGAGGACCATTCAGATACAAGAAGCCTTTAGATTTTGACTCAGGTATCGGTGTCAATTTCCAAAATGGCGCCTGCTCGGAGCAATTGGGAGTGGATGTTTATCATCAATATTGATGCGTATTATAATGCCAATTAACCCACGGAAACACATTCAGCAGATTGATAAATGTATGAGGAAAACATAGAGGTATGATAATATGTTATCTAGTTGGAGTGAGTCTAGTTTTAAAGAGGAAAATCATGAAACACCCTATTATCGCCCAATTTTTTTTTCACAAATCCCCGGGGATTTTGTCATTTGAGACATCGATCTCCTCCAGGAGAATTTGGTAGACGCACTGTGCGTTTATTGGAGAGAATACGGTAATCAAATAATTCTAATTTTTTTGCAATATCAGAGATTATAGTAATATTAATCAGTTGTAGAAACATCAATAAGCTGGGTTTCATATGAAAAAAATTATTAAGTATCAAACTTTCAAACATGATTTCCCATAACTCATTTTTGAAATAGAACACTTTGGCTTTTGAACAGTGAAATGGCACACACACACCTTTTGGAGATTTTTTTACAAAATGTCATCATTATACCAGTTTAAAGTTTCATAAAACAGTATTGAAACTTAAAAATGAAGATGGACTTGTGACCTGGTAATTGTTGTCTTTAAATGTGATTTACCATACTAATGCCATGGTTACATTTTGCTCCGATTTGCAGTAATTGGAGCAAATGTGACCATATATAAATAAGGGTAAATGAAATGAATCGGTCCACTTAATCTATTTATATACTGTACATACATTGACAATATAATTGACATGTTACCTTTGGAAATAGCCTCTATAATAGTCGCTTTAATTTTTAAATTTTGTTTTGCAGTTCACCATATGGAAATAAACGAATAACCAATTAAGCTACAAATGAGAATAACTCAAAAGAAACTGTTTGCAATCATGGCATCACTCCAACAATCGAAGGGAACAACTGCAGTATTGAACTTACCAAAGATGCAGTACTACAGAAAGCCTCTCCCTGATTCCTGCATAGCATTCAGTTCCCCTCAAGGAAAAAAGTTGTTTTCTGAAGCCTTATTAACTGGACATATGGAATGTTACTTTAAGCTTGCCGAACAATTCAGGTAACATTTTATTTATTAATACTTGTTTTAAGTATATAAAAGATGGTATAAAAATACCTACTGTATTATCTCTAATAGACGCACACACTCCAATAAACGCACACCCGACTTATCCAAGAAAGACTGGCAACTTGAAAAACAAAAATCAAGAAAAAATACAATTTATTCGAGCAAGCGATAATAGGGTTAATATTGAATTATTCACTTACCACTATCGATAGAGCCATTTGTGTGCATAATGCTGTTACAGATGTGTCTCCGAAATATTAAGAACTATATCTACGATGTTCATGATAACCTTAAATAGTGCAGTCAGTAATGACAATAAAACCCTTGAATTGCACTTGCAATATATACACGGGGGTAAAGCAGACCCGATGATGCAATGAGCTTGCTCGGCGGTATCATGACTGTGTAACGGGTCTTAATGTATAAGTGTGCTCGGCGGTAGGTTCAAACAATGCGGATCCTCAAAGCATGTGCTCATGGTATATTCGTGTTTTAACACCAGTGTATATACGGCACCATTTTTTGACCAAAGTATCATTATTACATATATTTATGAAATCTACCGAAGTGGTGTCAAAAAGTGGCCCCAGTGGATAATAACAGGCTTCGAGAATTTTGCATGTTTCCATTGAGCCCCATGTTAATTCATCAATCTTCAAAAGACACCCTGCAGAACAGTTCAGGAGCACAAGTGGCTCAAAATAATTTTATTATCCCATCGAACGAAGTTCGGAGGGATATAGGGAACGCCTCCGTCCGTCGGGGCAATAACTCAAATACCGTTGGCCCGATTTTGTTCATATTTTGTACACATATACCCTATGGGGGTAGAAGTTCTGCTCGAAGGCTGATTTTCAAAATGGCCGCTCATTTCAAAATGGCGGCCATTTTAGTGCCGATTTTACAGTAATTTAGGTGCAATATGTAAAACTGTAATAGCAATATGTTTTAAATGTAAAAAAATTATAAAGGACATTAATAATGCTACAAATGTAGATATTAAAAAAGCACATGGCAGCCATCTTGAAAAATGGCGGCCTTTACTCGTCATTTTACAATTTTTCCTGTAACTCAAAAAATAGTGGAGCGATTTTGTTCATATTTGGTATGTGAATACTATAAGCTTTGCACACTGTCTAAAGACACTTTTAGTAGAAGGCGGCCATTTTGAAAAATGGCCGCCATTTTAACGTATTTTACTATAACTCGAAAAGTAGTGGAGCGATTTTGTTCATATTTGGTATGTGAATACTATAAGCATGGCACACTGTCCTATGACATTTTTGGTAGAAGGCGGCCATTTTGAAAAAAAATTTGAAAAATGGCCCCCATTTTAACGTATTTTACTATAACTCGAAAAGTAGTGGACCGATTTTGTTCATATTTGGTATGTGAATACTATAAGCATGGCACACTGTTATATGACACTTTTGGTAGAAGGCGGCCATTTTGAAAAAATCTTGTTCATTGGTATGTGAATACTATAAGCATGGCACACTGTCTTTTTCTAATGACACTTTTGGTCGCCATTTTAACGTATTTTACTATAACTCGAAAAGTAGTTGAGCGATTTTGTTCATATTTGATATGTGAATACTTTAAGCATGGCACATTGTCTAATAAAACTTTGGGGAGTAGTCGGCCATTTTGAAAAATGGCCACCATTTTTATGTGTGTTATTTTACAAGCAGTGTGCGATTTTTCAAAAATTTTAGAGTGGCTACTTAAAAGCATATTATTTCTCCTGATGACAACATGGCTAGTGAGCAACCATTTTGAAAATGCTGGCCTTTCTGGTGTGTTATTTTATGATATTTGCTATTTGTTTATAAAAATGCCAGCCATTTCTGTTCGATGGGATTCGCTACGCTTTGGCGTTGCCGTTGTTCTGGTTTTGGAAATGATATGCTCCCTACGTGAATCGAGTTACATTTTGGGGTAAACATCACCTGTGATTTTTTCAAATTTTTTAGTCAACTTTTAGGGGTCCCCCACAGCCTTTGAAGTTTGCCCATAGGCTTAGCATTAGTGGGCGTTGCCCAAAATCGTAATTTGTAGAAGCTTTTTTCTAGTGATTTATTAATATGTTGTTTGAAGAAAAACAACATTGTATATGATATGATAGATGTTTAAATCATCATATTACTCTGTTTCATCGTGTGAACTTATATAAAAGGTTATACTTACAATATCCTTTTAACAAAATATCAGGTACATTTGACAGGTACATGTAATTGTACTGGTCGAATGTACCTGATATATTGTTAATAGGATATTGTAAGTAGAACCTTTCTATGTCCCCACCACATAGTGTGGGGCCATATTGTCGGCCTAGACGCGTCTGTCTGTCCGTCCGTCCATCCGTCCGTCCATCCGTCGGTCCATCCATCCATCCGTCGGTCCGTCCGTCCGTACGTCTGGCAGTTTTCTCCAAAACCGCTACAGATATCATCTTCAAATTTTCAGGGATAACTTATCAGTGCATACAGATGTGGATGAAAAAAATTTAACTCGAAACCTACTTCCTGTCGGCCATTTTGAAGTCAAATGCTAAAATCCTTGTCTGCAAACTTTAAGAAAAACGGCTTCACAGTTGCTTTAAAACTTTAACATCTTGTTCAGCTCACTTCATTCTAGATCTGATTAGGTTTTGGACCTGTTAGCTCAGTCATGGCAGCCATTTTGAATGTCTTAAGAAAAGTTAGCGCGCGATAATACTTTGTATCATATTGAATGGTGTTTTTGAGTTTTCATACTTGAACTTTTTAGTAACTTTATAAATAATTTCAGATGTACTTTCTTGTAAAAGCCTATGTTATTGTTAACAGTAGTTATATGTGATAATTTTGTAAAAAGAAATCAGTAAAAACTTGTAATCACTTTTTTATTGTCGGCCATTTTGGATTTTTCCGTCCTAAAATCTTGTCTGTGAAGTCTTGTCAGCGCGTTTTCAGGTGAACCGTTTGGTGGATCAATTTCAAATTTTCAGGGATGATTCTTAGTATAAAAATTTAGATCTGATTAGTTTTTTGGCATTCTGGGTAAATGCAAAGGCAGCCATTTTGGATTTTTCGTCCTAAAATCTTGTCTGTAAAGTCTTGTCTACACATTTCCAGGTGAACCGTTCTGTAGATCAATTTCAAACTTGCAGGGATGATTCTTAGTATGAAAATCTAAATCTGATTAGTTTTTCGGCATTCTGGATAAATGTCAAGGCAGCCATTTTGGATTTTTTTTTTAAAATCTTGCCTGTAAAGTCTTGTCTACATGTTTATATGGTGAACCGTTTGGTAGATTAATTTCAAATTTTCAGGGAGGATACTTAGTATGAAAATCTACACCCGATTTTTTGCATTCTGCGTAAATGTCAAGGCAGCCATTTTGGATTTTCTGTCCTAAAATCTTGACTGTAAAGTCTTGTCTACGTGTTTTCAGGTGACCTGTACGGTAGATCAATTTCATATTTTCAGGGATGATTCTTAGTATGAAAATCTAGAAACAGATTAGTTTTTTGACATTTTGGGTAAATGTCAAGGCAGCCATTTTGGATTTTCCATCCTTAGATCTTGTCTGTAAAGTCTTGTTTACATGTTTTCTGGATTTTCCATCCTCAAATTGTGTTGGTAAAGTCTTGTCTACTTATTTCCAGGATAACCATTTGACGGGATCACCCATTGGTGGGGACATTTTGTACACATTTGTGTTCTTGTATATTAGTTCACATGATGAAACAGAGTAATATGATGATTTAAACATCTAATCATATCATATACAATGTTGTTTTTTTAACATATTATTTATTTCCTTCATAATCAAAAAATACACAAAATATCTACTACCAATCGCCATAGGCATTCTAGGTAGTTTAAATTACAATAGAGGATTAATTACAGTAATCATAGATGGTTTATTGGTAATGTGAGAGGATATACAATGTTGTTTTTCTTCAAACAACATAAATAAATCACTAGAAAAAAAGCTTCTACAAAGTACGATTTTGGGCGACGCCCACTCCCACTAATGTTAAGCCTATGGGCAAACTTCAAAGGCTGTGGGGGACCCCTAAAAGTTGACTAAAAAATTTGAAAAAAATCATAGGTGATATTTACCCCAAAATGCAACTTGATTCATGTAGGGAGCATAACATTTCCAAAAAATTATTTTGAGCCACGAGCATTAAAGTCAATCTTCCTAGTATGTAACCATGACTCAAATGTCTTCAAAATAAGAAGGTTTACAAGCTAGATTTTGTCTAGTTCAAAAGATATTGGTGTTTGAATTTTGGAAAATTCCCATTGACTGCCATTATAAACTACTTTCAATATGGCTTTACTAAAGGGTCATTTTCTCCAAAAGTCCACTATGGAATTTTCTGATGTTGTAGATTTCTACAGCCAATATATTGAGTTTCAAAAAACCAAACAGGCACTTTCTAAAAATTTCTTATTTTTAATTAATCTAGTTCTTAAGTTGCTCACGAAAACTCCATTGAGTCTCATGTTAATTTATCAATCTTCAAAAGACCCCTGCAGAACAGTTCAAGAGCAATTAAGTCAATCTCACTAGAATGTAACCAAATTAAGAAGGGTTACACGTTGGATTTCATCTAGTTCAAAAGATATTGACGATTGGATTTTGGGAAATCTCCATTGACCGCCATTATAAACTACTATCAATATGGCTTTACCAAATTGTCATTTTCTCCAAAAGTTCACCATGGAATTTTCTGATATTGCAGATATTTATAGCCAATATATTGACTGGCACTTTTCTAAAATTTTTGATTTTTAATATGACAGTCTCTATAATTCATTTTCCATTCTTCGATGTCACAAGTTGACTTTAACTGAAGTTGATGATGATGTCATGATGACATAGTATGACACTCCATGGGATTTGCCATGCCTTGACATTACTGTAATCTAGTTTGAATTTGATGTGAATGTTAAATATGTGAACCTTTGTTTGATTCCAGAACACAGGATGAACCAGCATTTTGTGGCCTTTCTACATTGGTAATGGTCCTGAATGCCCTCAGTGTTGACCCAGGGAGAGTCTGGAAGGGACCGTGGAGGTGGTACCATGAGAACATGCTAGACTGCTGCATACCCATTGATGTCATAACTCAACAGGGCATCACACTTGACCAATTCTCTTGCCTCGCTGACTGCAATACGCTAACTGTTAAAACAGTCAGGTTAAATACAGAGATGAACACCACTAACAATTTGGACAGTTTTAGGGAGTTTGTGAAGTCAATGACCAAAGTTGATGATCGCTTTGTCGTCTGTTCATATTCTCGACCAATTCTACATCAGACTGGATCCGGCCACTTTTCTCCCATTGGTGGGTACCATCCTGGCAGGGACCTTGTTTTGATCCTTGACACAGCAAGGTTTAAATATCCTCCTCACTGGGTTAAACTAGATATACTATGGAAAGCAATGGGAGAAATTGATAAAGATACAGGTAAATAGCAGTTTGTCATTTTATTGAATGATATTGGAGTAGGGATATGTAAAAGCTAATAATTCATCCATATGTTAATGTTTCAAGGTAATGTAATAATGTAATAATGTAATTATTGGTAACTTAGATATCAGTTGTCAGAGAATGGGTATCGATATGGCGAACTTTTTGAACACACGTTTCTCTTAAACCAGTCTTCAAAAATTTCTGAAAATCTTACAAACTGTCAATTTAATGGCAATCTTTTGAATGGTAACAATATAATTTGAAATAGATATACATACTTTCATCTATATTGTTTTAAAAAACACATCAAACACTTGTTTTGTTCTTGGTATCATGTTTCCAGAGTGAAATGAAACATCTTTCCGAACCTCATTGGTACAAAACGACATAAACACAACATGTTTAGGTCTCTCAATTTTCTAATAACGCAGATGCGAGTAGGTAGTTACCAGTTTCGCCACCAGGTGGCTCGTTCGGGTCAGATAACATGGCGGGTATATTAGAAAGTTCCCTTTAACTTAAATTACATCTGTTGTAGTGGCTAAATTTTTATATTACCCTTATGTATCTAATAGTTATGCAAATTAAAATATGTCCAGTAAAAGAAAATGTTATCTGTCCAATACAAGAAAAGATATTTAACTTTTTGTGATTTTGTAACATGGGTCTATGAGGAATCAACCCGAGCTAGAAGTCACATTTTCAAAAATATTAAATTTTCAAAGTTGATAAACCATCTTCGAAACCATTTTCTAGACGTACTTTTACATGTAGATTTCAAATATGACATCACTTTGACTGAATTTTGAATATTTAATGACGTAAATCAAGATTATTTCTATTCGCATCTAGTCTATTGTACAAAGGAAATTTTGGTTGATTTTAAAAAAGTATCTTGTTAATGAAATATAAGGTTTTTCTTGATTTTTATCTATTTTGGGGGGATTTTGTTTTAATTTTTGAATACTTTTTTAGAATCAACCAAAAATTCCTTTGTATAACTTTAATATTGAGAGGTCTAAAACATGTTGTAAATGCTATTTTGTTCCAACAAGGTTCGGAAAGATATTTTATTTCATTCTCAAGAATTGGTAGAAAGGAGCAAAAACAATTGCACAAAAAATGTTAACAAAAACAGTTATATAAAATATTTCTAAATAATTTTCACCTTAAATTGTTGTCAATCAGTCAACATTAGATAAAATACCATGTTTTTTAACAGAATGTTTTCAATGATTGGTTTAAGAGAAAAACATTGTTGAATTCAGTTCTCCATATCGATCCCTATCCTTTGGTTCAAGTTTGAGAGGCTGATGCCTTGTGAGGATAGAATTTATGTTTGTGAATGAATGTTCAATATGCAGGTCGTTATATCTTCTTGAGCCTAAATTTTTCTCATTTTTTGGATTTCCCTTGCTTATTTTTTTACCCTAATCAAATGTGTGTATGAGTAAAATCATAGATCACTCAGCTCTAATCTACTTGTATTTTTCAGGAAAGCCACGTGGGTACTGTATCCTGCAGAAAAAAGAAGGGGTAGAACCATTGATGTTATTTCGACCTTCGACGAGTCTAAGCGTTACTCTACCTTCATATGACTCTCTCTCAACAATAAATCAATTTATCACACGCTTAACAAACTGGTTCCAGTCCATGCCATTAGCCAATCACAGCCCAAGTAGTGATGATGTCATAGAGAAATCGGTCAGACAAGTACTAATCGCAGCTGATATTTTAGAAGCATCACATTATCTCTATACCACTCAATTAGAAATGTGCTCAGTCAAGATGGACTCCGAGTATTCCTCCACGATAAACAATATAATCGATGCATTGGAAAATGTTACGATATTTAAATGTGTCAGAGAAACATTGGAAGTTTGTGATACGGTGAAATCAGCTAAAAAAATTGGAAGAATTTATCCAAGAGATTACGATGAAGAGTGTGCAAATAACAACTCTGAATTACATCACTTAATTTCAAGGATAACAGACGCTCATTTTGTGACTCTTTTCCTCCTCACATGGCCATATAAGTATGACAAGCACTGTAAATCATATGGCAAAATATTACAGGATATTGTAGCTCATGAAATGTCTACTGTGGTTGCGGTACTAAGGGATGAGGTTGAATGGTTGAAAGTGAAAATAGACACAGTCTTAAATTACTTTGAAAATCAATGTTGTAATGAGTGCAGTTGTAAACAGGAGAGGACTATCACATATAACTGAAAATTCAATAGACTGAACTGAGTAACATAGATATCTGCATTGAAATCAATTTGCTATCCCCATATCAATAATTTAACAAGATGCAGATGTTCAAAGTGAAAATAGAATCTTGGAAAACTGTGGGAATTTATTAAATTGGAATTATTGTGGCATACTTGTACATGTTTTATGACATGTTGGTACATGGTATCATTCATGTACATGTAATATATTAATTTATACAATTACAATATTGAGAGACCTAAACACGTTGTGGGAGGGAAAGATGTTTCATTTCACTCTGGAAACATAATACCAAGAACAAAACAAGTGTTTGATGTGTTTTCTAAAACAATATAGATGAAAGTATATACTATATATTTTTCAAATTATATTGTTACCATTCAAAAGATGACCATTAAATTGACGATGTGTAAAATTTTTAGATTTTTTTATGACTGGTTTAAGAGAAACGTTTGTTCAAAAAGTTCTCCATATCGATACCACTCATTTAATAGGCTAATGTCTATGATGGAAATATTCAATTCAATTCAATTTATTCCTTAATAAAATAATAAAATACAGTACATATAAAAGGTTTAACAGGTGACATCATTCCTGATGTTTATACCCGTACATGTTAAAGCATAATATTACTAAGACCTCTGTTGGAGATAGAATTTTCAATGCGGCTGCATTTTTTGAAATATGTCATCATTGCGAACTTAATTACTTGCACAATTGGTTCTTTTATAGCTAATTGGCATATGAGCATTGAACATTTGTTCCACAATGAATTTTCTATATGGCTATTATTCTTCAAAAAGTATTTTTGGACTCTAACTTGCTTTATATCGACACGTCATGTATAAATAATAGCCTTTTCAAAATCAATTCTGTATTCAAAATCGTAAATAACTTTCTTGGCTTAAGCTTGATTTTTCTTGACCAACTTTCCACTCTACTATAACTCGAAAAGTAGTGGAGTGATTTTGTTCATATTTGGTATGTGAAAACTATAGCATGGCACACTGGCTAATGACACTTTTGGTAGAAGGCACCCATTTTGAAAAATGGCTGCCATTTTTACGTCTTTTACTATAACTGGAAAAGTAGTCGAGCGATTTTATTAATATTTGGTACGTGAATACTATAAGCATGGTACACTGTGTTATTTTATGTTTTTTACTATAACTCAAAAAGTAATAGAGCGATTTTGTTCATATTTGATATGTAAATACTCATAAGCACGGCACACTGTTTTATGACATTTTGGAAAGGAGGCGGCCATTTTTTAAAATGGCCGCCATTGACCTGAACGTGTGTGCGATTTTGCCAGCCATGGCTGTTCGATGAGATTTGCTATGCTTTGGCGTTGCTGTTGTCTAGTATTGTTATATACAACAACTTGCAAGAGCACTCATTTCAATATTTTGATTGACAGGTGATTCAAAAAATCTCCATATTATTAATAACTTTTTAAAATGCATGGATTTTGATTAGAATTTCACTGTAGATGTTTTTAAATGGGATGAATATATCTTGAGAAGTTGACAGACACTGGGGGTCCATAATGAAAATTAAGAAATGTCAGGATGATATTTGAAGCACAAAGGACACGTCCCGGTTTGGAGAACAGTCCACTGGGCTAATAATCTTTTTATGAAAATTATAGAAATAACATCCAAATTAAATTATGAATATTTGAAAGAGAACTTTTAAATCTACAATATGTAAAAATGTCAAAATTGTCTGAAGCAGGCATAACATGCAGTTGACCGATCCAATAAAAGACAAGTCTCAGTTTGGAGAACGAAGTTCATCAGTTTACTGTACTAATGATTATTTTATGAAAAATATAGAAATAACATCCAAATTAAATTATGGATAGGCCTATTCAAAAGAAGACATTTAAATCTACAATATGTAAAAATATCAAAATTGTCTAAAACAAACGTAACATGCAGTAGACGGATGAAGTTTGTTCTCCAAACCGAGACTAGTCTTTTACACTGATATCATTCATGCCAAATAAAAAAAATTTCTTGCCCACCTTGTTCATACATGTTCATTGATTTACATAAACAGATACAGTAATTATGTTACAAATTGTCATATAACAATAAATTAAGAAATAAAAAATAGTGAAAATACCAAGAGCCATCTGTTGAATATGCAGTATATTACAGTAGAACAATAATTTTGAAGTATGGTGTTTGAGGTAGAAATTCATATTTCATTCTTGCCATACAGAAGCTCAGTACAATATATACCATCACTAGGAGGGGGCATTGGGTGCAACCCCTCTAGTCTAAAATCTACTATTTTATATACTATTACTATATACTATACGTTTTATATACTTTATCTAGTACTCTGAGAAAGTCGTCTAAAGAGCTTCAGGGACCTAGACATTGTATAGCCAGTGTGTGACAACATGCCATCTATATTTGAAGTGAAATCTTAAAATGCACCACTCTTTTCAGGCCCGTAAGACACTTTTCTCCAAGGGGGGTGCGGTTTTTAGCTTACTAAAGAGAATGTAAAATTGTCAATTTTTTGCCGCGTAAATCAAATCGCGTAAGACAGAGGGGGGGGGGGTCAGTTACTCCCTATATTGGTTTGGAATTAACAAATGCAACTTCCAAACGTTCCAATTGTTTTGTGGGGGGTGTGAGAAGTAGTCCACTCCCCCTAGAAAATTTTACAGTTTTGAGATGCTATTTGGGACGTGCTTTCTGGGCACTTTCAAAGTGTAAGTTTCTAAGTAGTACGCCACCACCACAAGAATAAGAGTTGAGTGAATAAAAAACCGAACATTCTGGGGGGTCTGGGGAAAATTTTGAAATTTGGTTGTATTTGGAGCGACTTTGCAACCATCTGGTACGCCTGTGCGTTATGAGTCAATAAGAAAAATGTGAATTTTTTTCAAATTCTTTTGGGGGTGTCAAAGAGGATGAGAGGGTGAAGTGGGGTGGGGTGCCAGTAGGGGAGCAAGGGTTGTCACCCAGAAACATTGACCATATCAAGGTGCTATTTGATGATGTCTGGGCACTTAAAAAATGTCTGAGACAATACATGAAATTCAGAATATTTTATTTTGTTTTGTGGGGGATGTGAGGGGTGGCTAACTCTCCTAGAAAATTTTACAATTTAGAGATGATATTTGGTGCTTCTGGGCACTTTTAAAGGTATTAGTCAATAAAAACATTGAAAAACAATCACAATTTTTTTCAAATTTTGGGGGTGTCAAAGGGGGGGGGGGGGAGGGGTGCCAGAGGGGGGGGGGGGCTGTTGTGCCAGAGGGGGAGCAAGTGTTTGTCCCCCATATCAAAATTTACAACATCAAGGTGCTATTCGATGAAGTTTGGGCACTTTAAAAGTGTCTGTGCCTAAAAGCGCATATTTCCCAAGAAAATTTTACAATTTTAAGATGCTATTTGGTGCTTTCTGGGCACTTTCAAAATGTACGAGTCAATAAAATTTGAAAAATCTCAATTTTTTATTTGGGGGGGGGGGTGTTAAGGGGGGGGGGGGGGGGGCTGCCAGAGGGGGAGGTGGAGTGGGGATGCCAGAGGGCGAGTAAGTGTTAGTCTTCCAGAATCATTAACTTTATCAAGGAGCTATTTGATGATGTTTGGGCAATTTAAAAGTGTCTGAGACAATACATAAAACAAATTCAGAACTTTTTCATTGTTTTGTTTGGGGAGTGAGGGGTGGCCCACTCCCCCTAAAAAATTTTACAATTTTACGACGCTATTTGGTGCTTTCTGGGCATTTTCAAATTGTATGAGTCAATTAAAGAATTTGAGAAAATCACAATTTTTTTTTTGCGGGGGGGGGGGGGGGGGGGGGTCAAGGGGGGGGGGCGCCAGAGGGGGGGGGGGGGGTTGTGCAAGATGCAAGAGGGCAAGTCCAAGATGCAAGAGGGCAAGTCCCCCAGAAACACTAACTATATCAAGGAGCTATTTGATGATGTCTGGGCACTTTAAAAGTGTCTGAGACAAAACACTAAAATAAATTTAGAACTTTTCCATTGTTTTGTGGGGGGTGTGAGGGGTGGCCAATACCCCTAGAAAATTTTACACTTTTAAGATGCTATTTGGTGCTTTCTGGGTACTTTCAAAGTATATGAGTCAATGAAAAAAAATTACAAGAAAAAATATTTTTCAAAAAAAAAAATTTTTAATTTTTTTTTCAAATTTATTTTGGGGGTAACAAAGGGGGGTGCGGTCGCACCCATCGCACCCCCCCCATCTGACGGCCCTGCTTTTACGGTACATGTACACATAGTCTTCAACAAATGCAATTTTCATACAAGACAAATTCATGTCAAATGTTTGAAATGTTGAGTTGATTATGAGGGTTGGAACTGTACTTTTCTGTGGTACAAATTATTTGGTTGATTATAATAAAAATTAAATCTCAGGAAATGAAAAGTATGCCATAAATGATTTATAGCTTATATTTTTTGGCAGAGGTTCAAAACTAGGCTCTCTTTAATGAAGACAAATTGATCATAGAGACATTGATCATTTAATTTTATAAATTACAGTTATTATTCCCAATTTGACAAATAATATAGTTAATAATCCTCTGCTTAATTGATTTAATTGTTATTTAGCGAGATCAATAGTGCAAAAATACAGGCTAATAGTTCCTTAATGGAACGAAGCGTGAAACTTTCCACATTTGATCAGAACATCATTCCTTTTGATTTAAGAGCCAGAGCCATTTTTGTGGTCCACTAGAATGACCAAAAAATGGTAAATACCCCCTCCCACCAAATCTCAGGGGGTGGGGGAGAGAGAAGAATTTTTTTTTTGTAAAAAGTTACTTTGAATATGGTCGTACTGCAGTTTTAGGATGTTACATCCATTGTAGAAAAATTTTGCAACTTAAAAAATTAATTTATACTTGATTTTCATCATTGTTAAAGACTAGGCATGGGCGACACCCACTTTTCCTATGTTGAACATTTAGGCTATTAAATCTCTATCATTAGTGGAACAAATTTCACAGAATGTATACAATTTTATTGCACGTATGTTGATTTGGCCTATCCTGCCAATTAAATTCTTTTAAGTTTTAACATCCTGTTAACTAATAGATGTCACACTGGTAAGGTATTTGGGGTTTGTCATTGCTCCTTTGGTCAGTCATGAAAAAGTTTCAGATGTGAATGAATTCAAAAATGTGCATTGAATAGATTTTAAATTCTTAACATGGGTTTGTATTATTTGTTCTTGTTGTAATCATAATTTTTAAATCTGAGATTTTAGTGTATACACTTGTATATATTTTGATAATGATAATTAAATAAATCATTACATATTTCTGAACACCCCCCCCCCCCCCACCTTCCTATGCTAACCAGTGATCGATCCAGTATTTCCTGAATATGGTGCTAAATCATAATTTAGTCTTGGTAAGAATATCAGCTTCTATACTTATATTTTGGAAGGTGCAATTTACAGATATTGAAAGAGTGGCATGTGATTTTTGAATTTTCAATAAGGTACATCACCTGGTATTCTGAAGTCTAATACTGGGAAGATCCTGTCAGTGTGCATCCTTTTGCATGGCTTGAGTGCTTAACACATTCTTTACTACATTTCAGGTAAACCTGCCTGCATCACATTGCTTCATTTCTACACTGTTCCAGATAACCTAAAGTGTGCTATAGACTGTAGTTTAGAACATCTTAGTAAACATTCTTACAATAACTTAGAACTAACAATGCAAAAAATGGAGATGTACTGTGGTATCTATCCTAACCCGAACTTTCTAACTCCTCACTATAACTTCTTAATCAAACAATGCAATCAGTGACAACAGATCATCAAATCCAACCCATAACAGATTGGACAATTTGCCTCATATGTCAAGAACCAGGAGGTAAACTTCTATGCCCTGCAAATAATAAGTTTCAATCCAAAGCAAATCTGGATGATGAAATAAAAGGATACATGACATTTGAGAACATAATCCTTGAATATAAGGCCAATGAAATTCCTCTTCCTAAGGAAATCAATCCACTCAGTCGAATCGATGATGGTGAGGGTATCTATAAAACTCTACTGAAACACAAGGGCAAGTGGCACCATAATTGTCGATTTAAATACAGTCATTTGAGACTCAACAGAGAGCTAAAGAAAGCTCTTAAAAGAACAAATGAAAATGATGATACCAGCACCCTTGATGTGAGTGAATCGAAACATACTAGAAGATGCAGTACTCCATTAAAGTTATGTGTATGCTTTTTCTGTGGCCAAACTGGGGAAGAGAAGAAAGAGGTCCTTCACGAGGCCAGCACATTTGGTCTAGATGCAACAATACGACGTTATGCTCAAGAAACTGGAGACCAATCCCTCCTTACAAAGTTGGCTGGTGGCGATATGATAGCAACTGAAGGACAATATCATGCAAGTTGTAAATTGAACCTGTTCAATAAAGTAAAAGCATATGAACGTGCAAAAGATGACCATAACAAATCACATACTGTTCAGCTTGGAATTGCTTTTGCTGAGCTCATATCATACATTGAAGACAGTCGAAGTGATGACCAAATCAAATATTTTAAACTGAATGATTTGTTCATCCTATACACTGAAAGAGCAGAACAGTTAGGCGTTGATTTTACTTTCGTTGGTAAGCCCAATAAAACAAGGTTTAAAGAGAAAATATTAGACACAATTCCTGATATCCAAGCACACAGGGATGGCCGTGATGTTCACCTCATTTTTAATGATGCTGTGACTAAGGTAATAAACAACACTTTGAACAGCTGTGATGATGATGCAATCATACTGGCAAAAGCTGCAAGAATTGTAAGAAGAGACATTAAAGCAAACAGGACATATTCATTTGATGATTCTTTCCCAGAAGGCTGTCAAAATAATGTTGTTCCAGACACACTTACAGCCCTTGTCAATATGATAATTGATGGAAGTAGTATAAAAGAATGTACCTCAGAATCATCTCAATGTTCTCTCAGTATTGCACAGTTATTGATGTTCAATTCTGTAACTCATAAGCGACGTAACATAGGTGGCAATGTTAATCGCAGAGATAAACGATGTGAAACCCCGATACCCCTTTATGTTGGAATATCAGTCTATCAGAAAACTCGAAAACGAGAACTAGTTGACAAACTTTACCAACTTGGACTTTCTGTATCCTATAACAGGGTGCAAGATATCTCAGTTCAACAGAGCAATAAAATATGCCAACATTTTGAATCCATTGAGGCAGTTTGTCCACCACAGTTGAAAATGAATTTGTTTACAACAGGAGCAGTTGATAATCTGGACCATAATCAGAGTTCCACTATAGCTACAAACTCATTCCATGGAACCGGTATCTCCCTTTTCCAACATCCTGATGGCATGAATCAAGGTATTCAACAACAAGTGACACCTATTGCTGAAAAAACAAAAGATCTCAAGCCACTCCCCGAGTATTACAAGACTGTACCACCTACCGTTTTGAAGAAGGAATCCAATATTCCGCAGATTACTGGTGCCCTTAATGTTGAGACATATGATGTGATAAATCAGGCTTACAATGAGGCTTTTGAGTAAGTTGCATATTGAATTTTTAAGCAAATCCAGATTGAATAATACATCTGATTTTAGATGCTCAGGAGATAAGTATGGCACTTGACTTTTACCTAAAGTTGGCATATATAGAGCAATCAAATATTTTAGCATGTATAGAAATTATTCCTCTTGGCATTTAATCATTGCACTTTTTGATCATTTAGAATATGTGCCATGTTTTTTTAGATTAGCATGTCCAGATTATAATTTACTAGATAAGTACAGTAAAACCTGTCATAGTGAACACCTGTGTTCAGTGAACACTTTCAAGAGTCATTTTACATTGATTCCTGTATATAATTTGTAGGGCACAACTACCTACAGTGAACACTGTGGCTATATACGGCTTTTTGTGTTCACTATATCCAGGTTTTACTGTAAATGATTATCTTTAAGGAGCTAAAATATTCACATGTGTACAGACACATATTATAAATTCTCTGCATTGTTGGAGGTGTTGAAGTCTATTTAGTATATGTTTTGCTAAGATCTAATATTAATTTACATAATTAAATGTAATGTTTCATTTCTTTTCCTGGAAGGAGACCAATCAGAAATCCCAGCTTAACAGAAGTGATCCACTATGAAAATGATAATTCACTTTTTTCAGGTGGTTGGAAACAGTGGAGTATCAGCAAGGAATACCAAGTGTAACAAATGACACTCAATTATCCTGGTCTGCATACTTTGGCTATCTTCAACAACCCGGTTCTAGTGAAATAGCACATTCAGCTCTTCTCCCATTGTTTCACGAGGACTCAAAGACCCCTGCTATGATGAAACATTCTATGCATATGGTAACAAAATCTACTAACTACCTCAATCCCACCCAACTCCTGTTCTAACTGCGGATCAACCACTCTATGCCCTTTGTAAAACCATTCAATGGAATTGTCCAGATGAGTTAGGTGAAGACAAAATTGTTTTGGTATTTGGTGGTATGCACCTTGAGATGACCGCTTTCCGAGTTCTAGGAAATCTATTGGACAACTCAGGATGGACAACTGCTCTAACCCAAGCTAACATAGCTACCCCTGGAACTGCAGATTCCTTTCTTAAAGTGTCACACTTAACCAGAACCAGAAGGGCCCACACAGTCACAGCCTGCAGTCTCTACATTCTCCTCAAGAGAGCCTATGCTACATATATAGCTGTCCAGGATCTAGATGATGAAGTGCCTAAACAGTTTGATGAATGGTGTGCTGATCAACAGAATGTACCAGTCTTTAAATTTTGGTTTCTGATTATTCAAATCGAAATACTGTGCCTTAACTATGTGAGGGCTATCAGAGAGGGCAATTTTCCTCTTTATCTCCAGTCAATCAGCAAGCTTATCCCCTGGTTTTTCGCGTTTGACCATGTCAACTATGCTCGCTGGGTACCAGTTCACCTAAGAGATATGCTTCAACTCCAACAAATACATCCAGAGGTCTATGAAGCCTTCATGAAAGGCCACTTCACAGTAACCAAATCAAGACGGAGCTTTTCAGCCATTGCTCTTGATCAAGCTCACGAGCAGAATAACAGTCTAGTGAAATCAGATGGTGGAGCAGTGGGGCTCTTTGACAACCAAACAGCTTTACAGAAGTGGATGGTTGGGGGCCCTGAATTGTCAAGACTGATCACTGAATTTGAGGACAATATAACTGATGATCAAGATGAAGACCTTTCAAATCATGAACAAAGTATAAGCATACAACAAAGATTCAAAGACAATGTGAAATTATTATCAGAAACCATAGAAGAGATGGGAAATCCTTTCCTGGAAACTTCAAATGACTTATACTCATTAGACAACAAAGATATTGTATCGTCACTATCACTATATGAAATGGAGCAAACTGGCCAGGATCAGCACAGACTGTACACTAAAGAAAGACTGGATGACAGATCTAAACCAATAACAGACACTATAAAAAGAAACAATTTTCGAATATTCAAGGAACAGAAAACAAAGGTGAATGTTACCAAGGAAACAGCATTGAAAAATGATTGTGCTCTCTTTTCAAGATTGTTTATCGCATGTCAGAATAGGGACGGCGATCTCGAGGAGTTCTTTAAACATGAAAACCAATCCTTTCCACCCTCTTTATCTCAAAATGGAACAATTAAAACAACTAATAAGTCTGACATTCTCAAGCCATTAGAACAGCTGCCTACTGGAAACCAGCAAGTTCAGTGCCCAAAGGTAGATGCAATGTTCCTTGATGGTGCAGTTATTGTGCACCTTTTGAAACCCCAACAGGCTACAACATTTCAGCAGTATTCAGATCAAGTGTTCAACCAATATATTACTAACCAGCTAGCAAAAGTGGAAAGGCTAGATATAGTCTGGGATCAATACCTTGAAAACAGTTTGAAGTTATCAACTAGACAGAAACGAGGCTCGGGCAAACGACGCCTAGTGGAACCAAACAACAAGTTGCCATCTAATTGGAATGAGTTCCTCAGAGATGATGCGAATAAAGCAGCACTGTTTAGCTTCTTAGCAGTGAATGTTGAATCAATCCATGTTCCAGATGGAAAGCGTTTGATTACCACCATTGGTAGAGATGTATTGTCATATCCCCCAATGCCCATTCAGGACATTTCCCCATCAACACATGAGGAAGCAGATGTTAGGCTCTTCCTACACATTCACCATGCTGTAAAATGTGGGTACGACACATTGATGATTAGAACAGTAGACTCTGATATTGTTTGTCTGGCAGTCAGTTCATCATCAGAACTCAACGTCCAAATATGGATAGCTTTTGGAAATGGAAAAAATTATAGATATCTCCCCTCCCATGAAATGGCAGCTGCCCTTGGACCTGATAGGGCTATGTGTCTCCCCTTATTTCATGCCCTCACTGGTTCAGACACTACATCTGGATTCCATGGTAAATCAAAAACAACAGCATGGAAACAATGGAATGCTTATCCCGAATTGACAAATGCACTTAAAACTTTAGCTGAAGATCCAAATAAGTTGGCCGAAGTTATGCCAATCATCGAACGTTTTGTTGTGATTTTATACAATAGAGCCAGCAATGAAACATCTGTAAATGCTGCTAGACAAGAAATGTTCACAAAGAAAACAACTCAAATTGAGAACATCCCACCAACATTAGATGCTTTGCAGCAGCACATGAAACGTGTTCTATTTCAAGCAGTATTTGTGTGGGGACAGACCATTATACCTATGCCAGTCCTCCCTTCACCCTCACAATGGGGTTGGGAATCCATCACCACGAAGGCTGGGAAAATGATTTGGGTGCCAGTGTGGAAGACATTGCCTCAAGCTTCAGATGCATGCCAAATGCTTGTAAAATGTAGCTGCAAACAACAATGCTCAACAAGAAGATGCAAGTGCTTTAAAGCTAATCTTGCGTGTACTGCCCTGTGTTTGTGTGACGGGGATTGTAATGGACTTGACTCTCAGTGATTATATAGTGTTGAAGTGCTTAAATGCAATTATGATACTAATAAGGTAACTGATATCAATTAGTCAAAGTACTCTCATTTAAAGCCAAAATAATCGATCATCAATTGTGAATTACACATTATTATATCTTTATTTCTAAAAGGGGTGTGGCCTTTCACAAGTCTTTAACAGTGAATCTGACTTACTTACAGCATCTATCATCTCAACATAAATAACAGATTTAATCCTATCCATTCTATTCTTCATTATTAGGTTATTTTCCTATTCATAACAAAAGACTCATTAACTTGCATATTTAACATGTAGATAAAGTGGGCGTCGCCCTTGGTCAGGCTTTAACAATGAATATCCATGAGAAATACTGATGCAATCTTGAAAATTGTTTTTAAACATGAAAATAACATACAAAAAATGAGGTTAGATCATATTCAAAAATAAAAATCAACAAAAAAAAAATTCCTCTCTCCCCCTCCCCCCAGGATTTGATGGGAGGGGGTATTTGCAATTTTTCGGTCATGCTAGTGAGCCACAAAAACGGCTCTGGCTCTTAAATCAAAGGGAATGGTGTACTGATGATATCTGGAAAGTTTCACGCTTCGTTCCATTAAGGAACTATTTCAGGCCTGTCAACTGTCCCGCAATTTGCGTATTTGTCACGCATTTGTTGAAGAATTTGAAGTCACGCCAGTTTTTTTTGCGTGACAGAAAATGTCACGCAAAATACGCATTTTACCTGGCAATTGTCACGCAAAAATATTTCTGTAGAAATTTTTTCGAAATATGTTTACGATACGGTAAAAATACGAACGTCGGCAAAAACCGAACGCAATTTGTTCGTATTTGTCACGCGAATCCCGTATGTGTCACGCATGTTCATTGAAAATTTTTCGTACCTACCCCCCCCCCCCCCCCCCCCCCCCCCCCCCCCCCCCCCCCCCCGTTGACGACATCGCGAGCGTAGCGAGCGCGAAAAATTTGAGGTGTTCAAAGTTTGGCAAAGGTGCTCAAACTTTGGCCAAAGGTGTTTAAAAGTTGGCCAAAGGTGTTCAAAATTTGGACAAAAGTGTTCAGATTTGGACTTAGGTGTCCAACATTTTGAAGTCACTCATATTAGGTGGTCCCAAGTTGACAGCCCTGCTATTTTTGCACTATTGATCTCGCTAATTTGCTTGACTGGCAAATCAAGTCCCTTTCACTATAGGTTCATTATTGGAATTAAAAAATATCACAGAACAATTTGAACTTTTTGAGGAATATATTGTACTGATGTTCAACATAAGGTAATTGTTTAACAAACATTATTTGCAATTTTATTGTGGTGTCAGAGTTAAGGTGGTTGTAAATGCTTTTATTGCAAGGGATCTTGGTATATAACCCGGGGTGTATAAGCATGCTATACGATCTGAAAGTTCTCTTGTAATATTTCAAGCAATCAGGATTTTACTTACATTTTTCATATCTATAAGGTAAGTCATTACAATGTACAGTGTATTTATTGTTCATAAGACAAAAAATTACATTGCAAAATAAGAAATTTAGTGGGCCTAGAAATATTACCCATTACAGACAGATGTAAGCTGGATTAAATTGATAGAAACAAATTAAGAAACGAACGAGAAAAGTATATGAACCCTCAGATTTTTTCTTGTCATTAAAAAATAAATGCCATTGAAAACATCTATTAAATGTAATCCAGAATTGTAAAAATCTAAATGGGAAATCATGAAATATTTTGAAAATCATCCAATTGCTAATGCAGAATTTTCTAGGTTTACATGTATTTCACAGATGGCATATAGGCCTATGTAGATTGTAGACAGTTTGCCCATTTTGTGATATAATGTTTCTTCAAAAGATTTTAACTTATTCATTGTACAATTTTTGTACAATCTTATGTAAAATATGTTGATATTTTTCCCATGAGAATGGTTCCTGTTGTGTACCTGCTGATCATACTAGTGGTGGTACAGGGTGTCCTTCCAGCCAGTGTACAAGACCCTTTCACAGATCACCTATATAAACGTGGCTTACAAAAAAGGTAGTTTAACTTTTGGTGTTGGATGATACATCAGTTGATATTTTCTACTGTTACTTCATGATATTAAAACTTTGAAGAATCATAAGACAAAATAATAAAGATTGTGCATGCGCTTGAACTTTCCAGTGATTGACTTACAGTTTGCAACCTCAGTAATGTTGACATAAACTGTATGAATGTATTAAGCATGATACAACTAAGATTAAGTTGGAAGGACCAACTGCTCAACAGATTAAATTCTGCCTTAAACAGATAACTCCAGTCATTTTTTGTAATAGAATCCTTTATAATGATATTACTGCTTAGATTTGCTAATTTATTTCTTGAACTTTTTTTATATTTTATTTCTTGAACTTAGTCTAATGCACAGCTACAATAAGCTTGAGATGAATTCTTTCATTAACATAAGGAGTCACTCCATATTGAACTTGTCTTGGAGCTATACATGACATTATCGGATTTATTTGTCATTCTAAGTTTATTTGTCACTACCAGAAGTGATGACATATTGTTATAGTCTCTAACTTTTTGTGGATGGTGTTTGACAGTTGATCTTCGGTTTTCTATGGTTGGTTTTCAGTGTCTGTAACAAATGACAGGTGGTGAAATTTTGCTTGTTAATGCCTTATTTGGCTTTGTCATTGGACTGAATGCTTTCATTTACCTAGACTGATTGCTATGAACTATGGTGGTTTTGCTTATTACCACTACCTCATGTAGAATAGGTCTTCAGCTTTAACATTGCTTATTCTTAGGGCATGTGGCTGTGGAGGGAAGCATGCTTGTATCCTCAGCTGGTACTCTTGTATATGTACAGACAATGCAAAAGAATGTAGACAGGTGAAGATGTACACTTGGAAGGGACACAAATAAGAATGTTGCATATTTCACCCCTATATGTGACCAAATATCCCCATGGTGAGTTAAGTTTATTAAGTGGGAATATCAGACCATAGGCCACTATATTTAGTGAGAAAACAAGTTTGTCCCTGATAACATCATGATGGTATATTACAACAGATACATAGCCATTTTATATTTTTAATGTCATACCCTACATCTACCAGAATAAGTAGTTATAAGACAACTGAAAAGTGAACAATTGAATATGGTTGATTGCTGGTACAATAAAATAACACCCCCACTCCAGATAATTTCACTCCCACACACTTTTTACTCCCACACACCTTATTGGTCTGAAACCCATTAGATCTCTTTGGTATAAAATGTTTTGAGTCCCAATTACCCAAATATAATTTTTTCAAAACCAAATGGCCCAAAAAGTACCCATTCAGTTTTAACAAATGGGATTTGAGCCATTAGGTTTGCGATGGACCATTGGATTTCAAACAAAGAAAATTCAGATAAATAGGATGACTTCTAGCTAACATTTTGTAAAGTACTTGTATTATATATATTTCAGGGATGCTAAACACTGCCAATGTACTGGACTGTACTCCTGCATTATTGACAGGGTCCATTGTTTCTGCGTCTATAACGCAAGAGAGTGTCGAGATATCAAACGCTTTGGCAGAGGTGGACTTTATCCCGGATAACAAGACATTTCATTAATGACTCCATTAAACAGAGGAATTTGGCTATTCAATATGGTAAACAGACGATGCATTAAAAACTTTTAGATATCTCTGGCCATCTCTGTTACAAAATCCTCTAAAAATGTTAACATACTCAATATAGACCATACTCTGGTCATTTTAGTTCAAACACAACAACCATATACTTTTTTCAGTTATTATCATATTGTCAGAAAAGTGCTCAAATTACAGCCAAAATAATAATAAAAAATATCTTGATTGTGTGTCAAATAGAAAACAAAAAATTATTACTCATGCATGCATTGAGTGCATAAATTCAAATATACTCTGAAATTGTGAAATTAAGAACACTGCTACAATGAATAAAATAATACTGATCAAATGACTGCATTTCTCTTTACTTTACATTTATATTTATGACATTTAATGCGTAATCTCACAATAGAGCAGTACAGTATCCATGTTACCTCATAAACAAGATACTTCTTTTGTACAATTACAATATTGAGAGACCTTAAAACGTGTTTTGTTCCAATGAGGCTCGATAGATGTTTCGTTTTTATCCGAACATATGATACCAAGAACAAAAGAAGTGTCTGGTGAGTTTTCAAAAACTCTAGAGAAAAGTATGTAATATGTATTTTTCAAATTAAACTGATACCATTAAAAAGATAATCATTAGACTGACGATGTGTAACATTTTCAAAATATTTTGATGACTGGTTTAAGAGAAACTTGTGTTCAATTCAGTTCACCATTATCGATACCAATCCTTTACCCAGCATGTCCAAGATGTGATCTCTAATTTTTATACCAAGAAGCATGCATGGAAATCAATTCATTGAACATCTTAGGATTTTGGGATACCAATCCACCTGCCTGGTAAACTGATTGTAATATAGCACCTACCTAGTAGTACTTTAGGGTGCGATAAAAAATAAATACTACAATACATTATATGAATACGTTTCATTGCCATCTGAAGCAGAATCGAACAAATTAAATACATGTAGTTCTATTTACAACTGCAGTTTATTACGAAATATACATAGAATCCTCCAAAACATCTTTACAATGCACTCAGAAAAAAGTACATCTACTCAATATATTAAACAGCAAAAGAAACACATTACAGGCCCATAGCCAGGGGTGAGCGGAGGGAGCGGCTGCTCCCCTCTGGCCAGAAATTCTTTCAAAATCATGCAGTTTTCACCCTTCTGAGCACTGATTTTTTGCCCAAAACTGTCAAACCCCCCCTTGGAAAAACTCCCCCTTGGTAAATCCGCTCCCCCCAAGTTAATTCCTGTCTACGGGCCTGCATTACTATACATTGGAGTAATTGTATACTGTTGTATTTACATAAGTGTGTTGGAATTCAATTGCTGGCTTTTTAAGAATTTTCAATTGTATTCCAAATTGCTGATCTACTTGAAATTACCAATACTCGTACATTTGTAGATTATGTCTATGATTCCAGACTCACAATCGTACAAGTTATTTTATATGACAAATTGTAAGTATTTAATATTTTTGTAACACCACCTGGCAAGTTATCCCAATGGTTATAATTACAAAAGTGTAACAATTCTACAAACATAGACCACTGACGGCAGTCACAAAAATGGAGGAGTTAACAATATGACACCACTTCTTGGTGGTGACTTTACCACAAATGCAAATTGCTGACCTACATGTATACATGTATTTTCTGAATTCCCATCTATTTGTACATACATTTTTCCATTTCAAATTTCCCATGTTTCTACATGTATAAGAATTCTGAATGATTATGCGTGTATATAAAATATACATAATCTGAATGATTATGCATGTATATATACGAGCATAATCATTCAGAATTCTTATAATGGTAGCCATGATTTTCAAACCAAAATGCAAAAGAGAAAAAACAATAATGCAATACAATACCAACATTATGAGCATGAAACTGATGTGTTTTCTTGGCATCATTCACCAGGAATTTATCATATTATGTGGGACAGAAGTAAAAAATGTCTACTTTAATAGTAAATATTCAATTATCCCAAAAATGGATTAGACTTTCATGTTATCCTTTCATATTATAAAATCACATATAACTAAAGAAAAAAAGCAAATTTGGAACAACAGTGATAAATTTTTGATAAGAATCAGCAGATCATTGCTTCCAACCTCTGATTTAACTTTTAAGTAAAGTTAAGTACCCTGAAGCCCACAGTCTAGTATCAATAATTAAACTCTGACAATAAGACACACAATTTTGTAATTTTATGCTATTAAAATCTTACAGACCCCCAAAGAAGCTGTAGCGGCCTTGGGGCAGTTTAAATATGAATAAATAGCAGGTACTTATGAAGGCATAACGTTTTGTTACAGCAACTCTAATTGGGTAGTTCAATTATGCTTGATCTAGTCTGATTGGATGAGGTTAGATCAAAGGATTACCTCTTATTCAAAGAGTCTAAATGAAATTCTCTTTTCTAACCAAACAAAATCAAATTATTAAAACAAATTAAAATATTATGTTAAAGAGATCGAGTCCTCCAGATTTCTATTCTGGACAATCAGTAATGTCCCAATATAATTGCTCATAAAACATCATTTATACCTTAGATATATATCTTGAGACCAAATCATATGCACGATATCGACAATATATTGAGGATATCAACAGGACAACCAAAGGAACAACCGACTGTCAGAATTGAACGCAATAAGTCGAAAACAGAATACAATGTTTTTTGGGGGATTTATCTATATTGTTACCCCTTAGAAGTAATAAATATGGCTTCTCTAAGACAAAATAATCTGAAGGAATAAAAAGCCAATCAGACTGGAACAAATTTGAGCGGGCTTTTTAAATTTTAATTTCTATTGATGTAAGTGGAAATTCATGGCTACGAACAATCATCGAATTGATACTGTTAACTAATTAATTCAAGCCTCAGAATTGATAAACAAACTTGTTTTACATCAAATAACACGAAAAATAAGGGGGTTTCTCAAATTGTGTTTTTAGGAGACCCGATCTCTTTAATGAACTCACTTTCAGACTTTGCGACATGTAAATTTCACATCCAATCTGTTACATACTGTTCTTTATTTTACCACAATAGCGAAAAGCGCAAAATAGCACATGTGAAAAATACTGGTAGCACAGTATTAGAAGTTATTTCAATCCATTAACTGCCAATCTGCCAAATTATTTAATTTCATCTTTCAAACTTTATATTACATAAAGTCCTTCAAACATGGTCACATGACCCAGTTTCTCTTATATACATCATACTATTCCTTATTAGTACTTGTTCATTCCAAATAGTCTAACTTTGTACATCTGTGGTAGTTTTGGCACTAGGACGAAGCAAAGACTGATGGCATTCACTATGAAATGTCCAGTTGAATATTTTGTGTAGAAGCTTGCAAGGAAAAATCTGAAATAAAAAATCTTTTCATATACAAAGTACTTGCAAACACTTTTATACTACATCATCATATAATTTTATTAAGGATTAACAATATCCTATTTACGATTATCGTATTATTCATAATTTTAGTTAAATTGTTTAAATCATTCATTTTGATTTAGGTTCTGTCACTGAATCTTTTTAATTGGCTCATACCAACATATTTTAATAATTTGCACAAATTCTGTAATTAATATAGTCTATAATATCATCAAAATTAACATTAAACATTATAGATTAAGACTGTATTGAAGAATTTATAAATGCTATGTCATTCAAGAGGTTTAAAGAAAATGAAGGAATCATATAACTCCAATGTAATGAATACAGTATTCATTATCTACTTACAATACAATAGGAACGATAGTAAGAAATTTTCTAGAAGATGTAAATTGTTCTCCATGGTCGATTTGTTCCCAGTGTGTGAGGTAACGATCTTTTCCTTGATCTGACGTCTCAAATGGTGTCCCCTTAAGCATATGCAGTAGCAAAAACATAACCTGAAAAAAGCACATAAGTCATATGGTAAACTGGATTTTATAACGAATAATGTTAACTTAATCATATGATTATTGTGAATGTATGTTTTTAATGCAACATCTAAGTTACTTTTGAAATTCACTAAAAATTACATAAGGCCTATCACAAATGTTCTCATAGTAATAGGCAAATGAATTAATATGCATATATATTTTTTATGAAAGGGCAATGTACTAGCTTTCATATTATACTAATATCAGTAGAGTACTAGATACGTAAAAATAATTTTGTTTATTATAAATGCCATATTTTTAATGCTACTATTGAAACAGGCAGTTTAGACATAATGTGCTCTCTTCATTATTGCTGACAACAGTTCCAAATGATATGTTGTTACTTGATGTTAAACCTTTTTGAGTAAAACGAGTCTAATCTAAAGATCAATTGGACTGGCTAAAAGCATTACATGTCGATTATGAGGTTTCACATTTTAGGGAGGTTTTCACATTTTAAAATCTTGAAAAACATAAATCAACATATTCTCCAGATGTGTAATAGCTACATTAGCCACAAACTTTTATGGCATAGAAATAATTGGAAAATTTTACTGCTCACTCACCCCAATTTGTCCATATTAGAAATTTTTGATGTGATATTTTATGAAGTGTTTCTATAAATAAAGCTTAATTTTTCTAATATGATCCTTTACCTATCAAATTAAGAAAATTCTGTCACTGAAGAAAAAATGGGACAGGTAAAAAATGTTCACATTGGAAGGTGTTTGAATAAGAGAGGTGTTTTGAGGCACTGGTTTTACTGTACACTGTACATTAATAATTTCTAAAATGCTATCAATAACTGGTTTAATTAAATGTGTGCATCATGAACTTACGAGATTATGTATGCAGTTTGTCAGTGTCCATACCATTGCAGTAGAGAGGAAAGGAAATGTAAGCAGAATAAAGTGAAAAACTGTCACCAGTAGTGCATATGTCACCCACATACCCTTACTATTGAAGTAAGAGCTGTTTGGGTTCACTTCACTTGTCGCAGTGCCCACATTCATTTTTGTAACCTCCTGAAATAAAGATGAAAAGCATAAGAGACAACATTTAAAAACACACACAATACAGTGTTTTCCCCAGGATTTTTCCATATTGGAAATAGGTCGAAAAAACATTCACTCGATGAACAATTTACAAGTCTTGATCGAAAAAGAAGTATTTCAGCGATCCAATACTTGCACGGATTGATGATACTGATGGAAGACACAGTTAGAGACCAAAAGTAAGCCGCTGATAGAATTAATTTGTGCTTCAAGGGTCACTATTATCCCGCTGCCTGGGTGCGCCGTGGGAAAGCTACATGTATTATATCAAAATCCATATAGCTTTCGCAGGAAGTAAAGATAGACTAGATCATAAAGTAAACGCACTGATGCTTGATACACAGTGAGTACGACTTTTACGTTAACATTTGATCAGATAACTTTTAAAAGCTCAGGAAACTTGAGATAGGGAGGATGTAAGTCTGAGATTTTTTATTTTTTCATTTTTGAAAAAATAAAATTTTGATGACAAATTAGAAATTGACTTCTCTTACCGAATTTACATTCATTTATAGAAAATATCAATTTGCGTTGTTCTCCATATATTCGGCTACAGATCTGACCCAGGATATACCAACATTTCATGTAGGAATGTCTAATAAAACAACTAAAACGTAACTTACTTTTAACGTGTCCTATTATAATGACGTCACTTCCTGTTTATGTTTTGAGAACGAGGTTTTGGAAAACCCCTGGCGGTAAATTCTAAATAACTTATATGTACCTCATAAGATCTAACCTAATTGGAATGTCATATGGCTACAGATACGTTTATACACATACAATTATTCTGTAGTGCAATTTTTCAGCATAGACAATTGGAACTCGTCAAACAGCTTCTTCCACAGGGACATGCTCAACACTGCATCACCTTGTCTTCAAGAAAATTCTTCCATGAGTGCAAAACAGAACTGAGTGTAAGACAACATGTACTCTAAAATGTATTTATTCTGTTGGAAAAAATGCTCAGGGTACATGTTGCCACTGTTCTTCTTGGCAGGCCACTGTATATGTTAGATGTTGATGATTACTGAACACAGCTGGCTCTGTCAGCTCGGTAGAGTCCCGGGTAGATCTAGAGGAAGATGTTGATTATCCTTATCCCGTTCCCGGAACGGAATAAGATTATCCGATCTGATTTCATTTACTCATGAACTTTTCACCTTTCTTATCCTTCTATCTCTTTGCAGGATAACCTGTCTTAATCTTGCGTCGATGGTGACACACCGACTCCGAATCTAAATCTTTCACATTTGCACAAAGAGTTGCAAGACCATGTTATTAAGTGTTTTAGTTGCGCAAGGATCCTGCCATGACCGTGGTAGTGTTATCATGAAAGCAAGGCTGATGACAGTGGTAAATGAATGGATATGACCGTGACAATGCAATTGCAAGGCCTGATATGACTGTGACAATGTTCATGTTCTTGAATGAGGAATTAGTTTGCGGAAATGAATTATGAGTTAAATGAATCTAAAATTTTATGTATCAATGTAGGGACTATGTGAGTACCATGTACATGCATTATTCCATAGTAGTCTAGATTTACATATTAAGTTAATCATTCTATGAAATTTACATTATTCTCATGCTTCTAAATGCTATTTAATATAACCATTGTCACAGTCATATCGTGCTTTAACATTACCATGGTCGTGACAGGCCTTGCAACCATTGTCACAGTTTTTTTTTTTTTTTATATATATATATATTGTCACAGTTATATTAGGCTTAAACCTTACCACAGTCATGAAGACCTTGCAACCATTGTCACGGTCATATCAGGCTTTAACATTACCACGGCCATGACAGGCCTTGCAACCATTGTCACGGTCATATCAGGCTTAAACATTACCACTGTCATACCACAGCACTGGCGGATTAGGGCCCCCCCCCCCCTTGGGTGGGCCCAGAAAAAAAAAATTGGGCCCAAAAAAAATTTTGTAATGTCCAGGTGCTAAATTACTAAAATAGCAGTTGTCAGATTTGGTTCACATTTTATAGGCGATACCTTAGAACCTCTACCCAGATCAGAAAATAATTTTGCAATATAGTTTAAATGTTTGTTTTAAAATAATTTTAGGGTATAATTTGAATGTCTCTTTATCAACTTAGATGATATTTAAAATTTTCTACTCTGTGTAGCCGTCATTCACATTTTCAAACATTACATACTAGTACCAACATATTTAGCGCGGTCTTGTTTGTTTTTCAGTAAAATGAAGTTATTACCAAAGAATACAATACATTTAATATCAAGCAGCCAAGTAATTACATCTGTTGTCAGTGTGGTTAAAGAACTTTTGGAGAACTCTCTTGATGCAGGTGCCACAAGCCTTGAGATAAAGTTGGTAAGATAAAACATCGAAAAAGATGTGAATATTTTAAACTAGGCCTATTGTTATTATTTTCATACTGCTAGGATTGGTTAGAATTTTAGTTTTTGTTAAAATTTTAGCCAATTTATAAAAACCTTTAAATATTTAATCTATCAAGAAATATAGAGATTTTTAATTGAGAATTTGAAACCTTGAAAACTTCTGCCATATAGCTTCCATACAGTATTTAATTTAGAGCCCCATTTGGAGTAAAGTATTTACTCTTAATTATATCACCATCAAGAAATGATGACACATTTTGTGATAGCCACTATTTTGTGACTAGAATTAGCTATTGGTATCTGTAAGAAATTCTTAATTTGTAACCATTTTTAGTAACTTTCCAGATGATAAAAGTTAGTCATGTTATGCATCTGCTTCTTGTATTGACTCTAAAATAACTTCATGGTTCATTTGTATTCTACTTGCATCTATCCTAGGAAAACTATGGTCTTGATAAAATTGAGATCCGTGATAATGGCAGAGGTGTAAGTCCAGAAGACACTGAACATATGTGTCAACCACACTATACTTCTAAGATTAATAATCACGCTGATCTGGAGATTCTTTCTACATATGGTTTCAGAGGAGAGGCATTACGTAAGTCCACATCATTTTTTTTATTTTCTCTCACATTTTTAGGTTTCAAGCAATTTTGGCTTTAGGTGTCATGGATTTATGCATATAGTATGTGATGACACACTTTATATCCAGGGTAGGTCAAAAAATGTTACCCATTCTGAACTGACAAGAGAGGGTAAAATGTTTTGGCCCACCCTGTAGCTGTAGGGAATCTGCTAAATGTAGACCCCCTACCTCTGCTTTCTCTTCAGAGTCCTTGTGGAAGTGAGGTGTGTGAGGGTCACAAGGGTTTGAAACAAGACAAGAAGTCTATCTGACAAAAAGTGAGAAGTTCTTTACTATCCCAATGAACAAAGTTCATTTGAAAATAGCGAAGCCCTCCATCTGTCAGTCCATTCATTTGCCCATCGGTTAAAATTTTCAGGAAACGTGAAAACTGTCTATCGTCTGAATTTCTACTTTTATCCATTTTATGGGGTTCACATTATAATTTATATCATTTGTCCCTGTTCTTTGCCTCTTTTTGGACAAAGTGGCTAAATGTTTTTAAAATGCCATATCTTTTACAATTTACAAGTGTGTATCATGGGTTGTGTTTCCAAATCAGATAACATATGTTGCAATTAATTTTTGATTATCTAACTACAGTGAAACCTGTTTATCTGAACACCTCTCTAGTCTGTTCTCCTTCCAATGTAAACACTTTTTTCTGCTAATTTGAACCCTTTTGTCCAGTCCCAGAGGCATTCAACTTACTGTATTGATATTTTATTATCTTATTGTATTAAATGGGTCATACTTGTTACATTTGTAATGTGACCTACTTTCCAACCTGACCTACTTTTGCAACTTGACCTACTTTTACAACTTCGTTATTTTATGAAAATGACTTCCAATATAAGACAAAATGATAAAAGTCCTTAGAAGTCTTCAAAAATTATACATCCCAAGTTGTTTGTAACAAGTGATTGGAGGAAGGAATCGCGTGTGAAATTGATTATTTTATACACATACTTTTTCTAATTTCAGATAGCATTTGTGTTGTGTCTGATGTGGTCATCATTACTTGTACAGCTGGGGAGGAAGTTGGAAGATGGAACAGCTTTGATCACCATGGAAACATGATTAATACAAAACCCATACACCATACTACAGGTATATGTACTATATATGTCAAGGTTTAGGGACAAAAATTTATGTCATTTTAAAGTAAAGCTTTTTTTCTTTACAATGACGAGTTGAGAAATTTAAAAACATCCCACTTACTGAACTTTTAAACTTTTAAGGCATGTATTTTCAGAAAGCTTTACATTGGCGATATTCCATTACATTCTTGGACTTTGTTATTTTACGATTGAAAGTTTTGAACTTTTATATCAGGCATTTCAAATAGCTTTACATTGGCGATATTCCATTACATTCTTGGACTTTGATTATTTTACGATTGAAAGTTGTGAACTTTTATATCAGGCATTTCAAATAGCTTTACATTGGACATATTCCTTTACATTCTTGGACTTACAATATTTTACGATCTGAAGAGGTGAACTTTTACAGCATGCATTTTCAAAAAGCTTTACATTGGCCATATTCCTTTTCATTCTTGGACATAGAATATTTCACGAAGCAAAGTTGTGAACTTTTTATGCAGGCATTTTCAAAAAGCTTTACATTGGCGAAATTCCATTACATTCTTGGACTTAGATTATTTTGCGATTGAAAGTTGTGAACTTTTATAGCATGCATTTTCAAAAAGCTTTACAATGGCCATTTTCCTTTACATTCTTGGACTAAGATTATTTTACGATATAGAGAACTGAAATTTATGGCATGCATTTTCAAAAAGCTTTACATTGGCCATTTTCCTTTACATTCTTGGACTTAGAATATTTTGCGAGTGAAAGTTGTTAACTTTTAAAGCATGCATTTTCAAAAACCTTTACATTGGCCATATTCCTTTACATTCTTGGACTTAGATTATTTTATGATATATAGAAGAGTAATTTATGGCATGCATTTTCAAAAAGCTTTACATTGGCCATTTTCCTTTACATTCTTGGACTTTGAATATTTCACGAAGCAAAGTTGTGAACTTTTTATGCAGGCATTTTCAAAAAGCTTTACATTGGCGAAATTCCATTACATTCTTGGACTTAGATTATTTTGCGATTGAAAGTTGTGAACTTTTATAGCATGCATTTTCAAAAAGCTATACAATGGCCATTTTCCTTTACATTCTTGGACTTGGATTATTTTACGATCTATAAGTATAAAGTGAAATTTATGGCATGCATTTTCAAAAACCTTTACATTGGCCATTTTCCTTTACATTCTTGGACTTAGTGAACTTTTATGCAGGCATTTTCAAAAAGCTTTACATTGGCGAAATTCCATTACATTCTTGGACTTAGATTATTTTGCGATTGAAATACTTGATGACTTTCAAGGCATGTATTTTCAAAAAGCTTTACATTGGCGAAACCCCATTACATTCTTGAACTTAGATTATTTTGCGATTGAAAGTTGTGAACTTTTATAGCATGCATTTTCAAAAAGCTTTACAATGGCCATTTTCCTTTACATTCTTGGACTTAGAATATTTTACGATCTATAAAAGTGAAATTATATGGCATGCATTTTCAAAAAGCTTTACATTGGCCATTTTCCATTACATTTTTGGACTTAGATTATTTTACGATCTACATGTATAGAAGTGAAATTTTATGGCATGCATTTTCAAAAAGCTTTACATTGGCCATTTTCCTTTACATTCCTGGACTTTGAATATTTCACGAAGCAAAGTTGTGAACTTTTTATGCAGGCATTTTCAAAAAGCTTTACATTGGCGAAATTCCATTACATTCTTGGACTTAGATTATTTTGCGATTGAAAGTTGTGAACTTTTATAGCATGCATTTTCAAAAAGCTATACAATGGCCATTTTCCTTTACATTCTTGGACTTGGATTATTTTACGATCTATAAGTATAAAGTGAAATTTATGGCATGCATTTTCAAAAACCTTTACATTGGCCATTTTCCTTTACATTCTTGGACTTAGATTATTTTACGATGTAAACTTGAAAAATTTTAAGATATGTATTTTCAAAAAGCTTTACATTGGCCATATTCCTTTACATTCTTGGACTTAGATTATTTTACGATATATTATGATAACTCTTAAGGCATGTGTTTTCAAAAAGCTTTACATTGGCCATTTTCCTTTACATTCTTGGACTTAGAATATTTCACGAAACAAAGTCATGAACTTTTTATGCAGGCATTTTCAAAAAGCTTTACATTGGCGAAATTCCATTACATTCTTGGACTTAGATTATTTTGCGATTGAAAGTTGTGAACTTTCAAACATGCATTTTCAAAAAGCTTTACATTGGCCACATTCCTTTACATTCTTGGACTTAGATTATTTTACAATCTATAGAAGTGAAATTTTATGGCATGCATTTTCAAAAAGCTTTACATTGGCCATTTTCCTTTACATTCTTGGACTTAGAATATTTTCGGTTGAAAGTTGTGAACTTTTATAGTAGCATTTTCAAAAACCTTTACATTGGCGATATTCCTTTACATTCTTGGACTTAGATTATTTTACGATATTTACTTGATAACTTTCACGGCATGTATTTTCAAAAAGCTTTACATTGGCCATATTCCTTTACATTCCTGGACTTAGAATATTTCACAAAGCAAAGTTGTGAACTTTTTATGCAGGCATTTTCAAAAAGCTTTACATTGGCGAAATTCCATTACATTCTTGGACTTAGATTATTTTGCGATTGAAAGTTGTGAACTTTTATAGCATGCATTTTCAAAATGCTTTACAATGGCCATTTTCCTTTACATTCTTGGACTTAAATTATTTTACAATCTATAGAAGTGAAATTTTATGGCATGCATTTTCAAAAAAGCTTTACATTGGCCATTTTCCTTTACATTCATTGACTTAGATTATTTTACGATCTACATGTATAGAAGTGAAATTTTATGGCATGCATTTTCAAAAAGCTTTACATTGGCCATTTTCCTTTACATTCTTGGACTTAGATTATTTTGCGATTGAAAGTTGTGAACTTTTATAGTATGCATTTTCAAAAAGCTTTACATTGGCCATATTCCTTTACATTCTTGGACTTAGATTATTTTACGATCTATAGAAGTGAAATTTTACAGCATGCATTTTCAAAAAGCTTTACATTGGCCATTTTCCTTTACATTCTTGGACTTAGATTATTTTACGATCTATAGAAGTAAAATTTATGGTATGCATTTTCAAAAAGCTTTACATTGGCCACATTCCTTTACATAGATTATTTTACGATCTATAGAAGTGAAATTTTATGGCATGCATTTTCAAAAAGCTTTACATTGGTCATTTTCCTTTACATTCTTGGACTTAAAATATTTTACCATCTAACGAGGTGAAATTTTACAGAATGCATTTTCAAAAAGCTTTACATTGGCCATATTCCTTTACATTCTTGGACTTAGAATATTTCACGAAACAAAGTCATGAACTTATTATGCAGGCATTTTCAAAAAGCTTTACATTGGCCATATTCCTTTACATTCTTGGACTTAGAATATTTCACGAAACAAAGTCATGAACTTTTTATGCAGGCATTTTCAAAAAGCTTTACATTGGCCATTTTCCTTTACATTCTTGGACATAGATTATTTTACGATCTAACGAGGTGAAATTTTATGGCATGCATTTTCAAAAAGCTTTACATTGGTCATTTTCCTTTACATTGTTGGACTTAAAATATTTTACGATCTAACGAGGTGAAATTTTACAGAATGCATTTTCAAAAAGCTTTACATTGGCCATATTCCTTTACATTCTTGGACTTAGAATATTTCACGAAACAAAGTCATGAACTTTTTATTTTTCAAAAAGCTTTACATTGGCCATTTTCCTTTACATTCTTAGACATAGATTATTTTACGATCTAACGAGGTGAAATTTTATGGCATGCATTTTCAAAAAGCTTTACATTGGCCATTTTCCATTACATTTTTGGACTTAGATTATTTTACGATCTACATGTATAGAAGTGAAATTTTATGGCATGCATTTTCAAAAAGCTTTACATTGGCCATTTTCCTTTACATTCTTGGACTTTGAATATTTCATGAAGCAAAGTTGTGAACTTTTTATGCAGGCATTTTCAAAAAGCTTTACATTGGCGAAATTCCATTACATTCTTGGACTTAGATTATTTTGCGATTGAAAGTTGTGAACTTTTATAGCATGCATTTTCAAAAAGCTATACAATGGCCATTTTCCTTTACATTCTTGGACTTGGATTATTTTACGATCTATAAGTATAAAGTGAAATTTATGGCATGCATTTTCAAAAACCTTTACATTGGCCATTTTCCTTTACATTCTTGGACTTAGATTATTTTACGATGTTAACTTGAAAAATTTTAAGATATGTATTTTCAAAAAGCTTTACATTGGCCATATTCCTTTACATTCTTGGACTTAGATTATTTTACGATATATTATGATAACTCTTAAGGCATGTATTTTCAAAAAGCTTTACATTGGCCATTTTCCTTTACATTCTTGGACTTAGAATATTTCACGAAACAAAGTCATGAACTTTTTATGCAGGCATTTTCAAAAAGCTTTACATTGGCCATTTTCCTTTACATTCTTGGACTTAGATTATTTTACAATCTATAGAAGTGAAATTTTATGGCATGCATTTTCAAAAAGCTTTACATTGGCCATTTTCCTTTACATTCTTGGACTTAGAATATTTTGCGATTGAAAGTTGTGAACTTTTATAGCATGCATTTTCAAAAACCTTTACATTGGCGATATTCCTTTACATTCTTGGACTTAGATTATTTTACGATATTTACTTGATAACTTTCACGGCATGTATTTTCAAAAAGCTTTACATTGGCCATATTCCTTTACATTCCTGGACTTAGAATATTTCACAAAGCAAAGTTGTGAACTTTTTATGCAGGCATTTTCAAAAAGCTTTACATTGGCGAAATTCCATTACATTCTTGGACTTAGATTATTTTGCGATTGAAAGTTGTGAACTTTTATAGCATGCATTTTCAAAATGCTTTACAATGGCCATTTTCCTTTACATTCTTGGACTTAAATTATTTTACAATCTATAGAAGTGAAATTTTATGGCATGCATTTTCAAAAAAAGCTTTACATTGGCCATTATCCTTTACATTCATTGACTTAGATTATTTTACGATCTACATGTATAGAAGTGAAATTTTATGGCATGCATTTTCAAAAAGCTTTACATTGGCCATTTTCCTTTACATTCTTGGACTTAGATTATTTTGCGATTGAAAGTTGTGAACTTTTATAGTATGCATTTTCAAAAAGCTTTACATTGGCCATATTCCTTTACATTCTTGGACTTAGATTATTTTACGATCTATAGAAGTGAAATTTTACAGCATGCATTTTCAAAAAGCTTTACATTGGCCATTTTCCTTTACATTCTTGGACTTAGATTATTTTACGATCTATAGAAGTAAAATTTATGGTATGCATTTTCAAAAAGCTTTACATTGGCCACATTCCTTTACATAGATTATTTTACGATCTATAGAAGTGAAATTTTATGGCATGCATTTTCAAAAAGCTTTACATTGGTCATTTTCCTTTACATTCTTGGACTTAAAATATTTTACCATCTAACGAGGTGAAATTTTACAGAATGCATTTTCAAAAAGCTTTACATTGGCCATATTCCTTTACATTCTTGGACTTAGAATATTTCACGAAACAAAGTCATGAACTTTTTATGCAGGCATTTTCAAAAAGCTTTACATTGGCCATATTCCTTTACATTCTTGGACTTAGAATATTTCACGAAACAAAGTCATGAACTTTTTATGCAGGCATTTTCAAAAAGCTTTACATTGGCCATTTTCCTTTACATTCTTGGACATAGATTATTTTACGATCTAACGAGGTGAAATTTTATGGCATGCATTTTCAAAAAGCTTTACATTGGTCATTTTCCTTTACAATGTTGGACTTAAAATATTTTACGATCTAACGAGGTGAAATTTTACAGAATGCATTTTCAAAAAGCTTTACATTGGCCATATTCCTTTACATTCTTGGACTTAGAATATTTCACGAAACAAAGTCATGAACTTTTTATGCAGGCATTTTCAAAAAGCTTTACATTGGCCATTTTCCTTTACATTCTAAGACATAGATTATTTTACGATCTAACGAGGTGAAATTTTATGGCATGCATTTTCAAAAAGCTTTTCATTGGCCATATTCCTTTACATTCTTGGACTTAGATTATTTTACGATCTAACGAGGTGAAATTTATGGCATGCATTTTCAAAAAGCTTTACATTGGCCATTTTCCTTTACATTCTTGGACATAGATTATTTTACAATCTACATGTATAGAAGTGAATTGAAAGTTGTGAACTTTTATAGTACACTGTATGCATTTTCAAAAAGCTTTACAATGGCCATTCCTTTACATTCTTGGACTCGGATTATTTTACGATGTAAACCTTGACTTGTTCTTCACCTTACATGTACCTACGTGTACTTCTGAGTAATTTGTAATTAACAATCAAATCAACAAATATTCACATATCATATTAGCAGATGTCTGGCGAAATTACAATACAATAAGATATTCTGATCGATAGTATTTGGTTATAAAACCGGAAGTGTTTTCTCTGAGGTCGGCGCGTCAAATTCCATATATGTATTCTACCTTCGATATTAGTATTGGCCGGTACATCCTCCCGATTAATATCTATCATTGGGTGCTTTCAACACCATGTATTTCTAATGTTATCGCAAAATAGTCCATAAAATGAAGGAAATGTTTCAAAGTTAGAAATTTGATCGGCATTTTACCAAAAGAGCTTCTGCGCATGAGTTCTGCGCATGTCAAAAGCCCGTCAAACTTTCTCATTTCTTTTAACATTTCTCGCCTTTTACACGACTTTCCCACATGGAATCATACTCTATCATCAAATTAGAAATATAAGGCATAACTTTAGATCGATTTCCAACCATCTCTTGTGAAGGTATTGAAGATGATCGGGGAAAACAATCCTGTCTATTCGGGGGGCTCTCTTGGGGATTTCTTCAATCACTATCAATACTATTGTCTATGCAAGTTCATTTCTATATTTAGCGATCTTTACTGTATTCTCTCCAATGACATATGGTTTTTACAATTCTACATGTACTGTACGTCGTGAAAGAACAGAATCCAACAAATACCAAATCTAAAAGTCAAAATAACAGGCTAAAGGAAAGGGGACAGTAAAGCGTCATGTACAGCATTCTATGAGAGTTCACAACTTAAATCGTAAAATGAGCTAAGTCCAGGAATGTAAAGGAATTTGGCCAATGTAAACCTTTTTGAAAATACATGACATAATAGTTTACAACTTTAAATCTTGAAATAATCTAAGTCCAAAAATGTAATGGAATATGGCCAATGTAAAGCTTTTTGAAAATGGATGCCATAAAATTTCACTTCTATAGATCGTAAAATATTCTAAGTCCAAGAATGTAAAGGAAAATGGCCATTGTAAAGCTTTTTGAAAATGCCTGAATTAAAAGTTATCTACTTTACATCGTAAAATAATCTAAGTCCAAGAATGTAATGGAATTTTGCCAATGTAAAGCTTTTTAAAAACGCCTGCATAAAAAGTTCACAACTTTGTTTCGTGAAATATTCTAAGTCCAAGAATGTAAAGGAATATGGCCAATGTAAAGCTTTTTGAGAATACATGCCTTAAAAGTTATCAAGTATATATATATATAGTATATATCCCTTCTATATATCATGAAATAATGTAAGTCCAAGAATGTAAAGGAAAATGGCCAATGTAAAGCTTTTTGAAAATGCATACCATAAATTTTACTTCTATACATGTAGATCGTAAAATAATCTAAGTCCAAGAATGTAAAGGAAAATGGCCAATGTAAAGCTTTTTGAAAATGCATGCTGTAAAATTTCACTTCTATAGATCGTAAAATAATCTAAGTCCAAGAATGTAAAGGAATATGGCCAATGTAAAGCTTTTTGAAAATGCATGCTATAAAAATTCACAACTTTCAATCACAAAATAATCTAAGTTCATGAATGTAATGGAATTTTGCCAATGTAAAGCTTTTTGAAAATGCCTGCATAAGAAGTTCACAATTTTGCTTCGTGAAATATTCTAAGTCCAAGAATGTAAAGGAATATGGCCAATGTAAAGCTTTTTGAAAATACATGCCTTAAAAGTTATCAAGTATATATCGTAAAATATTCTAAGTCCAAGAATGTAAAGGAAAATGGCCAATGTAAAGCTTTTTGAAAATGCATGCCATAAAATTTCACCTCATAAGATCGTAAAATAATCTAAGTCCAAGAATGTAAAGGAATATGGCCAATGTAAAGCTTTTTGAAAATGCCTGCATAAAAAGTTCATGACTTTGTTTCGTGAAATATTCTAAGTCCAAGAATGTAAAGGAATATGGCCAATGTAAAGCTTTTTGAAAATGCATGCCATAAAATTCACTTCTATATATGATAAAATAATCTAAGTCCAAGAATGTAAAGGAAAATGACCAATGTAAAGCTTTTTGAAAATGCATGCCATAAAATTTCATTTCTATAGATCGTAAAATAATCTTAAGTCCAAGAATGTAAAGGAAAATGGCCATTGTAAAGCTTTTTGAAAATGCCTGCATAAAAAGTTCACAACTTTGCTTCGTGAAATATTTTAAGTCCAAGAATGTAAAGGAATATGGCCAATGTAAAGCTTTTTGAAAATGCATGCTGTAAAAGTTCACCTCTCCAGATCGTAAAATATTTTAAGTCTAAGAATGTAAGGGAAAATGGCCAATGTAAAGCTTTTTTGAAAATGCATGCCATAAATTTCACTTCTATATATCATAAAATATTCTAAGTCCAAGAATGTAAAGGAATATGGCCAATGTAAAGCTTTTTGAAAATGCCTGCATTAAAAGTTCACAACGTTGCTTCGTGAAATATTCTAAGTCCAAGAATGTAAAGGAATATGGCCAATGTAAAGCTTTTTGAAAATGCCTGCATTAAAAGTTCACAACTTTCAATCGTAAAATAATCAAAGTCCAAGACTGTAATGGAATAGATTCTATCGCCAATGTAAAGCTTTTTGAAAATACATGCCTTAAAAGTTTAAAAGTTCAGTAAGTGGGGTGTTTTTAAATTTCTCAACTCGTCATTGTAAAGAAAAAAAGCTTTACTTAAAAATGACATAAATTTTTGTCCCTAAATCTTGACACTGATGATATGTACTGGGGCAGACTGGCACAAAACGGAATTATAGTTTGATCTGTCCGATAAAAATAGTTTGATCTGTCTGATAAAACCTTGGGAAACATTCTTTCATCAGTACATGTACATCTATCATGATAAGTGCCCACTGGGTCATATATATGAAAGCTTTAATTATCATTTCAGGTACTACCATTATAATTGAAAAATTATTCAATAATTTACCGGTACGTAAACAGTATTACAGCAGTGTAAAGAAAAAGAAAGAAGAATTGAAAAAAGTTGAAGATCTCGTTCTGTCATTCGGAGTGATTCTCCCTGAAGTGAGGGTCACCCTCCGCCATGGGAAAGACCTTATATGGCAGAAAGCAAAGCTGCCTGATTACAAAGCGTCACTTGGGAAAGCAGTTGGTATGAGATGTGTCAACCAAATGGAAACGTTCCATAGAGAGGACTCTAATACACAGGTTGGTAATTTCTTCAGATATACATTAAACATACATTTAAAGTTGTAGTTGAAATATGTGAATGTTGTCTTATGATAAAAATATCTCATAATTGTTTGAATTTATATATGTTGGTTTATTTTGACCTGAGTTTTCCAGGTAATGCTGATATAATTCACAGTGTGATAGATCTATACAAAATTACATGTACTGAACAGGCCCGTAGCCAGAATTTTCCAAGGGGGTTCACTTTTCCAAAAAATTCTAGGGGGGGAACTACGGGCCTGCTGAAATTATTATTTTGTTCATAAAATACAAATAACGAACTTAAATGCAAAATATGTAATTTGGCATTTGATTATCAAAAACATGTATAATTCAATTGTTCTCATAATAAATGCTAATTAGTTTAACTAATTAATTTAGCAGTATTACTCTTACCTATACACTAGTAATCAGGGTTTGGTGTGAATGGGACATTTCTGGTGTTAATTGGTATGAAAAATAATTTTACTACCATCTAACACCAAGTTACACCATAAAACTGGTGTGACTTGGTATGAAAGGATTAAGAGATTAAACCCCTGCTGCCTCACACTGAGTCACACCATTCTGCTGGTGTGAGATGGTATGAAAATCAAATTTAATCCCTTTGATCTCTACAAACAAAAATTCATACCAAGTCACACTGAAAGTTTGGTGTGAATCGGTAGTAAAACATAAAACTTCATTTTCTTAATCCTTGATTGCATTTTAACATGTATTTGATCTCTTGATTGCCTTATACTTATTGTTTTTGTTTTTATAGATTATTAGTACAGTGTTCCAATACAGCAATAAAGTAATTTCATAATTAAATCCACTATGATTTATTAAAATAAATTAATTCTAAAATTAGTTTTATATTTATTGAATATGTTTGCATACTTTTGGGAGATATAGATAATCATCACAGTTGAAATTGTATTCCTAAGTGGACAATTCAACAAAAGCAATTACTTAAGTGTACTTAGTGAAATCATTTATTCTTTTTATCGTAATAAATAATATGCTAGCCATGTACAACAAAGATAAAACAATATACATATAACTAAAATGTAAACACTTCATCTTATTTGTAATTTACAAACCAAACTCTATCTCCTTCAACAGCTACAGCTAAGGGTTTGCTCAAAAGAGACAAGTGATATATTTTAGTATCACATTTAATATTATGAGAACGAAAGAAGGAATCTGTTTCTTATGGCCGTGGAAATAAAGACACAATAGCCCAGGCATCCAATTTACTTTTGAATTTGTGAGTTACAATTTTCTCAATTAAACCAAATCTCATTTCAGTTTTAATTATTATATATGCAGAAGAGTTCATTTTAGTTGTTGATGTATCTGGTTTATATATGATGCATTCATTATTATCACTTGATGTTTACCACTCCCCAACAAACTTACATACTGGGTCAATGTCACATAAATTTAAATTTGGTTTCTCATAGGGTAGAGGTTTTCATAAAAATGTGCAATTGTTCTCGAGCTCCTATAGTCCTCTTTTAACAAAGAGAATGTCCCACATTTATCTGTAGATGGTGACATTGACATATACTCTGTCATAGTCTTGGGGGTTTCTGATGGAACTTTCTTGGTGACTTTAGCTGCCTGACCACTTAATGCCATATGAGACACCCAATCGTAAACTGCATATGTTTCCATGATGGTTGCTTCTTGATGCTCTTTGTTCAGGGCCTGGCGTGCCACCCAACGCTGAACTCTTTCAAATGGATAAGTCCATCGAGCATACATGTACAGCATACAGTACTGTATGGGTACATTTTGACTATCTATGAGCAATTAGGAATTATCTATGAGCATAGTAATCCCATTACTGACTCTAAACCTGACATTTATGAGAAGTCAAATTGTCATCTGTCCAGAACTCAGTGACACTCTGAGCAGGTCATTCCATTATGTCTACAGTACTGTATGGGTACATTTTGACTATCTATGGGCAATTAGGAATCATCTATGGGCATACTAATCCTATTATTGACTCTAAACCTGACATTTATGAGTAGTCAAATTGTCATCTGCCCAGACTTCAGTGACACTCTGAGCAGGTCATTCCATTATGTTTACAGTACTGTATGGGTACATTTTGACTATCTATGGGCAATTAGGAATTATCTATGAGCATAGTAATCTCATTATTGACTCTAAACCTGACATTTATGAGTAGTCAAATTGTCATCTGCCCACACTTCAATGACACTCTGAGCAGGTCATTCCATTATGTTTACAGTATGGGCACATTTGCCCATCCTTGTCAATTTTCATTTAAATGTATTAATAACATGGCAGTGATGGGTAGTTCATTTCATATTACCTTACATTTTTACTATGCTTGTTTATCTGTATGTGCAAAATGAGGCTCATTAGATGTTAAGTCATATCTATTCAAACAATGAAGCAATAACATAAAAAACATGACATCAATGTTTGATATTTTTGTTTATTATACTTAGTTGCTCCATTGCTTTTGGGTTGACACTAATCCTGTTTGTGACAATCATCCATTAATGCTATTTTATAACTTAAAATAACTTGACAAATCAAGTTTTTTTTAATCTTCATGGTTTAAAACAATTAATAATAATTAGAATGTTTGACGATTAAGTTTTTTCTCTAGTTATTTGGAAAAAATGAATTAGACTCAAACTAAACCTATAAGAATACTATTTAAGTTTTAAAAATATACAAAAATCAAGTAATTAATGATAAATAAACATGTTCTTAAATAAAAATACAAGTTTAGTTTCCATTCTAGACATGTTGACAAATCCCTTAAAAAAATACAATAATAAGCAGATCAAAAGATTAAAGGAATTATAAATTGCAATCAAGAACTATGAAAATCAAGTTTGAAATTTTACTACCAAGTAACACCAAGTTTTCAGTGTGACTTGGTGTGGATTTTGATTTGTAGAGATCAAAGGGATTAAAATTTATTCTAACACCATCTCACACCAGCCAAACAGCATGACTCAGTGTTGAACAGCAGGGGTTTAATCTCTTAATCCTTTCATACCAAGTCACACCAGTTTTATGGTGTGACTTGGTGTTAGATGGTAGTAAAATTATTTTTCATACCAATTAACACCAGAAATGTCCCATTCACACCAAACCCTGATTACTAGTGATATTTCCTGTGTTTTCTAAAAGCTTGTTTTTGACAGGTAAAGCTAGATGTAATGTTGCCAAGGCCAAAGGAGCAAGACTGTAGCAGAGGCTCATCAGATAGATGTTTCATCTTTGTCAACAACAGGCCAGTTGTTTATAAGGATGTAGAAAAGGTAGTTCTATATAAATTGAATAAATGTAGATAATTTGAAATTTACATTCTTTTATAATCTATGGTATTCAATTGTTAACAGTTGTGAAAGTTTATTTCATTAGTCGAGAGGGGAGAAACTTAATGAAGATTTCCAGGTGAACATCAAATCAACATTTCCCAAACTTGTTCTATGGATTAAACCAGAATGAAAGTAATTACTTTTTTGCACGGACACCATCGTAAAGTACAGTATCCAACAGTATTTATGCTCTTTGTGCAATATTTGCAAACCTGATTCAGCCAAGCTACTTTTAGGGCTAAAAGAAAGACTAGACCTAATCAGTCTGTTTTTCTGATTTGAGCTAGCTGTTTTCATCTATTGCCTATTGTTTCTATTGTTTTCACATTTTACATTTATAGCTCCTGAAAAAGTACTACCAAATTGGACAAGGGCAAGATGGAAAATTTCCTGTGGCATTTGTCAATATTACAGTGCCATCTAGTGGAGTGGATGTTAATCTAGAACCCAATAAAACTAGAGTTCTCATTCACAATAAGGTACAATGCAACAATGGGGACAATATAACAATGGGAACAATACAACAATGGGTTATACTATTAGTCAGGGTGAAATATTTTTTAAGAGACTGTGAAAAAATAATTTACATTTCAGACATTTATAAATATAGGATATACATGTGAAAGTAGACACTTATCACAAAACTTTTTTTTTGTCACCTTCCACCCAAAGTACAGGATATAAATCTATATTTTTCCATCCATCATCAGTACTACAGACACACTGTGATCAGTTTGCCTGATATGTAACAAATGGCATCTGTAACAAATTGCAGGTGGTGAAATTTTGCATGTGAATGCATTTTGGCTTTTAAATATTGTCTTTGACAAACCTTGGGATTAGCTTACTTTTTCATTAATTAGTAGCATGATATATGAATGACATGCAATACTCCTTACACTGTGTTTTGTTTTCAGGATTCTGTTATCACCATGGTAACAGACATTCTTGTAGACTTATATGGAGATCTCACTGCCCCAGTCAAACAATCGACATCAGCTTATCTATCTAGCAAACAGGACATCGAAGAAAGTAATGAAGCCCCATCTAACATTATGAAAACTCGGACAACATATGAACTCAATACGGATGATGCTAATGGGAAAATGAATTCAACTGGTGCCAATATTATTACTCCTCATAAACAATTCCCCTCTTCACAATCAATTGATCATGGAGATATCGTGGATGACTATTTTACAGGAAATGATGATACCCCTCGAGTTCATCAGCATGGAAATAATGGAGACAATAGAGATACATGCATTAATACATACATTGAAGGGAAAAGTATTTGTGAAAATACACTTTCAGCCAGTGAGCACACAGTTGATAGAGTGAATGAGATTGATGCAATGACAAAAGTGGCTTCAGATGCTATTAGAAATCAGAATAACAACATACAGGAACCTTCCAGTCAGAAACAATGTATTGATAGTGAACAGTTTCTTTATTCCAAAGACCAGTATTCTGATAATGGTGATCCACAGAGTACATGTAAGGAACAGTTTAGTTGTGAAAATGACATAGGAGATCCGTGTGAGAAATTGGATGATATTATCATTCCAACCCAAGCTGCAAATTTCAACATAGTGAGTACCCAAGCTTTGGATGAATTGGACACTATTGGAGAACCAATCCTGACTCAGATTAAACTGCGTGAGGTTCATTCTGAATTTAGTAGTTATTCTGATAATGAGACCAACAAGAACAGTACAGTTAATGATAATATATTGCAGGATAGCGATGTGGTTGGTATGGAAGTTCTGGAAAGAAGTGATGCAGAAACATGTTCTATTTTGAGTGATGAAGCTAATGTCCAACCTGATGACAGTGTTCCTTGTGAAAATAGGACAGAAATTCACCTATCTGATGTTACGTTTGTAGAGACTAGTAAATCGAATGATCATTCAAAGAGGAGTATTGAAGGGACTGATCATTCTGAGAGTGTACAGGGGACTTATCTTTCTGAGAGTGTGCAAGGGACTGAGCATTCTGAGAGTGAACAAGGGACTGAGCATTCTGCAACAAGTATCGGAGGAACTGATCAGTCTGACATTAATAATGATGAGACTATATCTCAAGGCCAGTCATGGAGTAGAGGCCAGCAGCTCTTATCCAAGGATGGAACCCTGATTCAGGTTAGGGCAAAGTTCATAATTTAAGATATGTGTTTGCCCTATTTTTTGAATTCATCAGTCTCTGGGTTCATTAGATTTTGATCCCAACAAATTATTTGGACTTGTTCTTAGAATAGTGTTGGATCTCTCAGAATGTCCTTGTTGGCTTGCAGTAACATATAATCTCATTGTTCATAACCTGGATTTTCAGCCTGTTGGTATGCTGACTGGAGGTGGTAAAGACAATAGCATGTTGAGTGATAGACCAGCATATAATCCTTCAACACCACAAAGTACACATAAACCAAAAACCAACTCCACCCTAACGGTATGTTTACTATACATGTATATTTTTATTGCTTGACGATTACCAGTTACCACAGACATTGAAATGGTTGAATATCTGTAATAATTAAAGCCCATGTCTTTGGAAATATTCTGTCTCAGTGAACCCCAGTCATGTTAGTCTTTGGGGCTCTAATAACTTATTTGGGTAGACTCCCTCAGTCGTAAATGCAGCCTAATTGTAAATTTCATAAACATTTCAAATCCTCCATTCAGATGGCATTGTAACAAATTGTTACACTTTAATAGCCATTTGCAAAAACCTACCAGGATGAGATTTTCACTTGTTAATTTCTTTGTCGTCAACAGGAATGAAATCTATATAGCCGTTCTATCGTTTCTATTTCCAGCCAAGCCAGGATCAGCCTACAATGTTTGAAATGGTTGGATGGAGCACAATAAAGCGACCACAGACTGCTTACATCTGGTTTGCTAAAGAGATCAGGCCACAGGGTAATTCTTAGAAATATTACCGTGGTGGTAAAGAAGATCAGCCAGGAAGAATTAAAGACCAAATTAGAACATTTGCCCAAAATTTTCCCTCTCAATTTAAATATGTCACCATCAGAAGTGGTGAAATATTGTTATACATGTAGTCTCAAGTTTTTTGTGGGCCATATTTGGCAGTTGGTGTTCGGTGGTTGGCATTTGGTGTCTATAACAAATGGCAGGTCGTTACGTTTTGCATGATGATGAACCAGTTAAAATATGATTGAATTTTATATTGCTGAATTTTATATTCTGATGCCTAGGGACAGAGGAAATCTGACTGAGAGAAAATTTGCAAGATAACAACATAAATTCAAAATGGCCACCATTCTTTATAAAAATCATTGTCTTTAATCAGTTAATAAATCAAACACCAGTGGATGGACTTTGTTCAAATTTTATAATCTGATGTTCAGAGATAATGGAGGTCTGCTCAAGATGATATTTTAAATTGGACGCTATTCATCAAAATGGCTGCCATTTGTCATAAAAATGTGATCTTTGATAACTCAAGTACCAGTTGAAAGATTTGGTTCAAATTTAATATGCTGCTATCTAGGGACAAAGGAACTCTGCTCAAGAAGAAATTTTCAAGATGGGCATTTTTCACAATATGTTTTGTTCAGTTGGATTTGCTACTTTTTGGAGTTACTGTTTTTATAGTTGATTTCACATTTCTCTTTCAATATAGTCAGATTTTTTTGCAATTCACACTATAAATTGATGTTTTGTTCACTTGCAGTTGTAAGAGATAACCCAGAAGCCTCATTTCAAGACATTGCACGCCTTATGGGTGAAAGGTGGCAGGCACTCTCAAGGGAGGGCAAAGAGAAATATGAACACATGTACACAGAGGATGTTAAAAGGTATAAGAAGTGTAGAGTAAGTGTTAAGAGTGTGAGTAAGAGACCATAACCTACACCCTGAACAAAACTGACATATCATATTGCAACTCCCACTTAATACCATGACAACTCCTTTTTGGAGTCATCAAGGTTTGATCTGTATCAAAACTGACATTAGAGGTAGTGATTCCTTATTGCCTCTGGTCTTCACAAATTGAACATTACAATGTTGTGTTTTAAGACTGCTGCAAAGGGTAAGCAAAAACCCAGATTTGTTTAAAACATGGAAATGTCTTCATAAACAAAGACTTAATGTAGTTGATCTGCAGCATTAACATATACATGAAGTACCAAACATTGTATCCTGTTATTGAACTGGATCCAAATGATTGAAACATTTTTTATAGTATACGTTTTTTCATTTCTGAACAAAATATCCATGTATTGGGCTTGCCATAGCCTTATTTTCTTGTAGATATAAGCTGGAGATGAGTAACTCTGAGAACAGAAATAAAGCAATTGCTAAAGTAAGCAAAAAACAAAGGCTTGTGCAAAGGGAAGTGTCACCCAAGCAACCCCAAAAAGAGGCTAGTCCTCCCCAGAGAGAGGCAACAGCTGAGATTTCTGTAGAGAGATTGAAGGAGTTGTATAAACATGGCTTTAGATACAGGTAGCCCTTCAATAATTGTATTTTCATGATTATTACAGCATATTGGTTGTTAATAATGTAAAGTAACATACACTATGGTGTCTTCATGTTTCACAAAATTAAAATTGAAAAGTAAGAAAAATTGGAATAACTAGTTCTGAATGTTTCCTATGGCATTCAGAATATCAAAACAAGAATTTTGGATCCAGTCAATACAAAATTCTGTTTTTTATATTGTAACCTGTTCATTTCAACAGTACATGTACAACATTATACATATAAAGACTTGCTTATGGAAAAGATTCTGATTGTGACAAATCTGAATATCGATTTAATTCATATTTTGATTTACAGTCAGACACAGAGCAAACCTGATGCCTCTTTGAGTTATTGTGACAGCCCCTTGGAGTTTAAACCAATAGGGGTGCTGCGTTCCCACCGAGTGTGGATAGTGGAGCACGAGAGGAACATTGCTGTACTGAACCAACGCAGAGCAGAGGAGGCCTTCTTGTATCATCAACTGCAACATAACCATGTACTTCCAATGGTCCCACTTGATTCACCCATTGTGTACAATATGAGGTGAGAATAGGAGGTCCTCTGGTACCATAAGCTCAAACATAAATATGTATTGTTCATGGTCCCATCCATGGTCAACCATTGTGTACAATATAAGGTGAGCAGAGGAGCTCCTCTTGTTCAAACATAACCATGTATTTTTCATAGTTCCATTTGATTCACGCAAAATGAACACATTATATATAAGAGGTAAGCAGAGGAGGTCTTCTGTACAATCACCTCTGACAAAACCATGATTTTCCCATGGTCCCACTTGATTCAACCAGTGTAGATTATTATATCACTGTCATATTCCCCACTCTCTCATTGGTCTATACATTACACTTGACATAAAAATAAGAAGACGTATTCAAAGATGAACAGGTATTCACCTCAATAGTATGAAATATTTGTATAATATAAGGTGAGCAAAGATTAGGTCTTCTTGTACAAGAACTCTGATGTGTATAGACCTCTATTTACCAAAACTCAAAATTATCATAAAAGCTAAGATCTTCCCATACATACGAGTATGAGTGAATGATTAAATGTTCTCTTGTTCAGGGATTCTGGAGAGGGTAATGATCTGAAAGTTTTGGCTCATCTAAAGAAACAGCAGAACCCACCTGATCCTGCCATATACCTGATAGACCCTCGACTTAGGTCCAATGGCCTGGATGTACGATGCTACCCAGGTACTATATTATACTTGTTATATATTTGCTTATTACTATTAGTCTACCTATCATAATATTGTGTTGGTCTCTCAACATTTTCATGATGGCTTTGGGTGGTTGGTGTCTGGTGTTTAGTGTCTGTAACAAATATAGTTGGTGGCATTTTGCATGTTAATGCCTTGTTGGATTTTATTTTTAGTTGGAGATCATCTGAATATATAATCTTCTGTAAAATTTTGAGCTACACCTCTGTATGTACTGGCATTGTTTCATGCACATACCATGGATTTGGTGTAATACACTCAAGTTCTATTATAAGTTGATCTGTCAGTTTTTATGAAAAGTTCAGTTTCATATTGATTTTGGTAAATATTTAATTGCATATGGAAGAAACTGAATTACATGATTGTACCAGATGATACATGTCTTTTTTTATAAATAGATATACCAATACACTGTGCTATTGAAATGGAACACCCTGTATATTATGAATAATTATATACATTTCAGATGAGATTGGAATAGTATCAATCCACCAAATATGTGACTGTTTAAAAAACTGTGCTGTGGCAGCATTAAAGGAAATATTAGCAACCATTAGAGAGAATCCCTCAGTTACTCTAGCAGAGACAAGACCTACAGTCATCTCGCAACATTTACAAGTAATGCTTTAGAATGTTTTAATTTATTCATATGTGTCGTACATGTATATATTCTATTTAATTTCAGTTTGTACTTGTTCAAGCAAGGCTTTAGAATGTTTCATCTCAGGCTTCACCTTGTTCATTAGCAATAGTGTCTATTGAGAATTCGGTCAGATTTAGCTTTAGAATGGAGTAAAATTGATGAAGTGTGCTCTAGGGAACATGTCCCTTATTATCGCTAGTGGTCTGGTATGGTCAGCATGCATCCAGTTTCAAACAGTCAGTCATTGCTGAAAAAACATTATGCGTTTTTTTACCAAGATGAAACCTAGCTATTTCTAACCCATTGAGAAGCATACCACTTACTTATTGCCATGTTTTTTCTGTTTACAGAGTGAGGCAGTAAGGATGGCTAACAATAGAGTGATGCCACATTCTAGAGCTGATATTGTGGAGCTGATGGAACAACTTCATAGTTTAAGGACTGATACATGTCCTCATAATAGAATATTTTTGCAACAAATATATGATCTAGAAAGTATACCACAAACACAGGAATGAAATTTGTATGCGACCTCGATGGTATACTTTAAACAAAGGAGTAAAATAACTATGACAGATATGCAAAATGTATGACTCAGTTATGCCCCAGATCTAATGGTTTACAAAGGCAGGGGTGAAACTTATTTGTGATCAAGAAAGTACAATACAAACACAGGAGTGAAATTTATCTATGATCTAGAATCCTAGATGACATACTACAAACACAGGAGCGAAACTTATCTATGATCTAGATGGTAAACTATGAAGACAGCAGTGAAATACCTTCAACAGTTATTGACTAAATATTTTACAAATACATGTACATCAGTGAAACATCTATGACCTAAATCACAAAGGAAGGAGTTGGAATTGAATGTTTAAAACTGTTCTTATATATTTAAAGGAACATTCCTTGCCAGACTATTTCTCTCCTGATATGGTAGCTACAATCATATATATACTTTACATATTTAGCAAAACACGGGAAAATGTTTTCATATAGTCAACATTGATCATTTAAAAATGTAGTACTCATTCCCAGTAAGCTGCCATCTTTTAATATTTCTTTCAGGATTAAGTGGTGTCATCGACTCTCACCTGTTATAACCTTGTCTATTACAGTATATAGGAAAGAAGTACAAAATCACTTCTAAACAAGAAGCCCTTATCTTCTGTGTAAAAATATTTTCAGGAGTTGTCAACTTAGAACTAAAGAAGAGATTACTAGAAGGATTTAAATCATAGACCAAATTGAAAAAAATATTCAGCTGGTTTAGTAATTCTAATAACTCCTTAACTAATGTTATATGCAAAGTTGAGAGTCGATGACATCATTTTCTGAGTGAAATTTTAAAAGGTGGCAGCCTACTGGAATTGAGCACTACATTTTTAAGTGATCAATATTGACCATTTCAAAACATTTTTCCGTGTTTTGCTACCATATTAGAAGAGAGATGGTCTGGCAAGGAATACCCCTTTAATATTTGCATGTTTGTGACTACTTTGATACAAGATTTATCATATGATTTTTATCATACTTTGAAAAATTGCTATATGAAAATGGAGAAGTCAAAAATGGTGGCAGTTTGATTTTTTATGTCACCACCAAAAGTTTTTCTGGTCTCCATTTTTTGTGACGGCAGTTGGTGTCTGGCATTCGATGTCTGTAACAAATGGCAGCTGGTGACATTTTGCATGTTAATGCCTTGTTTAAATTTTGTAATCACTACAGATGACAACTCCATGACAACAGAGAATCAAGATGGAATTCTGGAGCCAATTTTTCTTGTCTTGTTTTATATTGCATGTATTATGTCACCACTAAGAAGGATCTGTAACAAGAATATTGCACTTTTGAAGACATTTCAATTGCTTAGCAGGTAATTTGATGAAATATACTTTGTTTGGTGTCTTGGTTTTTTCTTGTTATCAATATAATATATCAACATAATCATGACCATTTGGATGAAACAAGAAGGTTGTATATCCAAAATGGAAAAAAAAATGGGAAATATGCCTTATGCTCCAAATATTCACATTTCCATTTGGATACATCCTTTTAGAGATAGATTGAAATAAGTAACAAATCTAAGATAGTGTAATACATTTGTAATATGCATAGTTAGAGAGTTATTTCTGTGCAGCCCTAAAATTGTGTAGGCCCTGCTCATGTTGAAATAAATAAAAAACAATATCTAAAAGTTTTTATTAATTTTATTTTAATATAAATTAAGACATTACAGCATATAGAATACGTATTTAAATACAAAAAAAGATATGGCTGAGCTTATCAATAAACATCTAGCAAGAAACATAATATTGAACGTAATTATTGGTGGGTTGCGGTCAAATCAACAATTGGTATAAATTTCCAAATTGCTGTTTCAAGTCCTAGGTTCAGACATACAATAAACTCTGCTCTTATACTATATTCTCAAAAATCTCAATCTCAGAAATCTTTGACACATGACCAACCCTTTGGTTAAAAAAATATACATGTGGTGCCCTCGTACAAATACAAAAGATTACTAAAGTATAAAAAAAATTGCAATAGCATAGCATTTTGAGATAAGCACAAACAAACTGACTAATACGTGTACATGTTAACATACAAAAATGTATAAATCTATTTCCTACTTTGAGAGTTTTATGTGCATCCAACTTATTTTGTTATTTTGCTCTTTTGTTATAACATTTCATTGACAACATCAATTCGATGTAGCCATAAAAAATAACACCAGTCAACGATACTGATACTAACCAGTGATTCTAATTAAAGGTGCAACAATAAGTGCAGGGGGCCATTCAACGATTATCGACCAGTTTCAAAATATATTTAAGTTTGGATATTTCATCAAGACTAACATATATTTTCATTATCTACAAAGAAACCACCTGGATGAACATTATTTTAGCTGATATTCCTCTTGAAACGTGGTGGATCTTAAAAATCTATAAGTTGGACTCCCTTTATAGAAGCTTTGAACTGAATTTACACTTCTTAATGCTGAAATTGATAGTTTATACATACATTTTAAGAAAATAGGTATGTCAAAGGTGTTAAGCCAAATATTGACCTGATAGCTCAGAAAAAATAAAAAAAAATTGAATTTTCTCTACAGTCCTTGTTGCCCCTTTATATGCCTTATTTTTGTTCATATTACAGAGATGTTTGGATATTCAGGTCTCACTGTAGGTGCATTCAAAACTCAATGTTCACAATTCGGATGTCTTGTTTTTGTAATTATTTTTAAGTCCAGTATTCTTATGAGAGCTCCAATAAATATAAAAAATGGTCTCAAGGTAAATGGTAATGGTAAATGGTCTCAAGAAATCTTTTCATGTCTCTGATTTAAACTGAGAATTTGTGATCCCTGATAAACAGATATGAGAAATGGCAATCTTGGCCACAGTGAGGTATACAGTGGCACGACCTTGAATTCATTTGTCTTTTCTTCAGCTTTCAATACAACAGTATTGTCAATGTATCTTTCTTGAGTATATCCATTTTGAGCAATTTTGATCGGTGGTGTATTTGTGGGGTTTGTCTTAAGCAGGATGGCCAAGTAGGATGTTATAGTATGCATTGTCACAGCCTCGTTAATTACAAGTGCTTTAATGTCAATATCATTAAAGAATGTAGATTTTGTGCGGCCAGTTGCAAATGTTGTAGTTTGTTGTACTCCAAGTGATTTTACAATCAATAAGGATTCCTGGACAACTTTAAGGTATATCTTGAGTAATAGGCATATACAAAGAGAGGCAGCTACTACGAGCAGTAGACGCCAGTCTTGGTGGTGCAGATGACACATTAATCCTATAATGTTGAATGCAGTTGTCCATAATATCCATTTTAAGATCGAAAACTTTGTGGCTTTCACAATATATTCAAGACACAATTCCTTATCATGGTATAGTACTTCATAAGTTAGTGCCATTTAACCTAAAGTTGTGGTTCTTCCCCAAAAAAGTTTGATTTGTAGTTCGGTGTTCCCTGAAAATAATAAAAAAGAAAGTTACTTCACAAGGCTGTTTTGGTAAGCCAAAATATATAAGCAAATACAACTGTGCCCTTGTATTCATGCACAAAGGGTTCTAGGCTAAATGTTCTGGGCCCAAAATTATTTATTTTATTTATTTAAAATTTTCTGGCCCATGCCCCCCCCCCCTTGGATCAACCAGTGAAGGTATGTTTAACAAAACACAAAGGGCGATCCGGGAAATCCAAAGGGGAAGGGGCACAAAAATGTTTGCGCTCGAGCGGAGAAAAAAATTGGCCCCAAATTTTGAAAAATACATGTTATGCCCAAAATTTTACAAAATGCCCAGGTGCCAGTTTTTTTTATCTAAATTGTCCTAATGTGAGGAAGAGCAGGTTTTCTTTCAAGGAAGCAAAAAAGGTAGGTCCACATTTTTTAGGAGATTTCTTGTGGGGGCTCATACGATTCTTATATCGTGCGTTGGCGCAACAGTTCAACCGATATCTTCCACCGCCGCGGCTTAAGGTACAGCTGGAAAGTAACATTTTGGTAAAAAATTGCTATACCTGCACATGTTATTTTCTGGTACAAAATAAAGTATGAAGGCATGTATCAATTTCCTTGCTTTTTTCAGGAAAGTATCATTACATTGTCTTCTTTTAGAATATCTGGTAGGCGTTCAAAGGGAACTCCAGGGAAATCTGATATTTCACACTTCATGTTTTTCCAAATTTTCTTTCAAAGTTTCCAGACAACACAAGAGCTACCATTGACCTGTTTCCAGGTTTACTAAAAGTAGACAGTGTAATGATCCTTTCCTGAAAAAAGCAAGGAAATACACAAATGCCTTCATACTTAATTTTGTACCAGAAAATAACATGTGCAGGTATAGCAATTTTTTACCAAAGTGTTACTTTCCAGCTGAACCTTAAGGTACATTGTAAGACTGCATGTTCAGAATTTTTTATTACATTGTCCGAAATTACAATTGTTTAGAATAGTTTTTTAAACTGGATTATCACATTTGGATCTGTTTATTTTTTCGGAGTGGCTCCAGGACCGACAATTGTCGGTACTGGAGACTGTCCAGGGGTATTTGCTGGGGTACCGACAATTGTCGGCACTCTATCGTCAACTAGTAGTGCCAGATAGAGAACCGACAATTGTCGGTACGCAAGTGGCTGCTACGTGTTTTTGCTAGAGAGCCGACAATTTCATAAATAAATCCACTACTTTTACTTTCAGAAATAACCTCATCACTGGTAGTCTAGTGGTTAGTGAGCACGACTCGAACACACTCGGTCCCGAGTTCGAATCCCGGCAAGACCTAGTTTTTTTCTTTTGAGGGGGAGCATAGTGCTTCTTTTGCAGTGGAATCGTACAGGCATTAACTTGTAGTGAGCCATAATTTATTTTGACAAAAATTGATTCAACTTCGATCAAAATTGTCCTACAAGCTTCAATTAAAAAACATTTTAAAGCTCTTTTCTTGTTCTATCCAATGGGTTGATATATACAGTTAGGGTAGGGGATGCTTTCGCCCCCGTCGCTCTCTACCCTTACTACGCCATGGCACAGGAGAAATATCTCATTTGGAATATATCACTGTTTACTTTGCGTTTGGCAGCTCTCTCGTGCGAGATGGAATTGTGGCCATTAACTAAGGGAGCCAAATGCAACTTCCATCGATCAAAAATTGTGCTATAAGGTATGAGCACCGTAATCCAACACCAAATTCGAAAATTCATAACAATACTTTGCACATATGGCGTTCGTGACCAACTATGAAACGCTTACCCCCCATAGTGTTATATATCAAAATGCACCTGTCCATATAGGGGTTCGATTGACCTACATCAAATTATAGGGAGTCAGGTTACTTTTTGATATATCAGCGTCCGTTTATTGTAACTAGCGTTTGCTACCACTTCCTCAATTCTGATATGACGGGAAAACGCGTAGTAAACATGCTCACGTTCGGAACTATTTTGACCTCTACATCGCTATTTTCGTAATTCAAATGAAAGCTGAACTCCTCTTTATTTTGATACCAAATAGTGGCATACTAGGTACCATAGAAGCCAACTATGGGTTATTTAGAACGATACCACAGGTTTTTAAATGGACTATATAGGGGACATACCTTTTGGCGGATGGATATGGAACCTCATACCATAAGCTTCAAATAAAAAACATTCTAGCTATTTTCTTCTATTTAATGGGTAGCAAACGCCCCTTTCTACGCCTGATCAGCTCAGGAGAAATATCCTGTCTGTTTAGAATATGTATAGCCGTTTACTCTGCATTAATAGCTCTCTAACGTCTTACTTGTTCATGTTTTTTATTGGACCTTTCAACGTTAACTACCATTCCCTGTTCCCGGGCTACCATTTTTTGACTGGGTTTGGTAATCCCCGGGTAACCGGGGCTAATGCCCTTCCCGGGTTTTGCACTTGTTCCCAAAATATCCGTATGATATCTGAAATATCCGCCCGCGCATTGCGGATGCGCCAGAAAATTCGAAAATCAATATTTGTCGGTCCTCTAGCGTGTAAACACAGCATATCTCCCGTACCGACAATTTATTTGTCGGTCCTCTAGCGTGCCACCACATCAGAGTCTAGAGTACCGACAATTGTCGGTACTCTAGCCTTTACGTTATTTTTTTGATTGTCGAACAAAAACTGAAAAATATTTTGGGTGGGATCATCTTTTGAAAAGTGACCAGCTAGGACAGTGGAAAAAATAAGACACTCACCTCCTAGAGAAAAATATGGACAATACCTGCTCATCCAAATCACATTTTATAGGTCCCTCATATGTAAATTTCAATGTAAAACTAAAAAATAATAAAAATATAAATTTGGAGTAAAGCTCTACAGGATTACGCTAAAAAAAGGTCTTCTATGTAATATTACTACGCACTTATGATCATCAATATTTGATCAAAATGTATGATTACTGTAGGTTAAACAAAGTATCCAATCTAGTGTATAAATATATGCAAGGTTGTTTAAGATGGTAATAACATACAAGTTCTCAATATGATCATTTATAATAAGATTTATATTTTTAGCGGAGGTATAATTTAGAAGTGTGATAGGTCTCTAAAATGCCAAGTTGGCTTTTCAACTTTTGCTGAGGTTCAGACTTCTTCTGCCAAATCATGCTAGATTTTGTTATATTTGCAATTACCTTCGTGGTGCTGCTACTTGGAGCAGTCATATACTTGTACCCGGTAAGCATTTTGCACATAGTTACATGAGCGTGAGTGCTAAGTATTGTTTGTTTGATCATATGATGATGCAGGGATATTGAATTGATCATGTACTTGAGGGGGGGGGTGTTCCCAAAGATGACCTTTGGTACTAGCACGTTCGAAAACAAATTTCACAGGCCTCATTTGCCATTGAAATGGATCTCCAAATGTTCGCTGTAGTTTTATCAGTATTCTCTACATGTATGGATGGGCGTTTGTAAAACACGAAACCAAAACGAAACCGAAACGAAACGCTATTTTGTGACGTACATTCAGGACATTTCTGTTTGCAGATGTTTCAACAAATAATTCCTTTTAATCATTGGTCCTCAGAGTGATGACGACATCGATGCGCTAATTTCACGAAGGCTATTACTTTACCCTTGTTTCTATCATGGACCTCTATCCTCTAGAGCAGTGTAGTCATTAAGTCATTAATCAAAATTATCTAAAAGAGCCACGGACCTTAGTCATTGTTTCTTTCGAAACTAATATTTCCATATAATTATACCAGGATTGGAAACAGGAATTCCAAAAAATAAAGTTACCTTTTTTATTTCCCAATTCTCGCCTAAATTAGCTCATCTTGGTGACTTAAACTTGCACAGCTGTATTAACAAGATTCTTATAGTATCTAAACACTGGAAATCATAACTATAAGTGTATCTATTAGCCTCATTTGAATATTTTTTGTCAACTGGTAAGATTCAGCAAGAGTTTTGGCAATGGATGATGTAATCAGAATTATTAACATCAGTCTAAAGAATGTCCAATCAAATAGCATGATATGATCACATGATCAATCACAAGCACATGTTTTCTAACATGTCTAAGAGTTAACCAATGATGCCTGTTTATTTAGAGTTGATAACGTGACCTTCTGCCAAAGCGCTTGCTGAGTCCTGTTTCCAATCCTGGTATATTTATAAGGAAATAAGTTTCGTTAGAAAGATTGACTTAAGTCCATGAAAAGAGCGATGTTTTTATATTTTGCAAGGGCGAGAAACGTATGGGAAACGTTTAATTTTGTTCTAAATTGATATGTACTGTTTAATTATATTATTCGAAAATGTTTTCAAACATATTGTGACGGTAGCGCATTTTTATTGCTTAACTTAAAACATAATTTTTGTGTACTAATCAAGTAAAACAAATAATGATTTAGGCCTATATATGGTTAAAAAGAGGAATTCTTTCTCGTTTTAACAGTTTTTATTTCATGGAAATCGGAGTTATAATTATTGAGTTAGAGTGAATTTAATCAGCAGTGTAAATTGGCGAGTTTATTGTTTTACCGGCCGCTATTAGTTATAGTTTTCAGTTTACTGGGTTTCTGTTTCGTCTTGTGCAGAGAAAACTATACGGTTATAAATTCTGGGAATTATTTCTTTAAACAAGATTGAATCAAGCTTTTTAACAGTGTTTATATCGTTTAAATTAGTCTTATATGTCACCCTTGGTATACGCAGCTAACGAAAATTGACTGGTATGGGTCAAAAGCTGGACCGGTACGGGTTAACAGTTTTATTTGAATTTAAAACAGCCATAACTTGCTCAATATTGACTTCCTCGTGTCTAATTTGAAATATATGATGCCTCCCGATGCTTTTAAGTACCCCAATTTTTTACAGATTTTTAAACGGACCAAAACTCTCTAAATGCGCATTTATGCTCTTTTCTCTCGAGAACGACTGTCTCATTTTCACGATAACTTTTATTTAGTACTTCTAACATATAAGATCTATTTTTCCCCATCAAGGTATGATGTAAATGACATGCTATTTACATCTTGTGAGTTTCAATGACGCGCGTTTGATTTTATAAAATATGCCAAACTTTGTGACAAAGAATTACATCACTGGTTGGAATAAAGATCTGAATCTGTTACTTAACAAAGAAGATTGGAAAATGATCAATAGAATCAATAAAGTCAGCAATTTTGAACCAAAATTAGCTTCTTTCAATTTTAAAATTCTTCATAGATTTTTGGCCACCAACACATACTTGAAAATGTGTGGATTAGCAGAATCAGATCTGTGTACTTTTTGTAAAGTAGAACAAGAGTCAATTTGTCATCTCCTCTATGAGTGTAAAGTGATAATGGAACTCATAGTAGTCATTAAAAACTGGTTACCAGAGGAATTGACAGGACTTTGTACAAAACAGAATATTTTAATAGGACCAGTATGTATAAATGATAGAACAATTATCCTGACAAATATGTGGAGTATATTTAAAAGATATGTGTACCTATGCAAATACTCAATGTTAAGACCTACCTTTAAAGGATTTAAAGCAAATGTAATATCTTATTGTAATATTGATAAGCAAATAGGCAGAGAAAAAAGGTGGGAAATTATGGGTACTAGATTAGATTAGACTAGTGTGGTTAGATGCCTTAAAAAAGAATATGATGGAAAATTGTGTGATTTCTATGATATTATGAATATTGTATATGTTAATGTAACTGCTTTCAAATGTTTTCTATGAATAAAAAAGGAATAAAAAAAAAAAAAAAAAAAAAAAAAAAAAAAAAGAATTTCATCAGCTATTGCCCCGAACCGGTCCGTCTTCTCGCTGCAAGCAGATTGCCCTGAACCGGTCCGTCTTCTCGCTGCAAGCAAATGATTGTGATTAAGTAACGGCGCGAAGCGTCGCCGATTTTTTTAAGCACGTTTTTGTAAACTTATCACCACCCTAATAATTTTGCCACCACCCATCAATTTTTATTCAAACTTTTTCACCACTCACTTTTGAAAAGTTAGGGAGAACACTGTACGAGTATACATGAATGGAGGTATTTCATTCCCATGATTCAAATTGCTTTTCTGTGATCGATTCAGTTTTAGTTTTTGTACCAAGTACACATTTGAGCCAAATTGATATACTGTCATAACACTTCTGTTAGATACATACCTTTTGTTTTTACTCTTAAACAAAAATATTCCCGTAACATAAGGTATAGGGAGGGACTAGCCTACTTTGAAATTTATAAATGTTAGTGATACCTATCTCAGATTATATGTTCTTTTAATTTAATGGAATTAATGCTCATGCTCATTAAAACCGAACCAAAAAACTAAACTTTGCGCAGATCCACATTTTTAAACTCTTCAATAGAGGATGTAAGAGACGATCGATAGAAATTATTTGCTTGAATACAATAAATGTTTTCACCTCTCCTGGGACACATCATTTACTCACATCACTGTGAGTATAAAACTTACGAATCTCAACTAAGAACTCAATAGGTCGTAGGTCGAAGGGTTTATATAATGTTTTATAATTCCAAAAAACGAAGTTTGGTAGGTATATAGTGAAGCCGTCCATCTGACTGTCTGTCCGGAAGATAACTCTAATCACACCGGATTAGCCTGACTACGGTAAAGTCAGATACCGTTGTCACAAATGGCGGACATAATCGTCGCTTCAACTGTTTAATCACTTGGTCCTCATTTCATAGGATTTTATCGTCGTTAATTCTGTGCATGCATTAAGCTCTTGTGATAATGTATCATATGAAATCCCATTTTCGATCAAATTGGGTCGTGAATCGCCACAATATAGCCTCTTCGATATCGTCAATGACAACGGAATCTGAATTTGAGTAATTTAGAAAGACAACGGCATATGGTAATTACAGTGCCCGTTGTCCCGTTTCTCATTTTGATCGGTTAAATTAAAGACTTTATTTCGATGGTAGAACATTATTAACTGTACAATGAGTATTAAGACACTTTGATTGATTGTTGTTCCAAAGGAATTTAGTCTAGGTACTCTATTAAACATACAGTTCATGAAAATCTAATTGAAGCGACGGTTATGTCCGCCATTTGTGACAATGGTATCTGACTTTACCGTAGTCAGGCTAATCCGGGGTGCTAATACTAGTAGACAAATTTTCTTCATATTTGGTGGAAAGATGAATATTGGTGAATAGTTAGTTTTAAGATTTTTCAAAAAGTAGACCCAGTTCTAGGGATTTTTTCATAAAAATGGGACCCATATCTAGGGTTTTTTCTTCAAAATGGGACCCACATCTAGGGATTTTTTTGGCGAAAAGTGACCCACTTTAGCGGCACGTCCTCATATATCCCCGTCTCAAGAACACGTATCTCTAGTAGACACCCTTCCTCGGCACATACTGTACTTACTTCGGTATAAATTAGTGAACACCTACCAACACTGAATTTTTTTATTACTTATAGTTTTACTATAATAATAATTATATTATTATTTCAGGGTTCTGGCAAGTTCTCTACAACTATCCCAGGAATGGACCCTGCTGACCCAAGGTAATGATATAGTTTGCTTTACCAACAATGAATGAAATGCATATTTTATATGTTACATTTTTTAGGCTCGTATTTATCACATTATCAACTCAAGAAGTTATAGTTATATTGCTCTTAAAAGCCTGTGGTGATTGACCCCAGTAGATAACTTGGTAACAATAATGGTAACAGGCAATATTGAGACACAAACAAATGTTACTGTGACACTAAATTTCAATCTCTATTCATGTTGTGTTATGCTCTGAAAACATAGACTATATGTACTTTAAGAGTGAATTATCAACAACTAAAATACTAAAATACTTACTGTATTTATTAACTGAGTCTAGCAATCAAAATGTGCCAAAATGTGGTACAAGACAGATATTAAGATTCTTTTGTATTTTTCTTGTGTTGCATACTTTTTAGAGATGGGAACCTGCCTGACATTGCAAAGGCAGGAAGTTTGCATGAGTTTCTGAGTCTACTGCATGAGCGCTATGGGAAGATCGCTCATTTCTGGATGGGTCCAAGATTAGTTGTTAGTATTGCTTCTGCAGAGCTCTTCAAACAACATGTGAAAGTATTTGATAGACCTCGTAAGTCCACTTGTCCATATTCAATACAATACAACCATTGAATTGGAAAGATAATCCTTAAATATTTAGCTCCTAAATAAATGAAAAAGGAGATAAGAAATAAAGGTAACTGGTCAACTCGTACCCAAGACAACTCGTACCCAAGACAACTCGACCCAAGACAACTCGTAACCAAGTATATATTTTGTTTTGAATCAAGCATTGGACTGGGAATGTGAATAGATATACATATTATAATTGTAACATACTGTTCAGAATAGTTTAAAGTTTGAAGAAGAATTTTCGGAAGAAATTGATTCTATTTTGTGACATTTTGAGCTGAGTGTCAATTTATATTGGTCACAGATTCAGGATGTTCGAGTGAAGAGACATATGTGTATTCCACATATTCATAATCATTTTTCAAAATATTGTATGTTCATGAATGTTTGGAACAAGTGTCATTTCTAATGTTGTAATTATATTTATTTATATACAGGGTGATCCAGAAGTAACGTCAAAGATGTTGTAATTTCAAAAGTATTCATCAGATCTTCATGAAATTTGGTATACATGTACCCACAACATTTCTGAGTTACCATCTCAAAGATTGGAATTCAATCATTTCATTGGTTGAAATTATGGTTGCTATAGTAACCCGATATCGCGTAACCCGGGGCAAATTACTTAACGTGTAATGCGTAATCTCAAAATATCAACAAGATCTGAAATTGTTATATCCTCAACATTTTATTTCACAACAATATAAATCATACTATTGCACAGTTACTAATAATAGTTCATTCTACATACTTGCCACCATTTGCAACACATTTCTCATGTCTGGATACCCATTCCTTGAACACAGAATTAAATCCATTAGAACTCATTCCTTGTAGGGCTAGTACTACGGCATTTTTCAATTCCTCACAGGATTGAAAATTATTTCCACTAAGGTTTCTTTTTAGTTCCCCATACAAATAAAAGTCACTGGGGGCAAGATCAGGTGAATAAGGGGCATGTTCAAGTTGTTGAAATCCAAGTGTTTGGACTGTGTTGCTGGTCAGGATTGCAGTGTGCGTAGGGGCATTGTCCCAATGCAAGATAAACTGCTGCAGATGTCCGGGACGCTTTTTCCTCAGGGAACGTTGAAGATCACGCTTCAGAACCTGAAAAACAAATGTTTAATGGTTGTTAAACCAGTTGTTTCATTGATTGGATTTGGATTTGAATCATGGCCATGGAGTTATAATTATATTGACAGTGAACAACATTTAAATACTTTAATTTAAAAATAAAATTCACAGTATGATGTATTATTAGAACAAATGATATCTTACCTTTGCAATGGAAACGGCATTAATTCTCTGGCCAATGGGAACAAAATGGGTTAACACCATTCCTCTAATGTCAAAGAATGTCACAACCATTTGTTTCTTTTGTGGAATTCCTGGTACTATTTTAGGCTTGGTTGGTGTTGGGGAGTTGTCATGTTTCCACGATGAACTTTGTTGCGTGGTCTCTGGGATGTAGAATGATAGCAATGATTCGTCACTCGTAATGATCTTGTTAAGAAAGTCATCTCCATCTCTCCGATATTTTGCAAGAAAGTCCCTTGAAGCCTTAACACGCCGGTCTTTCTGCTCCTGTGTCAAGTCATGCGGCACCCATTTAGCAGACACCTTCTTTAACAGACAGTTCTTTGTCAGTATCCGTTGCACAGTCCCATAGCTCAGATCGTGTTTTTCAGCCAATTCTCTGATAGAAATTTGCCTATTGTCCATAACATCAGCTTCAATTGCTTTGATGGTTTGATCATCGAATGACGACACTGGCCTGCCTCCTCGCTGCTTGTCTACCACTTCATCATATCCACTGGAATACTTGTTAAACCACCTGTAAATGTTTCTCTCAGCAATGGCAGCTTTACCATATGCCTTCTTTATCTGTCTTATAGTCTCTTTTACACCTTTCCCCAACTTTACACAGAACTTAATGTTTGTTCTTTGCTCTATTTTACTCTGACTTGGCGCCATCTTGAATTGGGTGGGTTAGTGTCCTTGGTCATGTTAGTATTTGTCATGGATGATGGAAGCAATTCAAAGAAATTGAAAGCTTTTTATGAATGCCTATTGTGACATCACAACTATTACATATTTGTTACCATGGCAACAAATATAAAAATCATAGAAAACAAACAATGAACATTTTCAAATGTTACTGACTTTTTAAATTAGAGAAATTCACAAAAACGTTATGGTTTCTCTTCAATTTGCCCCGGGTTACGCGATATCGGGTTACTATAGCAACCATAATTTCAACCAATGAAATGATTGAATTCCAATCTTTGAGATGGTAACTCAGAAATGTTGTGGGTACATGTATACCAAATTTCATGAAGATCTGATGAATACTTTTGAAATTACAATGTCTTTGACGTTACTTCTGGATCACCCTGTATACGAGGGGTGATTCAAAAGTAATGGACAAAATTTTATAGGCATACTAAATTTCACCCAATCAGTCTAATTTTTTCACAGTGAATAGATCAATCAATTCTCTACTTTGTGTCGAATTCTCATTTAAATGCATTTGAAATTGTTTCAGCTATGCGTAACCATGGTAACAAGGGTAAGCATGGGTGGAATTGGTTTTTTAATGATAATTGAATGTTTTTGTCATTTTTGCTTGATTTCGTTTTAATGACTCAATTACCACACATGATATGTCTAACAAGCATGGTAATGCAATTGTCAAGCAAGACTCACATGCCCATGTGTTTGCTGTTGAGTTCTAAATTCAGCAACCAATTGTGCTATGACATCACAATGATATTTCTAAGAATGATGAGTCACAGTGAGTCAGAAAGTAGATCAGACGCTTAGACTCACACACATCCAAGAAATGTCTACTTTACAACAAATCAAAGTTAAGCAAAGGATTGTTATTGAATATTTGGTAGCTACTGGAGAGACAAGGCAGGCAGTTGTCAAGAAAATAAAAGAGACACATGGAGACAAGGCCTTGTCAAGGCAAGCCATTGAGCGATGGTATAAACACTTTAGTGAAGGGGATACGAGAGTCTTAGATCTAAAGCGATCTGGAAGGCCCAAGACTGGCCGCACTGATAACACTATTCACCATGTAGAGTCCATCCTAAATGCAGACAGGAGATTGACACTGAGAGAAATAAGTTCCATTACAGATGTGTCCTACTCTACAGTACAAAGGATTGTAAAATGCGACTTAAATATGAAAAGGGTGTGTGCCAAGTGGATTCCTAAGCTTCTTACCGAAGAACAAAAGCAACAACGTGTCGAAGTTGCGCAGGATTTTCTGAAGCAATACAACATTGAAGGAGAAGGATTCCTAAAGCGTATAATCACTACTGACGAATCATGGCTATACTTTAGAGATCCAGAAACTAAACTACAATTTACACAGTATATCAAAAAGGGTGAGCGGCGCCCAACAAAGGCTAGGCAAAGCAGATCCTCTGACAAAGTGATGATTGTTCCCTTCTTCGATTATGATGGCGTGATCCTGACCCACTATGTTCCTCCTCATCAGACTATCACAGGGAAATACTTCACCAAGGTAAACATGATATTTTCATCCGTTTTAATCATTGTCAATTTAAAAGGAGAGAATGAAGTCATAATAGCTTTAAGCAAGATTAATAATTTGAAAATAGATAAATAAATAAATGAATGAATAAATAAATAATGATATTTCACTTTCAGGTTCTAAAATGCAATCTTGGACAGGCACTTCAAAAGAAAAGGAAAGACACAAGAGACAATCGTTTGTTACACATGGACAATTCCCCAGTACACAGGTCCAAGCTAGTTCAGGATACTCTTGCAGCATTCATGGACATGCCTCAACTTCCACATGCTCCATATAGCATTGATACTGCTCCTTGTGATTTCTATCTTTTTCCCACCCTTAAGATGGCATTAAAGGGACAATCCTTTCAGACATTAGCTGAGCTGCAAATGGCTGTACAAAAACAGCTGAACACCATGGCTGCTGATGGATTTGGGCATGTGTTCTCTGCATGGGTGCGCCGACAGAAGAAAGTAATTGAACTTGGAGGAGAATACATTGAGGATTGAATATAATTCAAATGGATGATCATCAGGAATAATAAGGAATGATATGGATTATTATTGAACTTACTGCGATATGCTTTTCATATACATCTTGCATTGCAAAATATATTGCACCAGCAAACTTTTCATTGAAAATCCATTTGTTATTATGATGAAAATAGCCTTAAAAATGGATTCCGGGTGTATGCACCATGATCCAAGAAAAGTGCTCTATCTCAAAATGTATTTGCATTTAGTTAATAAAATTTTTACATCTAATAGATAATTGATTAATCTTAATTTGTACAAAGTTTCATTTAAATCTGGTAAAGGTAAGCGTGCCTATAAAATTTTGTCCATTACTTTTGAATCACCCCTCGTATGTGTGACAAAAAAATGTTGAGAACAAGCGCTTCAAGCACTTCTTTTATTTAATAAAAAATGCTTTACTGATCCATTGAGAAAAAATGTCAGTCTAAATTCAAAAGAATATTGAGGCTTATTTGATTCACATTATAACATGAAAGCATTACAAACTCAATTTTTTCCCTAATATGCACCCATAATACTGAAAGTAATCTTGGGTACGAGTTGTCTTGGGTACGAGTTGTCTTGGTACGAGTTGTCTTGGGTACCAGTTGTCTTGGGTACCAGTTGTCTTGGGTACGAGTTGACTAGGAAGCGAAATAAATACAGTAAAACCTGTATGTCTGAACACCTGACTTATCCAAACACCTCCCAATCTGAACACTTTTTTCGGTCCCATTTTTTACTCCCATTGACAATATTAAAAAACCTTGAAATGTGAACACTTCCCAATCTGAATGAACAGTGAACAGTCATATTTATTAAATAAACCTAATCTGAACACTTCTCACAAAATATGACATATTTCATACAAAATTGCCTAAATATTTGAAAGTTAAACACTAATTTGTTTTGATATAATATTGACCAATATTATACTGTATTTGATTTTATACTGGTACCTGATTTTTTGTAACATTTCTACATTGTACATGTGTATATTATATAAGCATTATGAAATAAATAAATTGAATTGAATTAAAAATTGAATTGAATATACTAATCAACGCTTTTAGCCGGTGGCATTTGGATTAGACAGGTTTTACTGTATATATATATTGAGTGGGATTCGAGAGGTTCAAGATGGTTTTGCTGCTGGGCCAAAATTCAAAACCATCCAGTTTTTCACCATTCTGATCACTTTTCTACTGATTTTGGGCCAAAGTTGTCAAATGTGAACCCACCTGGGATTTTTTGAAAAGTGCACCACCCCCTTGGCAAAATCTTGCTATGGGCCTACTACACATGTTTGTCATGTAAACTTTTCAAACTTAGATGCCAATAAAAGAGAACGAATTCATATTTGATATAATCATATCAGCGAAATCGATTGTATTAGGAAGAATAATTGTAACTGGAGTTGGCCTGTATTTATATTTCTGCTTCATATGCTTGCAGCTGAGTTGTTCCGATTATTTGAGCCCTTGATTGGGTCCAGCAGCATGCAGTATGCTAATGGGGCTGATGGCAGAGCAAGACGAAAGCTCTATGATGCCAGCTATGGACATGGCATTGTTATGAATAACTATCTTGGTATATTTAATAAGGTATAGAGTAATACATGTATACATTCATGTGTGCTAGATGAATTTATATCCTTATAGCTTTGTAGAAATGTTCAACAGCTTTATTTTACTGTCCATCTGTCTGTCAGTAATTTGGTGGCACATTTTTAATCTTAACTCAATTCAGTAGACTAGATGCTCCGTAGAAGTAATCTTGGTTTTCATCATACTATAGGCCTACTCTAAATTTAGTCAAATCCAATTTTAAGGGAGATTTTTCTTTGTCTTCCATGCTATCTGACCAAAATTAGTCACCTGGTAGTGAAACTGAACTTAACCTCATAGCAACTAGGTAATTGGAAATAGATTGCTATCTGACCCAAATTAGTCACCTGGTAGTGAAACGGTAACTTAACCTCATAGCAACTAGGTAATTGGAAATAGATTGCTATCTGACCCAAATTAGTCACCTGGTAGTGAAACGGTAACTTAACCTCATAGCAACTAGGTAATTGGAAATAGATACACTTCAAAATCTGTGTCGACGTGCTCTTATCTTTAATTAGTCTTTAACAGTTACTACCATTTTCATTGCAGTTAGGGAAAGAAATATCTGCCAAGTGGAACACCATGTTGGATGAGCAGCATATTCCATTATGCCAGCACATGTTTGCGTTTGCCATCAAGTCAATCACCATTACATCATTTGGGGAGTTCTTTCAGAATGATGAGCAGGTTTTGGAATTTAGGAAGGCGTATGACACGGTAAATAGTAAACACCCAATTCTTTGCTTATTCTCCAACTGATAAGTTTTTGGGCATTTTTGGTAAATCTTCAGGTGGTCATTTTGGTATTTATTATTATTAGCTCACATGGTGAGCTTTTGCAATCACTCACTTGTCCGTCTGTCTGTCTGTCTGTCTGTCTGTCTGTCTGTCTGTCTGTCTGTCTGTCTGTCTGTCTGTCTGTCTGTCCGTCCGTCCGTCCGTCCGTCCGTCCGTCCGTCCGTCCGTCCGTCCGTCCGTCCGTCCGTCCGTCCGTCCGTCTGTCTGTCCGTCAACAATAGTGGCACGTTTTAAAACCTCTGTCGATAGGATTCCTGTTTTAAGTTATTTCTGTTCAACATCAATACAGAAAACTCCCCTATGACTCCTGGTTCAAAAGCTCGCCTATTTTCAAAATGGCCGTCACTTTTGTCTCGCGAAATTCACTTTTGACCCATTTCCTAGCTTTACAAATAATTTCAGGTGTCCTACACTGTAAAATCCATGTCAATGTAAAGGGTAGATATATGTAATAATATTGTTACAAAAAATCAGCGAAAAATTATATCCATTTATTTATTTTCAGCCATATTAGTTATCCACTTTCCGTCAATAACAGTGGCACGTTTTAAAACCTCTGTCGATAGGATTCCTGTTTTAAGTTATTTCTGTTCAACATCAATACAGAAAACTCCCCTATGACTCCTGGTTCAAAAGCTCGCCTATTTTCAAAATGGCTGCCATTTTTGTCTCGCGAAATTCACTTTTGACCCATTTCCTAGCTTTACAAATAATTTCAAGTGTCCTACATTGTAAAAATCCATGTCAATGTAAAGAGTAGATGTATGAAATAATTTTGTTACGAAAAATCAGCGAAAAATTATATCCATTTTTTTTATTTTCAGCCATTTTAGTTAACATTGATTTGTCCATCTGTATCGCAAAATCCACTTTTGGACCATTTACCTTAAACCCTCTGTCGATAGGATTCCCGTTTTAAGTTAATTTTGTTCAACATCAATACAAAAAAACTCTCCTATGACTCTTGGCTCAAAAGCTCGCCTATTTTCAAAATGGTCGCCATTCTTGTTCCGAGAAATTCACTTTTTGCCCATTTCCTAGCTTTACAAATAATTCCAGCTCTCCTGCATTGTAAAAAGCCATGTCACTGTAAAGAGAAGTTGTATGAAATAATTTTGTTACAAAAAATCGGCAAAATATTATATCTGTTTTTTTTATTTTCAGCCATTTTAGTTAACATTGATTGGTCCATCTGTCTCGCGAAATCCTCTTTTGGACCATTTGCTTAAAACCTCTGTCGATAGGATTCCAGTTTCACATTATTTTTGTTCAACATCAATACAAAAAAACTCCCCTATGACTCCTGGTTCAAAAGCTTGCCTGATTTCAAAATGGTCGCCATTTTTGTCTCGCGAAATTCAATTTTGGCCTATTTCCTAGCTTTACAAATAATTTCAGTTGTCTTGCATTGCAAAAAGCCATGTCACTGTAAAGAGTGGTTGTATGAAATGATTTTTTTCAAATAATTGGCAAAAAATTATATCTGGTTTTTTTTCTCAGCCATTTTACTTAACATCGATTTGTCCATCTGTCTCTCAGTCAGTCAAAAATAGTGGCAAGTGGCTTGAAATAATTTTGTTGCAAAAAATCAGCAAAAAATTATATGTGAGCCCAGTACCCACGGTACTTGTTCTAAAATCTTGTCTCTTCAACTGATTAGTGTGCAGTGGGGTATTCAGGAAGATAAATCGATGAAGGATCACCCATTGGTGGGGACATGTTGTATGTGTCCTTGTTTTAAATTATTATATATTCTTATATTTTATTTACAGTGTTGGCATGAGATGGAGCGAAGGCTTGCTGGAGCAGATCCTAAACCAGATAGTTTGGAAGAGAAACGTTTTAACAAAGGTATGGTGTATCAAACTTTTTATTGTAGATTTGATGTCCTGGGTATGTTTTTTTTTCATGGGGACTTGCTAGAGAGCCTATTATTCCTTTAATTTAATTTGCTTATGTGCCATCCCTTTACACAACCCAAGAATCAATTTGTATAAGCTCTCGGGCACTGTTTCCTACTCTTGTTGACACTATTGTATAGATTGAATTGTTTAGTATAACAATATAGAAAATGGAAAATGATATGATTGATAACACTCTAAAAAGTCAAGATCTCTTACAAAAGTGATGATCAAACTCATAACAATTGATATTATTACTTAAAAATTAACTTATTTTAATCTAGTCTCATTTACTTTTTCCAGCTCTGAATATGATGCATTCAACAATAAAAAAAATGGTAAAGTTGCGTCGTGATAATCCACCCAAGTCTGAGGATGATCACATATTCCTTGATAGCCTTCTAGAGGCAGGCACACCTGAAAGTCAAATACTAAATGATAGTATTACATTCCTTGTCGGAGGGTTCCATACTTCTGGTCTATGTAAGTTACATTTTCTAACATGTTGAAATATTTATTCCACATTCATGGATATATTTTGTATTATTAAGTGAGAGTCTGGGTTGTAGTTGCAATAGTGTACTGTTTATTGACTCACACAATGAGCTTATGGGATGAGTAGGTATCCATCTTTTACAGGGTGAGCCAAAATAGGTAACCCAAACAAATGTTAATAACTTAGTCATTTAGCATGTATTTAGTGTCTCCATTTCTTTATGGCGGTTGCTTGAAATTGACCAATTTTTTTAAAAAATCGTCTACAAGTTCTCAGAAGTTCAAACCTGACTTTAGATTTGAGATTTCACCTTCAATGACCTTCTTATGTTCAAAAAAGGTATTTTTTTAACTTGCTTCAAATTGATCAATTTCTTTTCAAAAGTACACTTTTCAGAAATATATTTATGGAAATGTTTAAGCGGTTAGAAGATAAGAAGATTTCCCCATGGCCCTATATTAAATCAATTTCTGATACTCTAATTAAACATGGCTTAGATAGTTGTTTAAAGGCAACTGATCAAACTTGGTATAAATCCTTTTTAGAAATCTCTAATGAAATGAAGAATATGGACATTTTCGGAGCTATAGATAAGAGAACTTCACTGAAAACTTACACTGTTCTTAAGAAACATACTTTTAAAGAGAACTACCTCCAAGATGACATCGATTTCTATTGCTCCAGGTTAAAATTCATGGCAAGAACTGGGTGCTTTAACTTGGAGGAGGATAATAAACGATGGAAGTAATGGAATTTGCCCTCATTATCCCATCGAACGTCCGTCCGTCTGTCCGTCCAGGCAATAACTCAAATACCGTTGGCTCGATTTTGTTAATATTTTGTACACATATACCCAATGGGGGTAGAAGTTCTGCTCGAAAACGGATTCTCAAAGTGGCCGCTCATTTAAAAATGGCGGCCATTTTAGTACCGATTTTACAGTTATTTAGGTACTGCATATAAAACTGTAATAGCAATATGTTTTAAATGTAAAAAAGTTATATAGGACATTGATTAAGCTAGAAATGTAAATACAGAAGAAATACATGGCAGCCATCTTGAAAAATGGTTGCCTTTGCACGTCTTTTTACGATTTTTGCTGTAACTTGAAAAATAGTGGAGCGATTTTGTTCATATTTGGTATGAGAATACTTTAAGCATGACACAATGTCTAATGACTTTTTTTGTAGTATGCGGCCATTTTTCAAAATGGCCGCCATTTTAACGTGTGTTATTTAACTTTTTTTTACTGTAAGTCAAAAAATAGTTGAGCGATTTTGTTCATATTTGGTATGTGAATACTTTAAGCATGGCCGAATGTCTAATGACATTTTGGGTAGTACAAAATGGCCGCCATTTTTACGTGTGTTATTTTACATTTTTTACTTTAACTCAAAAAGTAGTAGAGCGATTTTGTTCATATTTTATATGTGAATATAATGGCCACCATTTTTTACGTTTTTTACTATAACTTGAAAAGTAGTGGAGCGATTTTGTTAAGATTTGATATGTGAATACTTATGAACCTTGCACACTGTCTCATGACACTTCGCGTAGAAGGTGGCGATTTTAAAAAATGGCCGTCATTTTTACATTTTTTGCTATAACTCCAAAAGTATTGGAGTGATTTTGTTCATATTTGATATGTGAATACTTTTAGCATGGCACATTGTCTAATAAAAATTTGGGCCGGGAGTAGTGGGCCATTTTGAAAAATGGCCACCATTTTTATGTGTTATTTTACATTTTTTATTCATATTTTGTTCATATTTGATATGTGAATACTCGTAAGGATTGCATACTGTCTATGACATTTTGGGTAGTAGGCGGCCATTTTAAAAAATGGCCAGCATTTACATGTATGCATGGGCGATTTTTTAAAATTTTATATGTGGCTACTTAAAAGCATGTTACTTCTTCTGATGACAACTTGGCTAGTGAGCAACCATTTTGAAAATGGTGGCCTTTCTTATGTGTGTTATTTTACGATATTTGCTATATATTTTGTTTGTAAAATGCCAGCCATTTCTGTTCGATGGGATTCGCTACGCTTTGGCGTTGCCGTTGTTCTGGTTGTAAAAGTAATGACACTGAAGATTTAATCCACCGATTCATTGTATGCCTTAAGTTCATTAATGAAAGGTTTCAATTTATTAATGATATAATTTCAAAATGTGACGCTCTTTTAGTAGCTGAATTCTTCTCTCTCCTGAGGAAAAGCTAAAATACATGTTAGAGGATGATGTCTTTGAAATTTGGGGGAAAGAACAAGGAAGAATGTTTGACAAATGTTTTGAAAGGTTTTTAAAAACAGTTTATATTAAATACTCAAAATGGATGTTTTTAGAAAGTTGTAATAATTGTTTTATCTTAATATGTACATTCGACGCACCTTTGCATTGCAGAGCGTGCCACTGTTTCAAAAGTGTAGATCCGACTTAATATTGTGAGCAACTAGGTGGTGACATTTTGTCATGTTAACGCCTTGTATATCTTATTGGGGGGGGGATTCGCATGAGCCCCAGGGACCCCCTTTTGGTACTTCCATGCATCTAGAGTTGTAAAGCGTGACCCTTAAAAATAGACCAATGACACTTACTGTAAAACGGGTAATTTTGGCACCGGGAAATTTTAGCGATTTATCAATTTTAGGGGGTTTTAGCACGGGAAATTTTAGCGAAATGAAGATTAATCTTTAATTTTATCATTTATGGCAGAAGAATGAATAACGGACATGACAGAGGAGTTATCAAAATGTAAGACTTCTAACGCACATGGTATTGGTCCAAACTACTGTAATCTCATCTGACTAATCACAAAATCACGGTAGCATTTAAAATCGTTGATTTTTCGGTCCAAACTAATCTCATCTGACTCATCACAAAATGTAGCATTTAAATCGTTGATTTTTTGTCTTCACAGTTAAGATATACGTCCAACGCCGTGAAACATGTACCGGTAATTTCACGTTGTCGTCCTAGTTTTGCATTTCTGTCCTATGAGTATGCCCCTAATGCCATAATGCATGCCTAATGATCTAATACTATTTCACTGATGGATGGCTATTTATCCTTCAGATATTGAAAGAAACATACGATTTAAAAATATTTACCTTTTTCAAATTACAAACCGGAAGTCGAGCACTGACAAAAAGCTCCTTAAATACTAGTATTCATGTAGTTTCCCGGGAATTTGCAAATTTTAGCGTCCAGTTTATTTTAACCCCCGTTTATTTTAGCGAATTGAATTTTTAGCTAAACTATAGCGATCGCTAACATTCGCTAACAATTACCCCTCACTAACAATACCCGTTTTACAGTATATAGAATGAAAGAACATTGAACAAGGTTCAATTGTGCAAAATATGCTTATGAATCCATGCTGGATGACAAGAGTTATTAATATTTGTTTGGGTTTCCTTTTTTGGCTCACCCTGTAGGTCTGTCCATTGGTCCATCTGTCATAATTGGTCGTTCAAATTGCTGCTATTCATTTATTCATTTTTAAATCAGAGATCATGTGCACACTCATTTCATGTCGTTTCATCTTATCTATTAGATTTGTCATTGCCTTTTCCAAAGTTCTCTTAGATGATTTTGACCTCAAAAGTCACATTTTGTGTTTATGTCAGGTATACATATAGAGTATACATTTACTAGATAGATAGAATTCACTGTGTGAGCACAAGGATCAAGGATCCTTGGGTCCTTAAATCCAAATTCTTTTTTTCTTATTTATTCTTATTTATTGCAGTTTTGACATGGGTGTTTTACTTCCTGGCATCACACCAAGATGTCCAAACCAAGGCATACACAGAAATTCTCAAAGTCCTTGGTCCAAATGGCAAAGTAACTGCAGAGAACATTAAAGAGCTCACGTAAACATTTTTATTCACTATTTATATCTGTTTCTCCTCCTTACAGTCTATTTCCCTACATATAAAGTGTATAAATATGTATCTTAGTTAAATGAGAACTAGTCTCAGATTAACAGAACAAGGAGTTAATGTTTATGTTTATTTTGACTAAAAATTATCCTGTACAACTACAGACCAGATAGATGCAGTATGAGTTGGCATTGTTGGCAAAAAGTTAAAATCACAATGTAATTTTGAATTGAATTTTATAAATGAATACATCTCTGTAAAGGTATGGAAGGCAAGTTCTAGATGAGACACTACGCTGCTCTGTGTTGGCACCATGGGCTGCACGCTACCAGGATATGGATGTGGAACTTGGTGGACATACTATTCCAGCTAAGGTATAAATTAGTCTATTTATTAATTAATAGATCTATGAATTCAAATACAAAACTTCCACAACATTTGCTATAGAGGTACTACATATAAATGCAGTTAACCAATCCATTATGTTCAGACATAGACGAAAGAGCAAAAAAAGTCCAGATTCATATCTTGGGTATAATTCCAACATGTGCTCTTCATATATGTGGTGCGTCAGTGTCAAAGGTCATGGCAACATTCAAAGTTGATGATAACCTTGTCCACATGATAACCTTGTCCATCTCCACATGCTCTACATGTTGCCGGTTTGTTCATTTGCAGTTCTATATAATATACTGCTAGCTCCATTTCATTTACATTGCATTTGAATTTTCCTCTTGGACCAGTTGATAATGTATAGAAAAAAACATGAGAGCTATTACACCATTCTTGGTGTAAATTAATCTGTGAATGGTATTTCTGGATAAGTGAATTGGTGTTTATCTGGGTAATCAAGGGATTATAGTCACTCAAAGTTACTGAGCATCCAGTTTTGAGACTTCGTGAAGTTACACATATTTCAGTCAAATTCATGCTAAGCACAACATTTTGGTTTCAATTTTATAATCTCTATACATGACCCTGGTGATGAAGAGTCAGAATCAGTCAAAAAACCTAAACCAGAAAACTGTGCTCATTGTGAAAACTAAAAGTGAAGCAACTTTTTTCTAATATTTCTAACATCAAATTGCAGCCATCTTGTTTTTCCCCCTTCAAATTAAACTGGCGGGAAATTCAAAAATTTGAAAAAAATTTTAATCCTTAAATATATTTCAAAAATATGATTTTCTTTTAAATTCTTCATGGGTCTTAAGTTATTTCTTCTTTGTAAGTCATACATGTTGCCATTGGTGTTTTTTTTCTATGATAATGACTTTTTTGTTTTGTTATGTCACCACCAAAAGTGGTGACATATTGTTATGGTCTCCGTTTTTTTGTGACGGCGGTTGGCGTCCAGCGGTTGGTGGTTGGCGTCCGGCGTCTGTAACAATTTCTTACAACTTCCTATAACTTAACAAATACTGTTTAGACTGACTTCAATTTTTTTCTAAATCATCTACATGTTCTCAGAAGTTCAAATCTGACTTTAGATTTGACATTTGACCTTCTCAAGGTCAAAAAGGTCTTTTTTCAACTTGCTTCACATTGACTAAATTTTTTTTCAAAATCATCTACATGTTCTCAGAAATTCAAATCTGACTTAAGATTTGACTTTAGATTTGAAATTTGACCTTCAAATCTGACTTTAGATTTGACATTTGACCTTCAATGACCTTCTCAAGGTCAAAAAAGGTCAAAAAGGTCTGTTTTCAACTTGCTTCAAATTGACTAAATTTTTTTTTCAAAATCATCTATGTGTTCTCAGAAATTCAAATCTGACTTTAGATTTGACTTAAGATTTGACATTTGACCTTCAATGACCTTCTCAAAGTCAAAAAAGGTCAAAAAGGTCTTTTTTCAACTTGCTTCAAATTGACTAAAATTTTTTTTCAAAATCATCTACATGTTCTCAGAAATTCAAATCTGACTTTAGATTTGACATTTGACCTTCAATGACCTTCTCAAGGTCAAAAAAGGTCAAAAAGGTCTGTTTTCAACTTGCTTCAAATTGACTAAAAAAATTTTTAAAAATCATCTACGTGTTCTCAGAAATTCAAATCTGACTTTAGATTTGACTTTAGATTTGACATTTGACCTTCAATGACCTTCTCAAAGTCAAAAAAGGTCAAAAAGGTCTTTTTTCAACTTGCTTCACATTGACTAAATTTTTTTTCCAAATCATCTACATGTTCTCAGAAATTCAAATATGACTTAAGATTTGACTTTAGATTTGACATTTGACCTTCAAATCTGACTTTAGATTTGACATTTGACCTTCAATGACCTTCTCAATGTCAAAAAAGGTCAAAAAGGTCTTTTTTCATCTTGCTTCAAATTGACTAAATTTTTTTTCAAAATCATCTACAGTACATGTTCTCAGAAATTCAAATATGACTTTAGATCTGACTTTAGATTTGACATTTGACCTTCAATGTCCTTCTCAAGGTCAAAAAAGGTCAAAAAGGTCTTTTTTCAACTTGCTTCAAATTGACTAATTTTTTTTTTCAAAATCATCTACATGTTCTCAGAAATTCAAATCTGACTTTAGATTTGACATTTGACCTTCAATGACCTTCTCAAGGTCAAAAAAGGTCAAAAAGGTCTGTTTTCAACTTGCTTCAAATTGACCAACTTTTTTTTTCAAAATTGTCTACATCTTTTCAGAAGTTCAAATTTGACGTTTACAAGTTCTCAGAAGTTCAAATCTGACTTAAGATTTGACCTTCGACCTTCAATGACCTTCTCAAGGTCAAAAAGGTCTTTTTTCAACTTGCTTCAAATTGACTAATTTTTTTTTTCAAAATCATCTACATGTTCTCAGAAGTTCAAATCTGACTTTAGATTTGACATTTGACCTTCAATGACCTTCTCAAGGTCAAAAAGGTCTTTTTTCAACTTGCTTCAAACTGACTAATTTTTTTTTTCAAAATCATCTACATGTTCTCAGAAGTTCAAATCTGACTTTACATTTGACATTTGACCTTCAATGACCTTCTCAATGTCAAAAAAAGTCAAAGAGGTATTTTTTCAACTTGCTTCAAATTGACGAATTTTTTTTTTCAAAATCATCTACATGTTTTAAGAAGTTCAAATCAAACCTTCTTAAGGTCAAAAGGTATTTTCCAACTTGCTTTAAATTGACCAAATTGTTTTAGGTGGTGACATTTTGTCATGTTAATGCCTTGTTAAGATACTTATTCTGATTCTCAGCAGGGAGTTAATTATGCATCAAAACTCGTGAAAAAGTAAATATACTTATCAAATATAACTAGGACAGTAATAAAAAACATATTTCACATACATTTGACTGAGGGACCAAAAGGGCATATACCCAGACACATCCTTTGCCTTTTAAATGTATCAACTGTTATTTTAATAGACCAGATGCGAGTAGAAATAATTTTGATTTACGTCATTAAATATTCAAAATTCAGTCAAAGTGATGGCATATTTGAAATGTAAAAGTACATCTAGAAATATGGTTTCGAAAATTGTTAATCAACTTGTGACTTCTAGTTCGGGTTGATTCCGGTTGTTATAAAATCACAAAAAGTGAAATATCTTTTCTTGTATTTGACAGATAACATTTTATTTTACTGGACACATTTTAATTTGCATAACCATAAGATACATGTATAGAGGGTTATATGAAAATTGAACCACTAAAACAGATGTAATTCAATTTAAGGGGAACTTTCACTATTCCTGCCATGCTATCTGACCCGAACGAGCCACCTGGTGGTGAAACTGGTAACTACCTACTCACATCTGCGTTATTAGGAAAGCCACTTTATATACTTGTAGTTTTATGTTCCAGACTCCAGTGATCCATGCTCTAGGTGTCAGCTTGCAGGATGAAGAAACCTGGCCAGAGCCTAACAAGTAAGTCATCTCTAACTACAGGAACAAGTGTTGAGTGATCTAGATATATTGACAGAATACAATCTTTGGGAAGTACATTGATTACCCTTGAATCAAAGAGTTGTTACAACTAAATTATACATCATTCTTCTATAAGAACATATCCAAAAAACAACCATGTTCCAAATTCTTATTTTGGATTAGGAATAAAGTTTTGGAGCCAAGAGGCCTATTATGCCAATCAGAGGGTATAACTCTCCAATATGGTAAAAACTTGTACATGTATATATGATTTGTTCATAGGTTTGATCCTGATAGATTCAGTCCTGAAAATAGTAAATCTCGACCTGACATGGCCTTCCAACCATTTGGGTTTGCAGGGAAGAGAAAATGCCCAGGCTACAGGTAACAATGAACCAGTTCATTTCAATCATTTATTTCAACTTGAAATTTCTAAGTGTGTTTTGATACAGTGAGATTTTCTACCTATTGGGGATGCTGTTTTTGGTTCACAGGGTTAGCCAGTAGTATTAGAATCAACATTGTCAGACAAGTAAATTAAAATTGCCTGGTCATTTACTCCAGTATGTAGAGTACAAGAATGAGCATTTCTGATTGGCTGTATATCATTCTAGGTTTGCGTATGTAGAGGTCCAAGTGTTAGTGGCTGAGATTCTACGCAAATTCCGTATCAGAATGGTTGAAGGCCAGGTTGTGACACCTGTATATGGACTTGTGACTCGCCCAGAGGAGGAAATTTGGGTTACAGTGGAGAAACGTGGAAATGAGGAGTGAAATTGTTAGATGCTTTCAATGTGCTGAGATATTTCAGTGTAATAAACATAATTATCCACTAGTGCTTACAGTGTATGTGGACTAGTAGTATTTCCCATGCCACATTTTTATTACTGGATTTCATAATTTCAATGGATAGTAGACTTTTCAGTTTATTTGATATTTGCCTTTTAATGTGACCTCAACATTACAATGTTGAGCTTTAGGACCATTATCCTTATACATTCATTCTAAATATAGCATGCTAGCTTATGACATGAAGCTGATTTCGAACCTTTCCTCGACAGGTAGTCATGCACCCCTCCTCCATAAGTTTGGCAAATTTTAAATTAGTCTTTCAATTCCAATAGATCAGATATTCATCAAAGATGAGTTTGTTGAAATCGCCAAACATAAACAGACTTGAACATACGGTCAAAATGTGAACTTCTAGTTTCCAACCTTTTGAAGTGAAGTGTATGATTGGCACATATAGGACTACATTGTATATGTTCAGAGGCATACACACATATAAAAAAACATTGAATACATAGAATGGACTACAGAATTACCAGGGATAAGGGATTTGTACGAGTACAAATCATTTAGAAATGTATATCAGATGAGTTTTGTCAAATGTATAGTACTAGCCTTTATTTCACTAATGGATGGATAAAATCCTGAAATTATGGTGCATTAAAATATTTCTTTTTTGCTTTGGTAAGGATTTTTTGTAAAATGGAAATGCCGGAGAGAAGCTACTTACTCAATTGTGCAATAATCAAGATCTTATCAAAAATGCTATAAAATGGCAAAAATATATCTAATATCATTTATTTCTAATACCTGTAATGTAATAGTGTACATAATGTACAATATGAATATCATTATGATATACGGATGTACTCTTATTTTGATATATATTTCTAGCATGGCACAGATTCAGCTTTGAAATGCATTAGAATGAGTATACATGTACATATTAACATACAGCTGCAAGTACTTTATTTTTTGTCATGTACCAATGATGTGAAAGTTCTGCCAACCAATAAAAGGCAACTCTACAAGCTCCTTTATTATCCCACCGAACAAATTCGAGGGGGATATAGAGAAACCGTCCGGGCGATAACTCCAATACCGGTTGACAGATTTGGTTCAAATTTTATAGGCTTATGCCTTATGAGTGTAGGACCTCTGCTCGAGAAGGAATTTTCAATATGGCTGCTCAATTCAAAATGGCCGCCATTTTTCGTAAAAAATGTAATCGTTGATAACTCAAATACAAGTTGACGGATTTGGTTCAAATTTTATATGCTGATGCCTAGGGACAAAGGAGTTTCGCACAAAAATAGATTTTCAAGATGGCCACTTAATTTCAAAATGGCGGCCATTTTTCGTAAAAATATGTAATCTTTGATTACTCAAATACCAGTGAATGGATTTGGTTCAAATTTTATATGATGATGCTCAGGGACACAGTAGCTATGTTCGACAAAATTTTTTCAAGAAGGCCGCTTAATTTCAAAATGGCGGCAATTTTTTGTAAAAAAACGTGATCTTTGATAACTCAAATACCAGTGAACAGATTTGGTTGAAATTTTATATGATTATGCCTAGGGACACAGTAGCTCTGTTCAAGCAATAATTTTCAAGATGGCGGCTGAATTTCAAGATGGCGGCCAATTTTCGTAAAAAACGTAATTTTTGATAACTCATATACCAGTGAACGGATTTGGTTCAAAATTTATATGATGATGCCTAGTTCACAATGGTATAAACTAACTTTGTGCCAAATTTCATGCTTCTATCACAAATTGCACAAACATTTCAACATTTACACTAGCTATAATAAGCATAATATGTTTTGTTCTTCGGGATTTGCTACTCCGTGGAGTTGCTGTTTTTCTAGTTTATTTAGGATATTTCACATCATGGGTACATAAATGATGTATTTCACACTTTTATTACCATGGCAACTTTGTATTGATGGTAGAATTTAAATTTTGTCAAAATGAAAAAAAAGCTGCCATTCTTATAAAGGGTGACATAATGCAAATGGCCAATACTCAGTGTATACTGTATAGCCTGCTACATTGATTCCTTTAATTCTTATGCAATTGCTTTGTTAGGTATGTCATACTGTTATATTTTATTTTTATTTTCAAATGGATAGCACATTTCAAGATGTAATTGTTATTTTGTAATTGAAGTGTTCAAGGTATTCATTATTTTAATAAACAATGCTTTTCTTCATGTACATCTTGTTTATTTAATATGAAAAGTTCTGTATTGACGTCTCTTTTTTATCAGAGATTCTAGTCAATACCTAGTCATGTGCGGCTTCAGGAATAGTACATTTTAGAGGATATTCCTCAGGGAAATAATTTACACTGTTGCCCTCAATGGCAGTCACTATTTGTATATAATAACATGCATATATTGGTTCGAGCTGTTTACAGTGTACAGTGGATCAGTGCTCTCTGTGATTTTCAAGGGAGTAGTATTGTCCCTTTATGAAGTAATCTTTGGTCATACGCGTTAGTTATACAGTGAAACCTGTATAACTGAACACCTTTCAATGTGAACACTTTTGCTCGGTCCTTCTTCATAATATAGCACACATGTTTAAAAAAACTAAAAATGTGAACATTTGCAAATCCAAGTAATTTTGACTTGTTCCAGTGGTGTTTGTATGAGACAGTTTTACTGTACTTTATTTATTTGTGAAGTACTTAATGTTTTAAATGCTATTTACAGTGAATAGATAGAATGAGTAAATGTGTCATAACTTGGATGATTTGTTTGAGGTGTCATAAACAGAATGTATTTATGATGTATCATTTGACATATAGGCTTCCTTTGTGAAAAATGAATAGATATTATGTGAGTCGTGACAGTCTACACATATAGTGAAGTCATGTATCATGTATAACAGGTAAAGTTGTTGGTGTATTTCTCTTTTTAGTGCAAACTTTGGTTTATTGTTTTGTTTTGCATAGCAAAGTTAGATCATTCAAATAGCTCTTTTTATGATTACTATGAAATGCCAATTTGAAAATTAGATGTAAGATTTATATTTTTTGGTGAAAGGTTATAACATAAGCTGTCCTTACAGTCTGAAATGAAATGGTGGCTTTGAACTAAGTGATGAGAAGACACAACACAACTGCATCATGCTAGAATCTATCATGCTGGATTTCGTTATCATATTCATTTTTGCGTTACTACTACTTGGAACAGTCATCTTCATGTACCGAGTAAGTATTTTGTTATCTAATACTACTCCCACATATCTACTTCAACAACAGTTGTTGAAGTAGGGGCGGGGTGTCTTGAAGCAAGACAATCTAATTCTAGCCTTTCACAGGCTGTAAAGGATCAAAGTATTTGATAGCATTTTGCGCTGACCTGGATCTGGGAGCTAAAAGCTGATGTTGCAGCTTTGATGATTATGCCATTGTGCGTCATGGTCATGGTCATTATGACCTTCCAGTTTGAGAATTATTTTATTAAAGTTAAACTCTATCAAGCAGGACTGCTTGTGCAAGTCCAGTGATTAGAGTTACATCCTGAGTGCTCTCCTAGCACTGGAGTAGCTAATGCTGCATCCCACCCTGCTAAAATTTGATTGCAGTTACTTTGGAAGGGACCAAATGTTTGCATTTTTACCACAATAAGAAAAAGAATTTAACTCCTTGAGAGAAAATAAAGTGAGGGAGAGCACTAAATTTTTAATGTAAGACCCATCTTTTTCAAGGAAATGCATGTAAAACTATTATATTCATGTACTATTATTTCAGCGATCTGGCAAGTTCCGTACAACTATTCCAGGTATGGACCCCATTGACTCAAGGTAAAACTACAGTAGAGTCTAGCCTGGTGTTTTAATTGGTTATTTAAAAGTGTTGAAAAACTGTGAAACATCATAAACATTATATAATATTTAAGAATTAAAGGTATATTGGGATATTTCATGCATTTTATATTACATTCATACACTTGCATTCCATCTCAATGCAAGTCTATGATAAATGATAACCTATGTCATTTGTGTTTGTTAACTGACATTTATCATACACTTCACACGTAAACACAGTCTGATGTCACTGTGACATTATATTTCCAGACCTAAATTATTTACCTATACTGTGGTTGTGTAAATCTAGCGATACATTAGCTCATATACACACACGTTTGAGCAATTAAAATTATCCCATCAAATGAAGTTCGGAGGGTTACAGGGAACTCCTCCATCCGTACGTTTGTCTATCTGTCCGGGCGATCACTCAAATACAATTGGCTCGATTTCATTAATATTTTGTACACATATGCCCTATGGTAATAGAAGTTCTGCTTAGAAGCCAGTTTTCAAAATGACAGCCTATTTTGAGATAAGCATGGGGGTCCTCAAAGACTGGCTTTATCATATATCAAAGATTTTCAATAATAGATCGCAAAAATTAAATATGTTGTTAATATTTGTAAATTCCATTCCCTCTCAAATTCTAATGAATAGAGATTTTTCAAATATTTTTCATAGCCTGGTCAGGAAAAATAAAGTCGAATATCTGTAATTAGCAACATGTTTTTTATTCCCAGGAATTAATCCGTCAGAATCCATTGAAATCTTTGAATAATATTCTGGTTAATGAGCATATTCTTCAGACCAATAAATATAAATTTAACTGGGCATTTTAGAACAATCACTCTTGCATCCTTTCATGCAATTAAAACATTCATAACTTTTACAATGTACAGATTTTTGTGAAATGCCCAATATTCCATATTCATGAGCAACGGTGTATGCATGTGCAATGTATGTCATATACGTGCTGTGAAATCTTTTTTTGTTGGGTATTAATGATTTGCATTCTTTTTAGAGAAGGGAACCTGCCTGACATCGCAAAGGCAGGAAGTTTACACGAGTTTCTGAGTCTACTGCATGAGCGCTATGGGAAGATTGCTCATTTCTGGATGGGACCAAGATTTGTTGTCAGTATTGCTTCAGCAGAGCTCTTCAAACAACATCTGAAAGTATTTGATAGACCTCGTAAGCCCACTTGTGTATTTATACTGACATAATTTAGAAGCTATCACCTTTTGTGATTATACAAATGAACATATTTGAACAGATGAAGTATGTTTATGAGCAACGTCATAATTCTCCAAAAGTTCATTCAGTCTGCATTTATCTTGTATTCATATACTGAGTACCACATTTCATCACTGCTCAGATTCACATGGTTTATTCCACAATATCTCATATTTATTTCCATTCCTGGGAAGCACTTTGGTAACACTTTGAAGGAGGATTCTTGAAAAATCTTTCAAATTTTCACAAGACGTTTCATGCATTTTTATTACTTTGTTTGAGCCTCTTCTAAAATCATAATCAAATGCGATACCAAAATTATTAATTAAAATGAATGATTAGACTCACCAGATTTAATGATAAAAAGTTTCGAGCATTGATGATTTGAGTTAAGCTGTGGATATTTATATAAATGTAAGTCGGCATGTATTCGACGGTTGATGTTCACATATGATGTATGCATCAACATGTGACCTTAATATCAATTGTTACCATCATATTTGGTTTCGAAAATTAAGTTGGAAGTTACAGTGGTAGGAGATAACCGAAAACGTCAATCACATCCAAATATCTGAACGAAGTCAAGTATTAACAATTACACTTTTCGTGCATCTCGAACAAGGCAAGGTGCTGTGGTCCAACAATGTGTATTCCGAAAGAAAAAATTCACAAATATCAACAATTTTCATTGAGTAGGAGATTACATTCGAAATTAAAACTTTGAAAATATTTGCTTCAACCAAGAATTGTAAGAACTTGAAACATCTTGTTAATTTTTCAAACTGCATATCCTTATCCTCGTTCTTTGGCAAGATCATGAATCCATTGAAAACATGGATTTTTTTATTATTCTTCAAAACTAACCTTAAAATATAAGTATGTAGGATATCACAATGTAAATTGACACGCCTTTGTTTGATCCATATCATGAAAAAATAAATGCAGTACCATCTGTCAATATTCGAAACAGAAAGTTCATTCTATATGTAAACAACAAAAAATACATTTATGGTTGGTTCATGATAAAAATGACAAATAACATACATCTTTTGAAGTAGGGGTATACAGGGACATATGGGAAATTCAGAAATTTAGGCCATGTCTTCAAGATTGCTTCACCAATATGTAACGGAACAACAAGTTATCATTTACACATTTGCTGATAGGTCTATTGAAAAAGATAAATCAGAGATTGTGGCACAATTCTCAATAAATATGGATGAACTTGCGAATTTCGAATATTGACTTAGTTACTGAACCTGACTGTAAAGTGGCAGCAAGGCGTGTTGAGAGAAAAATGGACAAACTTTACCTATGGCGACATTTAGTTTAACATCTTTATTCCTATCTTATTAAAATGTATGGATGCGGCCATATTTATCAACCAGCAGAACTGGCAATCGTTTAAAATTCCTAATACTACACAAGGTATCACATTTATGAGATTTTTCGAATTCGTCGTGGAAAAGCCTAGCAGGCGAAATTGAAACCATTTTTTCATTTCATCTTGTCCAATTTTTCCGCAATAGACAAAAATTGGAATTAAAACATACCGTATGTCTACTTGCAGCTGAGCTGTTCCGACCATATGAGCCCTTGTTTGGGTCCAACAGCATTGCTTATGCTAATGGGGCTGATGGAAGAGCAAGACGGAAGCTCTATGACGCCAGCTATGGACATGGCATTGTCATGAATAACTATCTTGGTATATTTAATAAGGTGATGTCCCAAGTTGTACACAGGGTGACACAAATGTATGTAACCCTCTTAAAATCAGAATATTTGTCAAATATGATGCAGCCGAGATGCATGCATTGTTCATACCACTATTTGGTGAGAGTGCCATCAATTTACAGAATGGAGATAAAGGGAAGAAACTATGGAAACGATAACGGTTTCGGTCACGAGAAAGTGTTTGACCATTTAGATACATTTGAAAAGGTACTTTCCCATTGGCTCTTATAGCATGTATGGTGATCAAAGGATATATTGAATATTCAACTGCAAAGTGTACTGGAAACACTTGTTAAACATGTTGTTCATATACTCCAGTTTCAAGTTTCACATCCATTAATAGATATGTTCATATTTCAAATTATTGGAATTCACTCGTGATAGTGGTTTCATATACTCATTGCTTTATATCCCACCATTTTTAAACCTCAGATAGTAATTCTAGGTATTATCATCTTCTGAGTGAATGATCATATTCAGCAATGCCCTCCACTTTTTAACAATTTAAAATCTTTGCAAATTGCAGTTGAGTAATGAAGTCTCTGCCAAGTGGAACACCATGTTGGATGAGCAACACATCCCATTACGTGACCAAATGTTTGCCTTTGCCATCAAGTCGATCACTATTACATCATTTGGTGACTACTTCCATGATGATGAGCAAGTTTTGGAATTCAGAAAGGCATATGACACGGTTAGTAAACACCGTTATCTATTGAAGAAGTCACATGGGTTCAACACATGTGACTCCAATGAATGATGGTGTATACATTGGGGTTATTTCAAGGAAAACTGACAATCTATTGAATACCAGCAAGAAAAATGAAAATGGTACCATTTGATGGCCTAACTTGATGAAAAAATGAGGCAAAGATAGAAGCAATGACAAATGGTGTGTTTTCCAGCATAAACCTCTCTAAATTGAATATGAGTATTTGCTCAGGAGAATATGATGGCAATTTTGTCTGAATACTGTTGATGGAGGGATCTACAGAGAGACAGAGGATTGGATGATTCCATAAGCAGTCCATGTTAGCCAGGCATTGGAAATACAAATTGTTGTAAGGAAAAGGGTGAAAATGTATTCCAGTAAAACCCCTCTAATCCAATTGGCACTTGGACCAGCGAAAAGTATATGGATTGGCATGTGTTCACATTTCAATATGATAGTATATGGCTGATTAAAAATTGGAACAGAAAAAAGCATTCGTATTTAGAGGCATTCAAAATGAATCAAAGAGGTTTCATTTTATATGTTTTCAGTGTATGGATGAAATGGAGAGAAGGCTTACCGAAGGAGCTCCTGAACCAGATAGCTTAGAAGAGAAAAACTTTAAGAAAGGTACATGTTTTATTCTTCATGTGCTACCTTTGATATAATTTCTTATGATTTCCGCTGTGTTATATTTTTGGTTATGCCAAAGGGAAAAATCATATCAAAAGATTACTTAAATAGATGATTGCGGTTACCACAAGAAATTTACTTTTAAGAGTATCAACAGTTCATGAAAATATATGTTCAGTTTCAACTGAGACTAACTATCTCAGGTTTCAATTACTTTTTCATATGTAAATTATTCTCAACTGACCTTGTATAATCTCATTCCAGCTCTTAATATCATGCACAGTACAATTAAGAAAATAGTAGAGATACGTCGTGATAATCCACTAAAGTCTGAGGATGATCACATATTCCTTGATACCTTACTAGAGGCTGGCATACCTGAGAGTCAATTAATCGATGATAGCATTAGCTTCACGGTAGCTGGCTTCCATACATCTGGTCTATGTAAGTCATATTGTTGTTATAGCCATGATGTCTGATTTTTATTGAGCTCAGTGAAGTTTTGAAAATACATGAACAGAGACGGATGTTACCATCGAGTAAGAATCAAATCTAGGTCATGTTTTGTTTTATTTCAAAAACATACCTGCTACTTTTTTGCTGGAGACTCATCATTATATAGCCCCTACAATGAAACTGGTTCTGGCAAGATGAACAAGGCAAAAATGTAGAACTGGTAAAATTGTTTGCATTTCACCTAGAATAATAAATAGAGATTTGAAAAACCTTCTCCTGCAATATGCATGGGGTAAATTACTTGAATATTGCATTCCAATTGAGTTTCCAATTTTATTTGTCATTTTAGTTCCAATATGTAAAGATATGTCTTTTGATGCCAGTATCAAACTGGCTGTGTTTGTACTTATTCATTGCAGTTTTGACATGGTTGTTCTACTTCCTTGCGTTACACCAAGATGTTCAGACCAAGGTTTACGATGAACTTCTGAAAGTCCTTGGTCCCAATGGCAAAATATCAGCAGATAATATTAACGACCTCCAGTAAGCCATAGTTTATCTACTTATTCACTTTTTGAAATCAATATAAAATTTAAAAAAATATCCATATGTCTCATAACCACAGTTAAATTTTAAAAATAACATCAATAATATTAACGATGGTTCGGGAGGGTAAAGGTTCACCAACAAAAAATTAGCTTTTTATTTATGAATTCATCAATTTATCTGTAAACATTGTAAGCCAACCTGTGTTGAATTATGTTAACCACATGCCATTGACTTTTTATTCAAATTGTACAATATAATGAATGTCTAAAATAATGAATGAATATCTAGGTATGGAAGGCAAGTTCAGGATGAGACACTACGCTGCTCTGTGTTGGCACCATGGACTGCACGCTACCAGCATATGGATGTGGAGCTTGGTGGACATACTATTCCAGCTGAGGTATTTAAATTGGCCAAATCGAATAATTACTTCCAAAACATTTAGATATTTTGTTGGATCTCCTAAAATTATCAAGCTCATTATAATTGGTTTAATCTACGCAAAAGAAATAGATATAATCATTCTGGCGTAATAATGACAATCCAAATGACCAAAAAATCCATCCGTTGTTAAGAATTTCCAGGATGCCCTATCATTTTTCAATATGCTATTTAGTATTTATATACTGTATGTAACTTAAGTAGCAATAGGTAATCTCAATAATATGTTTCAGACTCCAGTTATCCTTGCTCTCGGTGTCAGCTTGCAGGATGAGGAGTATTGGCCAGAGCCTACTAAGTAAGTCATCCATTCTACGATTGCAAAGTATTCCATACTTTATTTTAATGAGTTGATTAAATGTGTTTTTACATTTGCCATAAATCTCAGGCCATTCTAATAAGAAAATACCCGAATGTTCAAATATGTTGAGAATTCACACATCGTGCCATTATTTCTACATTCACCCAGGAATGGTAGAAACAAGTCAGATACTGTTGTCACACATGGTGGACATAACCGTCGTTTCAATTAGATTTTCATGAACTGTATGTTTAATATAGCACCTAGACTAAATTCCTTTGGAACAACAATCAATCAAAGTGTCTTAATACTCATTGTACAGTTAATGATGTGTGACGATCCTTCAGATTTCTTTGAGCATGTTAATGGGATTGCCTTGAAGGATTGTCACTTTGTTTCACTTTTGCACTTACTTACTTTCTGTAGTCACTCTGATTAATGTTGTATTTAATATATGTAGAACTCTTTAATATTTTGCAAAAGGGTTGTTGATATAGACAGGCAGTTGCCCTGGACTAAAATTGAGAGTGTCAATTTCATTTATTTAAGATCCATTGAATTGGGGTCCTCACTTGTTTTTATCATGTAACTATAAACTTTATATTTGTATATATTATGCCAAAATTGTGTAGAGTAGTGACAGTGTATACTTTTTGTTATAAAACTGGTCAGTTTCATGTTAGCAACTGCGCTGTAAACTTTCATTCAAGGGATAGCCAAACTTCACCAGGCTTGTTTACTTTTATCCAAAACGAGGCTAGGCTGGAGATCAGCTGTTTTAGCTCAGTGATTCTGTCTTGTCTGGGGACTCTCTCCATTGCATTGAAACGGGCCGGACGTGTATAACTTTTTGGAATTATAACATTCAAAAACGCAACTCAAAACTGGATATTTATATAAACACAGATATACCAACTTAGGTGAACAAGTTGGGGAAGGTAATTGAATTGATTTTATTGTAATTTTGACAGGTTTTTGACCACTGTAGTATCTTTTATTTTTTTCTTATCTGAGTTAGCTTGTATAACATGTATAAACACTCATTTAAAACTGTTTAGGGGATTTATTGCTAAAGGACTACTGTTGATTTGGATTATATAAAGTTTCTAGCGTCTTTTGGATCAGCTTGAGCTTTGAACTGATTCAGTCTTATTCCATACTGGCAATAACCCCCGCTTAGACAGTAAAGCTCCTTCTCAGATAATTGTCTGTAGTTGGGCTTTATCACTCACTCCCTAATTTAAATCCCAGTACCCGTTTCTGTGATTTTTCACCGCCAGTTTGGTTGGAGGAACTTCAATAAGAACAGGGGTCACTGTGTGCCGACAAGCCTTAAAGGTCACGGCAAGCCATTTCAAGCTCATTTGGCTTCAACTGGCTTATTAGAGCTTCCCATATATTTACCACAACTCCCCCCCCCCCCCTAAAGGTCACGGCAAGCCATTTCAAGCCCATTTGGCTTCTTTGGGCTTTCCATTACTATTTAGACTATTTACTGCAACCCCTCCCCTTATACATGTTATACCAAAAACACTGATTGTATTTATTTCTAGTCAGTTTTACACGTCTGGCCTTACTATATATTGTTGCTTATAATAGATACATCATTCACTATTCTAGATCTTTTAACTTGGAATGATTTCTCATATTATATATCTGTTTTGATTTATAAACCTGAAATTGAGAGAGAACTTTTTGAACAATTGTAAATTCGAGAAGTCCCGGGAATTGTTATGGAACATTTGACAAGGCGTACGTAAAGTTATGGTCTTTAGGAACCGATGTAACTTATTCTAAACCAGAGTCAATGTTCCTAGGGTTCCATTGAATAATCTTTATGACCCCCCCCCCTCCACATTCAACTTGAGACTGTATTAATTTTATTCGCCAAAGTAACTTTTATTGACCCATTAGAAAATACACTTTTGTATCTTTGTATGTGTATGTTCATGCCTGGTTATTTTAAAAGGGATCCGAGCATTCTTTCTGACTATGATCAAACAGCTGATCACTGATTCTGCACACAGTACTTGCAGAGTCAAAGTCAGTATTGAAGCCAGTTCATAAGGCTTTAAGCCTATTTGAGATGCTGTCTAGACACTATGACCACCCCCTGACTACATAGCTTGAGTTGGTATAGATTCCATTTGGGGTCTTTTAGCCTTGCGCTTGCTTGTTTGGGGTTCTAGTCAGTGTTTACCATCTACCCCTCCCCATTTAGTTTCCATATCTGGTCAATATCTATGTTAACTATATTCTCTATATAGTTCTTCAATTATTGACAGATTTTATGCAAGAATACTTAAATACCTTACCCCTTTGTTTGCTAATTGTGGGGAAAACTACATTCCACTTTTCATGTGAGTAGTATAGGAAGGTGATTTCAACCCCACTAGAGATCATACATAACTAAGCTGTTGAGTTTCATTTTTGGAAAGAAACACATTTTGGGCTTTATTGCAAATTGATTTACTGAACTTCCACTGACTTTGCTGTTTTGTGCATTGTGTATGAGAGATCATTTGTGTACTTGATATACCATTTGACTATACTGATTTTGTAAGTTTTGTGTAGATTAGTAATAGAAATAGAGTCGTTTTTATACGTTATATAAAAATCCATTTACTTCCACTGTTTTGTTATTCGTGTGTTTAAATGGTGAATTAGTAATATTATCCCCTGATGAGTTTGACAGACTCCTGATTTGAAAAAGCCCTACTTTAAGCATTACAAAGTTTCCCACTTTAATTGTGAAAAGTGACAACTTGAAGCCCATTGTAGCCCTCAAGTGGCTGCAACTTGACTTCCACCTGGTCATACTCACGCCCTAACTTCATACTTATTTGATGCAATTTAACACTGGGCATATTCAGAATCTTGAGTTTGTTGCCATTTGCTTTTATGAAATATAAAATTTACATTGAACACTGAGATATCTAACTAAGCCTATACTTAGATATTGTTATCCCATAACTGTTATCCCGAAATTGTCCCACTTCATCCCAATTATTTTTTATCCCAGAATTTATCCCTAAATTATCCCGTAAATTTTCATCGCAAAATTTATCCCAATTTTATCCCCTATATATTTATCCCCACTTTATCCCATTTTGTTAGGTACTGTGAACACAGATGTTGTTCAATTAAATAGGGGATACACTTTTCAACTTTTACTTGAACTTGTTCCGAAACTAAGTGAATGAAAACATCAAATCAAATTATTGACTCTTAGACTGTATTCTGTTTGTGACCCTCAAACCACGCTACCATACGAGGGTCGCGACAGAAATGTTGGCCTAGCGGTGTGATATAGTACTTTACGTATTGACCCAAGCCTAATCCTATGCCATTGCTTATTATTTGATATTTTGCTTACATTGCAATCTTGCCATATATATTCCAATTGAAGTGATCAAAATAATTTGCAATGTCAGAAAAATCCAAAATGAAAACTTTGTCATGTCAAAAGTCCCTATCGGGAGCTTTTGGGTCTATAACTCCAGGGTATTTGGATGATTCAGAAGTGGTTTTGGGCCATCAACATCTAAATAAAGATTTGAAACTGGCACAAGATGATACTTTGCCCATAGGATCTCCTGCAGCAAGCAAGATCCTGGTAAAAAGAAAATCTCCATTTAGACCCTTACTCCCCCCAATTAAAATAACTGACATTCCCAGATTTAGACCAAAGACCCCAGAATTCTCTCATTCCCGTAATTCGACACTGAAGTCCCCAATAAATGTCAAACAAGAGAGAAAAAATGACAAAACAAAGCCAAACTATGATTTGTTAGGTCATTCTAGCAAAGTGGGAGTAGTAAAGGATGTGCAAGTCAACTACCAGGTTCCACCCCTTGCTCCGATGCCACTGACACCTCATGAAGGTGACATGCTTCAGGGAGCATATGGGGGTGAACTGTCAGAACAGACTTTGCAAAGCCCTTTAATGATCCCATCTGATAGAATACCACCCTCAATGTATTATGACCCTAAATACATGAAATGTTTGCCTAAAGAGACTCCATCAGCTGATCAGCCATATGATCTTAAGATGGATTTCCAGGCTTCAAATGCCCCTTTAGTTGCAAAAGAGATTACTCAATTAAGTGAACCTAACAAGTTGAAACATGCTGAATTTCTAACTGACCAGACTGTTCCAAACTCGGGTATTAAGTCTAAAAATTATGAATGTATGCACCAACCCGAAAGTACTTTTTGTAGACAAGCTTTAAAGAGGCCTAATGATAGAGCCTAATGTGAATCTAGTGAATCCCCTCCTTGCAAAATCCTAGTTGTTGATAAATCTGATATGTTCAGTGTATCAGACAAATCATCCCAAAGCACTGAGTTTTCTGCCAATTGCAGACAGCCATATTGTCTACCCAAAAGTGTGGATCAGACCTATGATTCACATTTGGAGACACGTTCATGGCTTGATGCTCAAATACCTGGCTATTACAGAAGTGTCTTGCCCTCCCACGATATGTCAGCCCAGATTGATAGTAATGGGTACAAACCTTGTCAACAGGTCTCCTTCAAACAGAGGGTAAATGAAGATTATGCTAGATCCTCTCAAGCAGAATCAATATTGCCCTCTCTAGAATATGAAACACCTGTTGACTTTTCTGACCCAGATTATGTAGAAAATAGTGTGAAATGCCCATCTTACTGTGCAAAAACTAGACAAAGGCCAGCTTGCTACATGAACAATTCTGATGAATATGAATCTGCCATGGAAAATAGTTTATTTCCCCTTGGATCTACAGTTATGAGTAGATCAAAAGTGAATCCAAGTTCCCCTGGTCTTTACAGACAGACTGAAGAACCCAATGATCTGTTTATATCCAGTCCCAATACATCTGATCATGAATCCTGTATTGGAGTTGAGAAGCCAAGAAGAGGTAATTCGTTTTCTAGAAGGGAAATGAAAGCACCACTTTTCAATGGAAAGTGTAGTCTCTCTGCTTTTCTCATCCAATTTAGACTTGTCTCTAACA